ACAACTCAAACAGGAAAAATTAATGTACCTATACCTATTGCTGTTAAAATAGCTCCACAACAACAACAACAACAACAACCGGAAAAGGCAACAATTACTGTTAGCTTTAAAGATGATGATAGATTAATCACTACTGCTAGTAGTGGTAGTGAAATTAGCAATGGTTTTAGTGGTGGCGGCGGAGGCGGTAGTAGTACATCACATGAATTTGCAGGATTAGTAAATGGTGGCAGTAGTGGTGGTGGTGGTAAAATGAATTTGAATACAATTGGAAAAACTGTTGCACAAACCATTCAGATACAGATAAAAGATGATAAAACTCAACAAAATAATGTGATAAAAGTTCAAGCACCACCGCCACCGCCACCACCGCCACCGCCACCACCACCACCACCACCATCAGCAGGTACTGGTAAAGCATCATCTACTACTACTACTACTGCTATTCAGATTAAATCGTCAAATATTGAACCGGTAAAAACTCAACCACCAACCAACTGCTGCTGCTGCTGTTGCTACCAACAAAATGGCTAAAGGATTATCATCAACCGGAAGTAAAAGTATAATTAATAGCAGTAGTGATATTGTTAAAAGTAAATCTAAATCTTGATTTGCTTTTTTTTTTTTTTTTATTTATTTATTATTAAAATTAATTGTTTGTCTGCGGTGGCGCTGTTATCATATGAATGTTTTTTGGAATTAAAAATTTTTTTTTTTTGCAAAACTTTAATTCATTTTCATTTTTGATTCTGAAACAAACAAACAAACGAGCAAAACAGAACAAAATCTTCATTATGATGACAAGCACCAATGAGAGAATAGTGTAAGAATTAGGAGAAAAAGGATTATCATCACCATTCGTGACAACGAACCAATGAACAAACGAACGGAACAAGAAAAAAAATGATGTGCGAAAAAAAAAAAATTTAAGCCGCTTAATTTTTCACACATTTTCTTTTTTGGATCATGAAGAAGAATATAATTAGAACATGTGATTTTTTTTTTGTTAATTAAAGCAGCATATTAATAAAATTCTCCACTGTACGTGCATATAATGTCACGCGATTCTAGTGATTATTAACAATGAAGAATAATAATAATAAAAAAAAAATATTTTGATAACTTTGACTCATTAATGATAATTTATTCATTCAAATTCTTGATTCTTGACTTTTTTTTGCACTTGATGATGATGATGATGATTAAAAAAAAGATAATGCAAAAGAATAAAAAAAAACGCATCAAATAGATCATAAACACACACACACACACACACACACACTTACCATCATGATCATAATGGCTCCATACTTCCATGAATTGTGTTGATGTTAAATTTTTCAATTGTCGTGTATTTTTATCACGAAATTGTCTCATAAAATTATCGCTGATGGTCTTATTGTTGCCACCACTTTGGATGTTTGATGACATTTTTTTTTTGCTCTGGTTTTCCTTTTCAATCAACAGCTAAATAAATTCTTGACACTGAAAAAAAATGTTGTTTCTTGACACAAAAGAATGAAATGAATTTTTTTTGGCTAATTGTCAAACGTTGATGATGACGATTCGATGATATTGAAAAGTGAATTCTGTCCATTAACGATAATACGATCACACACACACACACACACACACACAACACAAGTGATCAAAAATGATGAATTTTTCTGGCTATTTATTAATGATAAATTGACGATGATGATGATGATGATGATTGAGAAAATTGATTCGAAAATTGAATCGAACGTGACACATGAATTGAGAATAAGTGATCTATATTTGTTGATGATTTGCAAATTGGTTTTTTTTGTGCAAGAAAATTCCAAACGATTACTTTTTGTCGGATGAGTGAATGAATGAATGAATGAATTTCAGTTCGAAAAAATTTTCTTTTTTTTTCTTCATCAAAACCTCAACGAAAATCGAATCTGCGTGCGTGCGTTTGGTAATGTTTTATCTACTAAAATGGGCGGCACCTCTGTGTGTCTGGCACACATCATGTTGTGTGTTTATATATAAACCAGAATTACTGGATTTTGAACATTCGCTAGAATTATTCTGACTTGAACCGCCAGTATTCCATTACATTCCATCAATTTCAATATATATCAAACGTAGGTATACCTACACATTTTACACCGTTGTATATATTCTGTTTGGCTAGTAGTGGACAAAATATATTCTCTTTCATTTTAATCATACATAAAAAAAATTCTTTAGATGATGAATAAGAATCTCACGGGATGTTTGTATTTTTTTTTATCAAGAAAATTATTCTTTAATCTGAAGAGAGAATTCACAATTTCGTCGTTGGAATCAATCCATTTGCTTGGAACATTTGCAGAATTTCGTCGTCGTTGCCGTTGCTTCTCATCATATAAGTGGAATGGATTAAAAATGAAATGCAATACAATTCGAAACGTTCGATAATCCAACAATCGATTGTATCGATTCCAACTAACTATTATAATATAAAATAATCTAAAGTGAAACAACAACAACAACAACAAAAATTCAATCGATCAAAGGAAATTATTTGTGACATTTTCATTTTTTTTCACCCATTCTGGATCAAAAACAAAAATTGAACTTCTTAATTCTGACACTTGAATCAACTTTGAAATGTGAAAAAAAACAACAACAACAACAACAAAACCAGAAAAAAAATTCTATTTCAAATTCAGAAAAATGGAGAAAAAAGTTAAATTTTGTAATTTGATTTTCTTAATCAAAAACAAAACACAGAATCGAAATGAAACTTTTTCATACTATATATATAGTTGGCACCTGGACACACACACACACACACATCTCATTGAATTTATTATACAGGTGAAGTTGACAGGCTGAATTTATTCTGATGGTAGCCTGGGGAACATTCTTTTTATATATATAATGATGATAATAAAATGAAAATAAACCACATCATCATCATCATCATCATCATCACAGGTAAAACATTTCATCTCAAAATAGAAATGATCATCATTTGCCAGTGTTACTTTGTAAATTTTTTTTTATTTTTTTTTTTTTTTGCACATTTCACCAAAATAGAAATTCTTTCTTTCATTTGCACTCATTCTCAATCCCGTTATTCTGGTCGAATGAACAAAGTATAACCTGCTGGTGGGTCAAACAGGGGAAAAGGAAAACAACAAAAGACCACCATCATCAATAGCAATCGTCAAAGGAATAGACCAAAAAATATGTTGGTGAATGGTGTATGTAGATCATGACAATGAAACCGAAAATGGAATAGAAAATCTCAAATGAATGAAATGGAAATAGAATCGATGAATAGAATGAATAAAATAATAGATTTTTCTATACTTGGTTACTAATTTAATAAATGGAACCTACACACACACACACACATGGGAGGTCCAGAATTTCTATTAAACTGAATTTCTGATGATGATGATGATGATAAACATGCCATTGACACGAATGAATTTGGAATTTCTTTCTGTTTTTTTTTTTTTTTTTTGATTCTACTGAATTCCATTATTATTCGGGTTCAACATTGTGGGTGTAAGCTTTGTTTATGGTTTTCATTTTAGAAATTCTGAAAAATGAACATCAACAACCATTGTTTGTTGCTGTTTTCATGATTTTTTTTTTTTTTTTGATGTGTGACAATTTTATGGAATGGAATATGAGTAAGAGAGAGAGCGAAATTCTTTCTTTTTTTTATTTCTACAGAATTTTGAAACAAAAAAAAATCATTGTTATGATTGGATTATTCTCTTTCACTCTGTGTGTGTGTGTGTGTGTATGTGGACAGAATTGTGATTTATTTTCATTTTTTTCTTTAAAAAAAAGATTCTCATTCAATCAATTTTTATTTTTCCAAAACAAAATCATCATATATATATGAGATTATTATTGTTGATCATCAAAAACTTTTTCGAAACAATTCGAATGAAATGAAAAAGAAAAGTTTCCAGCAATGAAACAAAACAAAAAAAATGTAACCAATTCGTTTGCGAATTTTCAAATGTGAAATGGAAATTTTTTTGAATTCAAAAAAAAAAAAATGGATAAGTTGTGAAAAATAAAAATGTAAAAAAAATCGATATTTTTAAAAGTGAATATTGTGCAAAAAGAATCGAACACGAAACACAAGTGAATGAATGTGAAAACGCATAAAAAAAACCTATCAATCATAATCACAATCTACGTCTTTTTTCGAATATGTATGAATGAAAAAAAAAATCAAATCTTGTAAAAGATCAGTGTGTATATATCAGAGATGAAGAAATAAAAAGTCATTCATCATTTACTTATCACAAAATACAGCAACTGTATACCAGCCAAATACCATTCTCGATATCGCCCACACGCACACACACACACATGATCGAATGTTCTGCATTAAGAATAATTATTTTTCAATTATTTATCTTTTTGATTCCTTCAAGTTTGTTTTTGTTTCCAAAAAAAATCCAAATCAAAAAGAAAATTCATTAAAGAATGTTATCATCATCATCATCATGCAAACATTCGAATTCTATTTATTTTGTGTTTAGTTCAATATATATTAAAGAATTCAATTCCATGATGTTGTGTTTTTATTGACTTTATCAATATCACATGCTTGAATGTGAATTCAGAATTGATTTTTTTTGTTTTGTTTTTATTATCTTTCTAATTATTTTATCGGGAAATTCTGGCGAAAAAAAAATCATTCAAATTCAATTACATAGTATATGAATGGCTTTTCGTGTAAAACTTTTTCCAATTTCTTGGTTGTGATAATAGAAATTCCAACCATAGACAAACAGACAGACAGGCAGATGACAACCAGAAACCATAAAATCTTCGTATTTTTTTCAACATTCATTTGAAAAGAATTTTTTTTTTGCTTTTTTGTTTACAATTTCCTGTCATCATCATCATCATCTTGATCATCGAACATTACTGAAAATATCGATTTTTGATGATGTTACAACAACAACAACAACAACAACAACCAAAACAGCAGCTACAGACGAATTTCTTGAAACAAACAAAATAAATAAACACATAGCTGTCAATAGAAGAATAATCTTAAAATGTGTGTGTGTGTGTGTGTTTGTTGTCATGATGATTTTTGATCACTATCATGATTCTTAATTTGTGTTGTTGCGGTTGTTGAAACTTTGAAAATAAACAGAACGAAATGAGAGAGAGAGAGAAAATGAAAATCCGATCCAATGACAAGTAACAATAAATGAATGAAAAAGATTGAAATGTATTGATATTCTCTGGCAACTTTTTTTTCTTGTATCAAATTATGTAAGTGTAATACAGAATCTTTTTTCTTGTTTTTTTTTCACAAGATTCTTATATATTTTTTTTATTGATTTTGATTGATGATAGTATAATTGGGTGTGGGTGAAAATTTGCATAAAATCATTTAAGAAAGATCGACTACCACTCGTAATGCATCACCAGAATGCAAATAATCAAATGCTTTGTTTATATCATCGATACCCACACGATGGGTAATATGTTCATCAACCATTAATTCACCAGCCATATATTCTTCAACTAATTTTGGCACAGATTCACGTGATTTCCATCCACCAAATGCTGAACCTTTCCATACACGACCAGTAACCAATTGAAATGGTCTTGTGCTGATTTCTTGTCCACTACCAGCAACACCAATAATGACCGATGTTCCCCAACCTTTATGACATGCTTCTAAAGCCGAACGCATCAATTGAACATTTCCAACACATTCAAATGTATAATCTAAACCACCATCGGTCATTTCGATTAAAACATCTTGTATTGGTCGATCTGGATAATCTTTTGGATTCACAAATCGTGTTGAACCAAATTTCTTTGCCAAAGATTCTTTCTTAGTATTAATATCGATGCCGATGATTTCTTTGGCACCACGTTTTTTAGCACCAAAAATAGCAGCTAAACCAACTGTACCCAATCCAAAAACGGCAACTGTTGAATCTTTTTCAACGTTTGCCGTATTCAATACAGCTCCATATCCAGTGGAAATCTGAAATAAAAATGAAAATTAAACAATTCGAATTGAACACGAAATAAATTCCAAATTCTACTTACACCACAACCCAACAAGCAAACACTTTTCAATGGTGCTTTTGGATTAATTTTGGCCAAAGAAATTTCAGCCACAACAGTGTATTGGCTGAATGCTGATACACCCATAAAATGGAAAAGTGTTTTACCTTTACAAGTAAAACGTGATGTTCCATCAGGCATAACACCTTTACCTTGAGTGTTACGAATCTTTGAACAAAGATTGGTTTTTGAGCTTCGACAAAATTTACAATCATTACATTGAGGAATATAGCATGGAATGACTGTATCACCTGGTTGTACGGACGTCACACCATCACCAACACTTTCAACAATACCAGCGCCTTCATGGCCAAGAATACATGGAAACAATCCTTCTGGATCGATACCACTCAATGTATATTGATCAGTATGACAAACACCAGTATATTGGATACGTATACGAACTTCACCAGCTTTAGGAGGTGAAACCGTTACTTTTTCGATTGATAATGGTTTTTTAGCTTCCCATGCAACGGCAGCATAACATTCAATATCCTATCGATGGATTCAATTATTAACAAAAATTTAAAATTTAGAAAAAAAATCCATACTCACTTTACCAACTGTTGACATGACTGAATTACAATCAATCAATAACGAAAAATTTATAACCGAACAAAATTAAAAATGACGAATGATAAAAGTTGTTAACGACGGGAATGATTTTTATACGATCACACAATCTCAATGTACAAATTGATAAGCAAAAAAAAATCGAAACTTTAATCAATTTCGAATATGATCATCATGATCATTCGTCGAATGCGTGCGAATCATTGGTATTCTATATTAACCGAAACGGATCACCAGTATCATAATATGTGGAAAAATACCTAAACAACAACAACAACAAATCTATTTCATTGACAAAAAACAATTCGCTCAAAAACAGATTGACAAGTCGATCCAGAGATTTATTTATTTATTTTTTTCTCATCCCAAAATAATTGCTGAAAATTATGTGCAATCATTCGATTAATTTGATCTAGGAAACTATCTTGTTTTGTGATATAACCTCCGGATTTTTCAACAACAAATAAAAATGGATCTGACCAGCTGTCTTTTCCAATGGGTAGTAATTTATTTGAGTGTTTTTTTTTACTAATTTTTTTTTCTTCTCATCAAATTAGCTCAAAACTTTTGACCTAAAAGGTAAATGTGAAAAACCACAAGATCTTTGTGATGGTGTGGCCATCACTCATGCTTTGGTTCAAATGTAAGTATTTTTTTTTTTTTTTTTGATTGATCCACCCACCTATTTATCATCATATCGATATATATCATGAAAATAGTGCACCAGAATATTTTTCCACCGAAATATTATCGAAAATTGAAAAAGAATGTGGAAACAATTGGTTTTTACGTGTTTCGAATCTACGACGTATCTATCTACGTATTGTTGATTATTATGGTGAAATTCTAGATCGTACAATGCCGGATAAATTACAACCAGATTTAGAATCAATAGCACGTGATTATAATCTGATTAGTTTAGGCAAATTATTACAATTAATATTAGGTTGTGCCATTAATTGTGTGAATAAAGAAAAACATATTGAAATTATGACAACGTTAAGTCTTCAGGTGAAACAAGCGTTAAAAATTGCCATTGATGAATTGGAAAATTTTGATGAAAACAACACTGCAACGGCAAGCACCGTATCGAATATTAATGAACCAACGAATCAATCATTTTCATCTAATATAAATTTTCCCATTGATCGTCAACATACTATTGAAGAATTTAATCGTCTACAAGAAGAATTATCAATGATAAATGTGTTGAAAGAAAATGCCTTGCAACGATGTTCGGATCTTGAATCAACCATTACAAAATTGGAAGAAGAAAAACGTAATCTTAAACAAGAGAATGAAAAATTATCAAAAAATAATTGGTCATCATCATCATCAAGAAATAATCAACGGCCATTCGATTCAATTGAAAATGAAAATCTTTTTCAACGATTAAATGGCCAATTGAATGTAGCACAATTAGAATTGAGCCGTATGGAAGAACAGAAAGAAGATTATAAAATTCAATTAGAAATCAAGGAAAAAGAATATCAAAAATTATTACTACAAATAGATCAATTGCAAACAAAATTGAATGAATTCAAACATGATCGTGATGAATTGGATCGTTTGAAATATTTGAATGAAGAAATTATTAAATATAAAAACATTAATGATGTGCAGAAGAAAAAATTGGAAGAATTTCAAGAACATAAAAAACAAATGAAAATCATTGAAGATCGTAATGCATCGTTGATCAAACAGATTTGTGAATTAGAAGAAGATAAAAAATCCATTACAGTATATAAAAATCAATTGGATTTAATCCGTAAACAACGTGATGAATTGCGTTCAAAAATGAATGAAGAAACATTTCGTGCTGATAAAATGGCCGATGAATTGAAACGTGTTTATAAAAAATATAACGATATCGGCGAGGAGAAAGAAAAAATGCAACTAGAATTGGAAAAAATTCGTATGGAATTGTCGCAGCTACGTAATAATGATTCTGGTTTGATTAATGTTCCAAGTATCGATATGGATTTATCAGCATCATCATCATCATCATCGGCGACAACAGCAACAACGACGAATTTAATACGCAACAACAACAACAACAACAACGCTGCATTATTATTGAATGAAACAACAACCAATGTTGTAAATGAAAATGAAAAACTTATCCGTTTGGAATATGAAAATGAAAAATTGAAAAAACAACTTCAAAATTCAAATGATGAACGTATTCGATTGCTTGAATCACAGCTTGATGATGAAAAGAATCGAGTAATCAAATTGGAATCAATGAATCGAACAAATTCACAAAAAATTATTGAATTAGAAGGTCGATTAAAAGATTTGCCCGATACCAATGTTGATATGGACGGTGGTGCTGCTGCTGCTGCTGCTAGTGTACAATTTAAATCGAAATTAAAAGAATTACAAATTGAAAATAATAATCTGAAAACAATGTTGGAAAAAAAGAATGAAGAATTAGCCGAACGTGAAGAAAGATTTAAAAAACATTTGAATAAAGCAAAAGAAACTTATGGTATATTGGAAACACATATGAATAATGCAAAAATATCAAGCACATCATTACCATTGGATGGCGGCAGTACGAAAACGATAAATTCATCCGATGATAGTGAATATTTACGTCATTTATGTAGAGAAAAAGATAATGAAATGGAAAAATTACGTCAAGAATTTCAACGAACAAATGCCATACGTGATATTGAAGAACATTTAATGTCGGTCAGTTTTCATAAAATGGTAAGTTGAAAATTTTCAACCAACAACAACAATAATAAAATTGATTTTTTTTCTTGAAAAAAAATCATCCACAGACATTCAATATGCAACGAAAAGCAGCCGAAGATCGTGTTTATTCGAACAATTTTCCAGCAAATTCCACAACATTCTTGTCTAGACAACGACAGGCTAGTTCAAGAAAATTTATCATTCCATCCAGGTATGTGGCATTGATTTGTTTTTTTTTTGAATTTATTTTAGATTCAAATTAAAATTTTTGTTTTCCGTTTCATTTAGTGATTTAGTCGAATGAATAATGCATGGCATTTTTTTTTTGTTTAATTTTGATTATTGATGAATATGGTTAAAAGAAAAAATTTGACTTGTGAATTTTTTATTTCTTTATTTCCATTTCAACGTTCAACGTTTAAATCTTAAAAATTCTACAATGTAGACATTGGTATGCAACAACAAAGAATACAAGATCACCGAATTAATTTTTTTGGTTTACAAAGCATCATTATCATCATCATCATCATCATGTTTGTCATTCGATTCTATTCAATCCGTCCGTCCATCCATCCTTTCACACATCTAATCCAATTTATTCATATGTGAAGAAAAGAAAATTCAGTACAATATTACCATTGCACATTTATATAAACATTGTATTCCTGTAAAAAAAAAATTTCATTTTCAATTTCCATTCTTATTTTGCATGTCACCATCATCAACATTTTTAAGATTAAAAATTTAAAATTATAAAAAAGCGAATCAAGAATTCATCATGACATACAGAATTGTGTCATGATGTTGTTGTCAAAAGTTATTTTCAGGAATCCATTGTTCATTCATCATCATCATCATCATCATCAACATTCGAATCAGAAAAAAATCGAATATCTGAAAAGTCAGATCATCCGCAACATTGAATGAATGAATGAATACGGGGAATGGAAAAGACAGAATTTCGTTTGTAGAATTTCGTTTTTTCTTTTTTAAAAAAATGGGAAAAAAACTTTTCTTTTTATCCCAAATTTTCTAAAAATATTTCTTCAGTTAGATTTTTCATTCATATATTGGATTATTATTTTAAAAGATTTTTTTTTTTGTTTTTCGTTTTGTTTTGAATTTCACTGAATGCCACTATCGAAATTTTGTCTTTGTGGTGATTCGAATGAACGATTTTTTTGTTGTTGTTGTTGTTGTTCATTTTCCATTCGACTTTCATTCGTGATTTTTGATTTTTATTTTTCATTCAAATTATAATCATAATTCATTTTTTTTTTTTGCAATTCTCTTTGGCCGTAAATCAATCAAATTAAATCGAATCGATCAGCCAAATCAAATTCTTGAATTGAAAAATGCTCGAAGGTCGAAGTTTGATATCGAATTATATCATTCTAATCGTATTATTAGTGATACTTTGGATCATTTATACCGGGGTAAGTGATTTTTGTGTGTTTTTTTGGTTCAATTTATTCATTCACTTTTTTTTGTGGTAAAATGTGTGTGTGACACATATTTTTCAATTCATTCAACTTGATTTTTTTTTGTCAATTTTTTTGTTGCTGTTGTTTAGTCATCATCCACTTATAATGATAATCATCATTGTTGTTGATCATTGGACCATTGCATGGTAAATAACAGCTATATACACCCACATTCACATACACATACAACACACAAACACGAACACACCTACGTCAATATAGAAGAAAAAGAAAAAACATTCGAAAAACAAAAATCATTCATCAGAATGGATCATTGATTATTATTAGAATTTATCATTATCATCATCATCATCATTAATGAATAATGGGTGTGTGTTTTTTTTTGGCTTAAAATTATTTCAAAAATCTCAAGATTTTTCCTATTAAATGTTTTTTCTCTTTCTTTCTTTTCTACCACAATTCTTTACGGTGTTGACATTTTCATCGTCGTCGTCGTCGTCGTGCCATTTTCATTTTTTTTTTTTTTTGTTTGACTTGACAAATTTTTCCGCTGATGATTATATTTATGATGATGATGATGATTTTTATTTAGTTTTATTCAACACTAATAATAATATATAATCGACCATAATCATTAACCTAAATTTAGATTCTAATTTGTTCATACGGCAATAGAAAAGAAAAAAATAAATAAATAAATCATCAATTTCCATTCAATTTGATTGTCAAGCACAATATTGGTGAAAATAGCCATATAGAAATCGAATCGAACGAAAAATTTTTCAAATCATTGAAATGTGTTTAAAATAACCATTTGGGTTTTTTTTTCTCTGTCTAGAATGGTGATCATCATCATTTTTAATTATTATTATTATTCGCATCCGTTGCTGTGTATTAAATATATTTGACATTGAAAAAATATTTTCATCATCATTATCACTCTAATGGATTTATTCCACATGTTTATGAATTTTTTCACTAATTCTAATTTTATATACTGCCACCACCACCACCACCATCATCATCATCATCATCATCATCATAATTTGTTCAACAAATCCGAATCATTTATTACAAGACATAGCTAGAAAATTCTTTTTTTTTCCTTATAAATTTCGAGGTTTTTTTTCCCATAATCATGATGATGAAAAACAAAAAAAAAAAAAATGTAAATCATCATACACAAGTGCGTTGCAATCGTTGCATTAGTACTACACACACACACATACACAATTGAATGACGCCGACGACAACGAATTCAAACAGAATTTGAAGCCAAAAAGACAAAAAAAATTCTCGACAGATGACGAACAGATGCTATGAGAAAATGAATGAAATGAAAAGAAAAGGGGACAAAGAAGAATGAACAAAAAAAAAAAAAATATTTCTATGGCTATAATTATCATTAAACTATTGAAATACAGAGAAAAAAATGTAGAAATTCTGTTAAAGATCAAAATCTTGAATTTTTATAAGAAAAAAAAATGCCGCCACCACCACCACCAAGAGAATATTCTCGCATCATTCTAATTAACTTTTTATTTTTGCCTGGTATGATGATCTAGTTGTTTGGTTGTTTGTTTGTTGGTTTTTTTTTGTCGTGTTGGTCGTTCGTTGTTGCTTTCACTTTGTTTTTTATATATTCGTTTTATTTGGAGACATTGTGACACACACACACACACACACACAACAAACACCATCTAATTCGACATTGATTTGTGATTAATGTAAAGAATACTCGTATTTGGTTCATGTTTCTCTCTCTGTGTGTGTGTGTGCATTGATTGTTGATATCAACGGTTTATCGTGAATGATAGGATAATCCTAATAATCCGGTTTTTTTCTGTTTGTTTCCTGAATTGATTTTACAACACTCCATTTATATTTATATATAAAAAAAACGATAATCCATTCGAATTAGCGAAAGAACCAGATCAAAAACGATGGCCGAACGAAGAACAGAACGTCGTCGTTCATCAATAGTTGAACAGATGCAAGAAAAAGAAGCAAAAAGTTTAATGGTCAATTATTTGATCCTATTATTATTGCTTGGTTTATTATGGACCATTTATGTTGGTTTCTGGTAAACACCACCAATTAATGGATAATCGACCGACCGCACCAATCAATCGCATCATCACATACATACATACGTTTTACACATCATTTCATCGATCAAACAAAAAAAAAACAAAATTTTTCAAATTTAACAAAAAAGAAAAAATGTTGTAGTCATCATTGATGTATGAATGAAAAAAAAATGAATTTTCGGAAATTTTCTCCAACCTACCCAAGCAAAAAAAAAAAAAAAAATTTCCATTTCCCATTCGAATATTCAAGATTCTTAATTATTTCGTATCGCATATATTTTATTATTATATCTTCTTTATTTCAGATGTAAATACTAAAATGAAAACCGATTACAAAATCAAATCGAATGGATCACGATCGATTCCAATATCATCATCTTGATCATGGCTTACCACCACCACCACCACCGCCACAACCTCCGTCAACAACAACAACCAAAAATCAATTCAATAATGGAATGAAAAAAAAAAAAAAAAATGAAAAAGTTTCAATTCCCTCAAGTCCAGTTCCACCAATATTTTGATTAAAATTCTATCCGTTTATTATATAGAATTAAAAAAACAGAAACAAAAAAAAACTTTCAACTTTTATTTTGTTCATCATTCAATAATAAATTGAAAATCGATAACAACCAAATCGAATCTTTTTTTTTTTTGTTCATTGCACAATATAATCTTTATAATGTTTTAACAATTTCAATTGTCGTTTAAGACGTTTAACGAAACCATATGGTTGTACGAGGATGGAAATCTCTTTACCTATTGCATTCAACAAGGTTTCAATTTCATTATTTTTAAAAAATAAATTCAATGGACGATTATTGATTTCGGTTAGAAACCAATTCTGATGTTGATTTATCACCATATTCATCATTATCATTGAATGTGATGGATTAGCATCATCATCATCATCATCATTGTTATTATTATTATTATCTGAATAGAATTGACAATGTGATGTTAGACCATAACGATATGCAACACTTCCTTCGATTACTTGTGTTATTTGTCCAGTACCTTTTTCACGTTTCAATCCAAGATCTTCACCATCATAGGAACGTTTCAAACAATATATCTGTCCAAATGGTACACGACGTATAATAAAATCTAAATGTGTTGATGTTGTTTGTTTCTTGATAAATTGTTTAGCCTGTTGAGCGGTTTCAATGGTAACACCATTAATGCTGATTAATTTATCACCAATATGAAATGTATTATGCAGATAGGGATGATCACGTTGTTTCCAGCCAGCAATAAATACACCATATGGATCCAGATCAACAAATGCAATAGAATTATAACAATCTTTTTTTCTCACTTTCAATAAAACACCATTTGTTTGTTGCATTTCTTTTCGAAATTTTTCCACTTGCATCTCACGAAATGATGGCCGATGAATGGTGATTTCATCATTAGCACCAGTTGAACATTGATTTATATTATTTGTCGATGTTGTAGGAGCATTGGTATTAGTAAAAATACATTCATATGGTGGTGGACCTTCATCCGACGGCATTACCGGATGATTCAAAGATAGTCGACGAATTTCTTCAGATAGATTAAATATCGGTTCATATAGTTCATCTGTTTGATTAATATTTTGAGTATTATAGTGGAACTATTATTATTATTGTTTATGTTTGGCCGTCTTGGAGGTAATATTGGACTTTTTGAATAGAAATTTTCTGCCGGTTGAAGTATATTCATTTCAATCAATTTTGTTCGTAATGAACCAATCCAATCCCACATTACTTCATCAGTATCGGCAGCCAAACGTATCACATGTGTTGATAATGTAATAGAAAATTCATTATGTCTTTCATCATGATTTGTTTCAATCACAGCGTTTATATAGCGACAATTAATCAATGAATGTTTTGATACTGGTCCATCTGATTGTGGTTGTTGTTGTTGTTGTTGTTGTTGCTGTTGTTGTGGTTGTTGATGATTTGATTGTCGCTTTTGATAGAATTCTAAATACGGTGTTTGAGATCCATATACGGCAAATACAACCCAGAATTTATGATCATCCGATGATGAATATTTCTCCGCAAAAGGTATGTATTTTAGCCAACCTTTTTTAGAAAAAAAAAATATCAATTTAAATCATTGAATAGAGTGAATAGAATGAATTTACCAGCACGTTGTACATCACGATTTTCGAAAAAAATCTGATTTGTACGCAATACAATCGGCCTATTAATCGAATGTTGTTGTTGCTGAGTAATGGTTGAATTTCGTTGAGTATTATTATTGGTCATCATCACGAATTTTTTTTTCTTTAAATGAAGAATTTATGATTCAAATACAATTAAAACAATTACAAAAAAAACAAACAAACGAACGAATGAATGAATATAGATGAGATATTTTGATGATTTACGACACAATCACAAAACATTGTAAATATCGCCAAACAGTTTTCGATGATTTTCGATGATCATCAATAGATTTTACTGGTCGAATAGAGAGAGAGAGAAAGAAAACATACAGGAAATGAACAAATTGAAAAATTGATTGATTGATCATAAATCAATTAAACAAGAAAATTAATTTTCAAACAAATAAACTCTTTCGACAATGTATCATCATCATCATCATCATCATTGTTCACAATTAATTCAATTGCGTAGTCATTGTTTGTGATTTTGATGAATTCCATTCACAAAAAAAATTCTTTCTCTTTCACAAATTGTTTTCTCTTGTTGTTGATTATTACAATTTCTATAGAAATATTTCATCACCATCATCATCAACTGGTTCGGCATTCACAAAATGGGCTGAAGAAAAAAAAATCCTGTTTTTCATCTCGTTCGATGTGTATGAAATCGTTTATTCGGTCTACAAATACAAACACAAACACAAACATACACACACCGAGAATGTATGGGTTGTACTTTTGAATTTTCTTTTTTTTTACAATTCACCGCGAAATACATACGAATAATGATGATGATGATAATAATTTAATCGAGCCATCGATCATCCAAATCCACCGCGGTTGTTTTGGTGGTGGTGGTGGTGGCCAAATATTTTTGTGTGAGCCACGGTGATCGAAACAACAAATCCAAATTGGCCAATAATAATAATAACAATTAATGAATAGAATAAGTTACGAGCTGCCATCTACCGAAAAAATTAGATTAAATCTTGATTGTATTCGAATTTTTAATTTTTTTTTCTTTATTGTTTTGTTTACAACGATTATAAAAATGACCATTATTTTTTTTCACATAAATCTTGTAAGTATCGTTGATTGTGTTATTAGAATTTTTTTCAAATTGATTATTTTTTTTATATCTGTCCATCTTATCATCATCATCATCATCATCATCATCATCAATTATGCCATACTTTGATCATCAAATGGCTACAAGCATATCGGATTCACCATCCGATTCACAATCATCAAAATCAATGGGTTCGAAAAAAGATAAAATATTACGAACAGTGGCTTGTTCGAATAAAAAAACTGAAAAAATAACTCACAAAGATCCGGATGCATCGATAACATCAAAATATAAACAAAATATTGATCTAAGAAAATTAATGTTTATGCGTAATTTATTGAAAGCTGAAATTGAAACACTACAAAAAACAAAAGGAGCTCTACCAAGTGATAATAATCCCAATTATGCGAAATATAGTTATGATACGAATAAATCATTACAACAACAATGCGCTAGTGATTCACAATTCTATGAGGCACAAAATACCGATTATCCAGCACAGCCACTTTGTTGTCAATTATATGATTCAAAATCATCTGGTATTGAATCAAATTCTTTATATCTTCGTACAATACGTCATCTTGGTAAAAAACATCAATCAATCGTACAAACATGGGATTTATTCATAAATTCATCTGGAAATATTGAAATATTCCAGGAATATTGTTCAGCTGGAAATCTTGAACAATTTGTAGAGAATAATACATTGAATGAAAAACAAATCTCATTGTATGCATGGCAATTATTACGTGGATTAGATTTCTTGGGTGATATTGGTATCTCACATCGTGATATACAACCACATAATATTATGTTGCGGCCAGCACAGAAAGATAATTTTTTGAAAATAACAAATTTCCATAAATCAATCATTTATTGGAATGTAACAGAAAATGATGTTATCTATGTTCAATGTGAACCAAAAGATAAACAAGGTGATAAAAATTATCAAGCACCAGAAATATATGGTGATCCATCGAAAGAAGAATTTGATCCAATAATTGCCGATACATGGTCATATGGTGCTGTTATTCATTTTATGGGCTCCAAACAATATCCATATAATGTTGGTTCGAAATCAGATGATCTGGACAAAGAAATTGCTGATAATGTTGATAAATTAAAATCACTATCAAAGGATGGTAAAGATTTATTGAAAGCAATATTAAAAGCAAATGCAAGTGAACGAATGCCTATTGGTCTTATTGAGAAAAGTTCATGGTTCAATGATGCTAAAAGGGTAAGTGTCAGTGTTTTTTTTGTAAGTAAATACTTTAATTTTTTTTTCTCTTCTCGAAAGGCTAAACTTAAAATTTTGGTGGATAAAAATGCACCTGTAGCAAAAGGAGGAGCTGGTAAAGTTGCGGATTTTGGTAAATCCAATATATTTGCTCGACCATCTGAATTTAAATCAACAGCATCAACAAAAAAAGAAAAATCTTCGTCATCGAAAAAATCAATTTCAAAATCCAAATCATTGTCAAGTAAATCGAAATCTAAATCAAAAACAATGGCTGATAATGATGATGGTGAAGCTTCGGATCAAGAAGCAAGTGCTTCTGGCGCAGCATCATCTTCATCTAAAAGCGGCAAAACCTCAGGAAAAGAAGATGATGAAGATGGAGAAAGTGGATCTGAAGGAGATGGCAGCAGCGGTAAAGATGATGAAGCATCTGGATCGCAATCAAAATCTGGAACCACATCAAAATCAAAATCAAAAGCTGATTCATCATCAAAGTCAAAATCCAAATCTTCTGCATCATCTAAATCAGGAGCGACATCGGGTGAAGAAAGTGGTTCAGAAGAAGGAGGTGGTAGTGAAAATGATGGAAGTGGTAAAGATGAACAATCAGGATCATCATCGGCAAAATCTTCGGCAAAGTCTACATCTAAATCTGATGCATCATCAAAGTCAAAATCCAAATCTTCTTCATCCTCAAAATCAGGAGCAACATCTGGTGAAGAAAGTGGTTCAGAAGAAGGAGGTAGTGAAAATGATGGAAGTGGTAAAGATGAGCAATCAGGATCATCGGCAAAAGTCAACATCTAAATCCGGTGCATCATCCAAATCAAAATCCAAATCTTCTTCATCCTCAAAATCAGGAGCAACATCAGGTGAAGAAAGTGGTTCAGAAGAAGAAGGAGGTAGTGATAGTGAAAGTGGACAATCAGGATCTTCCGCAAAGTCAACATCGAAATCTGGTGCATCGTCCAAATCAAAATCCAAATCTTCTTCAAAATCAGGAGCAACATCGGGTGAAGAGAGTGATTCAGAAGAAGGAGGTAGATGATGAAAGTGGACAAAGTGGACGACATCGAAATCTGGGATCGTCCTCAAAATCCAAATCTTCTGCATCTGCAAAGTCAACATCGAAATCTTCTGCAAAGTCAACATCGAAATCTGGTGCATCGTCCAAATCAAAATCCAAATCTTCTTCAAAATCAGGAGCAACATCTGGTGAAGAGAGTGGTTCAGAAGAAGGAGGTAGTGATAGTGAAAGTGGACAATCAGGATCTTCCGCAAAATCTTCTGCAAAGTCAACATCGAAATCCGGTGCATCATCCAAATCCAAATCTAAATCTTCTTCAAAATCAGGAGCAACATCGGGCGAAGAGAGTGGTGCCGAAGGCAGTGAAAATGATGGAAGTGACAAAGAAGAACAATCAGGATCATCTACGGCAAAGTCAACATCAAAATCTGGTGCATCATCCAAATCAAAATCAAAAAGCAAATCATCAAAAAGTGGCACTGATGATAGTGATGCAAGTGATTCAACAGCTGCCTCAGAATCATCATCTCCTACATCGAAAACCAAATCAAAAACACTTTCCACGAAATCAAAATCGACTGCGGTTTCATCCAAATCGAAATCAAAATCGGCAACAGATTCTACGTCAACGTCGGCAGCATCGTCGAAAAAACTTAAATCCAAATCGAAATCTGTATCGAAAAAATCCAAAAAGAAATAAGAAAAAATTGAAGGAGATTTTAACGCATGGTAATGGAAAAAAAACAGCGCGAAAAAATTAAAATTAAATTTAAAAATTGAAAATCCTCATCAATAATGATGTGTGTTACATTCTATTTGAATAAAACTGAATTTATTGTTCGGCGCGCTCTTTTTTTTCAGCGCATTTATGCATGTTGACATTTTTGAAAGTTTCAAAAAAAAAAAAAATAAAATAAAATGGGAATTCTTGGCCTTTCTCGTTTGATAGCCGATGTGGCACCGGAAGCAATCAAAGAAATCGAATTGAAATCATTATTTGGTCGTCGTATTGCTATCGATGCATCGATGTGTATCTATCAATTTTTAATTGCCATACGAAGTAGTGAATATACGATGACCAATGAACAAGGTGAAACCACATCACATTTGGTCGGTTTATTTTATCGAACAATCAAATTGCTTGAGGTATGTGTCATTTGTATTCTATGAAAATTTCTAATTCCGTTTTTTTCTTTTTATTTTAGACTGGAATCAAACCGGTATATGTTTTTGATGGTAAAGCACCTAAACTTAAATGTGGTGAATTAGAAAAACGTGCTGAACGTCGTACTGAAGCTAAAGATAAATTGGAAGAAGCAAAAGAATTACAAAATGTTGAAGATATTGAAAAATTAAATAAACGATTAGTGAAAGTAACTAGAAAACATACGGATGATTGTAAACGTTTGTTGGTATTGTTGGGCATACCGATTGTTCAGGCACCATCGGAAGCCGAAGCTCAATGTGCACAATTATGTAAAGAAAATCTTGTATATGCTGCTGCTACAGAAGATATGGATGCATTGACATTCGGTTGTCCTCGTTTGATTCGAAATTTAACATCCGGACAGAATGAAAAAGTGAAAGAATATCAAATTAGTAAAGTTCTTGCCGGTTTAGATGTAACGCAGGATCAATTTATCGATTTAAGCATTCTAATGGGTTGTGATTATTGTTCAAATATTCGTGGTATTGGTGGTAAAAAAGGTCTGGATTTGATACGAAAATTTGATTCGATTGAAGGTATTTTGAAAAATAAATTCGGCATTGAAGAATATGTTGATGTAGAAATTGAATATAGTAATCGAAAAATTGAACCAAAAAAAGAAGAACAAGAAGAAGATACCAATGGTTTAGCAAAGAAAAACGGTGATCATCCTGATGAACCAATTGTATCGGAAATGGACACCACTACTGTCACCGAAATCAAACAAGATGATGATATTGAAGGTGAAAATGTTGAAATACATTCTAATCATTCTGATGATCAAGATGATGATGGCGACGAAAACATGGAAAAAGAAAAGACACCGGATAATTCAACAAAAAAAGTTCAATCAAATAAAAGACAACAAATGGTGGTGCCAGAAAATTGGCCATTTCGTGGTGCAAGAAAATTATTTCAACAACCATTTGTACTCGAAAATGAAATCACTGAAAATGATTTAAAAATGAAAGATATTGATGAAGAAGGTATGGTAAAATTTCTTTGCATTGAAAATGGTTTCAGTGAAGATCGTGTACGAAAATCATTGAAACGTGCACGTGAATCAAAACAAAAAGGTGCACAAACTCGTATCGATACATTTTTCAAAATGATGCCATCCGTATCATCATCAATTAGTCCGAATAAAAGACCATTGGATGCTAAACATTCGAATGGAAAAAAAAATTCAAACACCAATAATAAACGTGGACGTCGTGGTCGATAATTTTTTTTATTTTCATTTTGCATAATTTTCAAATTTCTAATTTTTTTTCAATAAAAGAAAACAAAAGTTACAAAAAAAAAAAAATTTCACCTCATTTATTGTGTATTGCACATTAAAAAAATCATTTAACAAATTGTTCATTCAACATTTTCCATGCACGTTTCACTTGTTCCATAGTGAATTCTTCTTCCCATTGTGTACAGAATACAACATTTGCATATGGAATTTTTTCACTACATGGCATTAATTTTTCAATTCGTTTCATTGCATCCGATTCATTGAGCTGATTACGGTCCATCAATCGTTTTATGACTTCTTTTTGGTCCAATATTGTTAACCATACCTGATGTACTTGATCCATTCGATTATTTTCAATTAATAATGCAATTTCCAACACTATTACACGATATTTGATTTTCATTTGATCAATTTCCAATTGTAATAATCGCCTTACTTCGGGCCATACAAAACTATTGAGCAATTTTAATTTGGCTTCATCATTGAATACGATTTGTCCTAATTTTGGCCGTACGATTTGACCATTATTATCGAGAATATCGTTGCCAAATGTTTCGACAATTTTCTTATAGGTTGGCGTATCAGAATTTTGATATGTTTTATGAGCCAACATATCGACATTGATTATACCGGCACCTAATTTTTCCAATTTTTTCGCAATAGATGATTTTCCACTGGCAATCATACCGGTCAAGCCTATTAGATATGGTTTATCGGGCAGATTTGGTCGTGGTTCCGGCAGTTTGAGCAATGTACCCAATTTACGTATACGTAATGATGATGAAGAAACTTTATTCTCTTCAATCAAACTTTCTTTATGATCATCTTGTAACAATTTTATCACATCAATTTTCAATGGTTTCATTCCTTTGGATTTACGTATTTCATTAATTTTTTCACCACCACGAATAGTTTCTTCACTAACAATTATTGCCTCTAATGTTGGATCCACTATGGCTGGTCCAAATGGATCGGAAATTTCACAGACATTATAATGAATAAATGGATCAACATCATTCAGATATTCATTCAATGATTGTATACGTTTTTCACTGGTTTCAATTAATTCACGTAATGTTTTTGTCTTGAGCATCTGTTCATTTGTCACACCTATCGTTAATGATTGATTACATTTTAATTGAGCTGTTGACAACAATATTTTATGTCCATTATGAAGATTATCAAATGTACCACCGATACAAACATTATCATAAATTTGATTAGAAATATTGGATGATGATTCATGATTGATTGGATCCGATGATTGATCAGCTGATAATGAAACGATTGCCATATTTGTATGATCATCAGTTAGATTTAATCTGCTAAGATATTGTTGAAGTAAATCATCTTTCCATTGTTCATTAGTAAATAGTATTTGTGGTCGAAATTGTAGCGATCGTTTTGTGGACATTATACCATTTTTACAATGATAATAACTATGATGAAGAACACGAACATCAAGCAATGGTGCACGTCGATGTGCTTCAACATAGATGGCTGGTACAATTTTTTGCATATCATCATTACGATAATCAACAACATTATTATTATCGTTCGTTTCCAATGATACATACAATGTTTTGGAAATTTTATTACTTGCTAATCGTATGTATGAACCGACATGGGTGAGCAATGATTTGGTCGTTTTTGGACCATAATTTAATATCATGAGACCATGTTGAAACATTGTTTAATTTCGGTTGTTTTTTATTCTGAACAATTGATCTGGAATGATGTTGAGTACAAATTGAATCTTTGGCACACAAACACACACACACATTTGGGTAGAAACATTCAGGTGTATATAGCCATCAAAGAAATAAAAATACGGAAATGAATTTTCGGGAAAAAAAAGAAAATTTATTGACGCACGTCGATGTGCTTCAACATAGATGGCTGGTACAATTTTTGCATATCATCATTACGATAACAATGATACATACAATTATTACTTGCCAATTGGGTGAGCAATGATTTGGTCGCTAATATCATGAGACCATGTTGAAACATTGTTTAATTTCGGTTGTTTTTTTATTCGAACAATTGATCTGGAATGATGTTGATTTTGGCACACAAACACACACACACACACATTTGGGTAGAAACATTATATAGCCATCATTGTTTCATGTTTTGAAGAAGATTGTTTCATGTTTTGAAGAAGATTGTTTTATGACATCGAAAATCAATCAACCATAACCATATGGTTATAATCTTATCATCAAATGTTGTAGATGACTAAATTTAGCCATTTCATCTAATAATCAAAGTGAATGGTGATGAAAAAAAAAAAATGAATTCGAATGAAAAATTCGGCTATCATTTCAGATTTGCAAGACAATGATCAATAACAATGATAAATCAATGGATAAGTTTTTTTATCTTTATGGTTTGTGTTTGTGTTTTCATTTTTATTTTTTTATTCATTTGTTTATTTTTGTTGTCTATTTATCAAGGTTTGCATTCATTGTCTTTTAACGGCAGTTGATCATGATGATGAAGACGATGATGGCTTTACAACACTTACAGATGATTATGGTCATACTATTGGTCATATAAATCAAGAACCAATAACTAATCGAAAACATAATGATGAACGGAATGATGATGATGATGACAGCACCGACGACGACGACGACGATGGCGATAATGATGATCGGAAAATTCAGGTTAAAAAACGAAATCGTAATAATTGGAACAATGATGATAATGATGACGATGATGATGATGATGATGATATGCTTTCAAATGATGAATCAATGACAAATCATCGAAAATTTCGTCGTTCAAAAAGAAAAAAATCTAAAAAATTACATTCAAATGACGATTATCGATCAAAAATCAATATGGATGACAATAATAATAACGGTGATGATGGTGGACAGAAAGAAATATTAAAAACTCAACAAAAATTAGCAACAATGAATCGTGTACCTGATGTACATAAAAGTCTTATTATTAAAGTATATCGTGGTCCAACCGAACATCAGGATGATAATCGTAAATCATTTGCATCATGGGGTTATTTCATTAAATTTCCAAATGTTTAAATGTAAATTTTCATTTTTTAAAACAAACAAACACACACGCACACTCAATCAAACATAAACATTCGATTTTTTTTTTGTTATTGGAAACACACACACACAATAATTTTGTGACACTTGTTGTTTTTTGTTTAAATTTTAATTTGAAAAGAATTTTTTCGATAAAATTAATGACAATTTATATTATAATAATAATAATAAAATGAGAATTTGTTTTTGTATCAATCAAATAAAATGATGGTGATCAAAAAAAAAAAAAAAAAAAAAAAAAAAAAGAGAAGAGAAGAAAATATAAAAGATGTGTAATTTACTCATTCACCAACCACCCAGCCACATTTCACAATGATAATAATAATAAGTGGAATTATTCTGTTTGTGTGTGTGTGTAATATGGGTAATGAAAAATATAAAATAGAATTGTTTGTAGAAAAAAAACACCAAAAAAAAGAATCGAATCTTTGAAGAATTTGAATATATGTGGGCGGCTGTGTGTGTGTGTGTTTATGTTATGTGGATCCAAAAAAAAAAAAAAACAAAAACAAAAATGGCTAAAACTTGACAAAATACATGAAAATGAATGTTTTGTTTTGTACGGATGGTAGAATTGTGTGTGTGTTGTACTGCAAAAAAAAAAATTTTCGATGTAATAAACATGCAAAATTAGAATATTTTACTAGAATTTCTTTTTTCTTGGTTGTTTTATATATCTCAAACAAATAAATGTTCAAATGTGAATGAGAATTAATTAATTGAATGAAATTTAAATCAATAATAATAATAATGATGATGATTGATCTAATATAAATGTTAATGGTGATGTTCAAATGAATGAATGATAAAAAAAATGATCAAAATATCTTTCAGAATGTGGATAATTTTAAAAAAAAAAAATTAATGATAATGATGATAATGAAATTCGAGGAAGAAGAGGCAGGAAAAAATGTTGTTGTTGTTGTTGTGCTAGAAGCCTATTGTTTGTTTGTTTGTTTGTTGGTTGCGTTTTCTCTGGTTTGATTTGATATTTATATAAAAAAAATGATAATGTGATGGCCTTATTATTATCGATTGGATGCTTGAATTGGTTGATTCCATAAAGGATATGCAATGCCATTCACAAATGCAATGATGATCAATGGATTCGTTCGATTTTTTTTTTTTTTTTTTGATACGAAATTCTTCAAAATTGATAATCAGGACCAACCATTTCAATGGCCCAACGAAATTTATCACGCTGTGTTTTATTGTAAATCTTTTCAATTGGAACTTCCCATTTTTTGCACCTTAAATGAAACAAATCAAAAATTAATTTAATTTAAATCAGAAATTTAAAAACAACTTACCATGCAACACTGATACGTGGATCCAAATAATTTAGCTTCGAAGTGCCCAATGCAATTTGTTTATTTTCTTCTTTATCAACTTTGGCCACTTCCAATTTTTTCAATTGTTCTTCCAATGTTTTCAATTTCTTTTTATATTTTTCTTTAGCGCCAGCATCATTTTTTGTTTCTTTATATTGTTTTTTCAATTCTTTAATCTGTGTTTTTTTATCCTTAATTTTACCATTAAGATTTTCCATTTGTTTATCATGTGTTTTGGAAACAGATTTTTGATGATTACACAACAATGCAACGGCACGATTTGCACGATTATAGGCAAGTATCTTTTCCGGCATTGTCATATCAAGTTTTGTTAATTCATTTAGCTGTTGTTGTAGAGTATTGGATGCATTATATGTACGAAATACTTTGGCCGTCAAGCCATCCATCAAAGAATTTAAATACTTATTCAAACTTGATGTATTCAGACGATCAAAAAGATCATCACCTGGACTTTTATCGACGATAAAATGTTTTAGATTTTTAAACACACGTTTCTCCACCGATACTGAATTCACATAACGTATGGAATCTTTACCCAAAAAATCAAAATCAACAACATATTGTTTGCCATCTTTTTCTGAATGTAATGTAATATGTTCAACACGTAATGAACAACAACCAACAGTGTCAGCGGTTTCACCTTCTTCTTTTTCATTGCCGGCTCTCAATGCTAATTTATCAATAAAATATAATGCAACAGCACGTTGTCGTTTCATCATTTCACGGGATTTAAAATCAGCCCTATAATCGGAACGGATTTTATTCACATATTTTTTCAATTCACGTGCTTTTTCATATTTTTGCCAATCTTTTATACTTTTCAATTTTGATGATGGATTCAACATTATATATTTAACATTGCCCATAATGTTTTCCGTCCACGATGCTAACCATGTAACAGTATTATCATGACGTACTTCTTTCCATTTATGACCAGCCGGTGGTGTCGGTATTTTAACTTTTTCACCAATATTAATAATTATATCTTCTGGTTGTACACGTTTTTTCAGTTTACCCATTTTAGGATGTTCACCACGGCCACGAAACAATCCAGGTGGTTCGATACGAAAATTGCCAATTTTTTGTTTATGGCCATCAACAATACAGTAACCATATTTATTGACAATTTCTTCATTTTTCAATTTAATTTGTTGTTTTTCTTCTTTTGTCATCTGTTTACGTAATTCGGATTGTTGTTTAAAATATTCATTCAATTCATGAAAATTACATTTTTTCAAATCAGTAATCAATTCACGTTCTTTTTCATTCATTGTTTTACGCCAATCTTTGAAGAAATTTTTATTGAAAACATCTTTCGATGTATATTCATGTTCCAACATTCGTGCATAAAATCCGGCCACTTCTTCGGCTTCTGATGATAGTTCGAAATGTTTTCCATCATAATAGAATCGTACCTTCTTTGGTAATGGTTCATAATCCGGTGGAAATACTGGACCATTATGTTCCAATGTTTTCCATTTGATACCTTCACCAGGACTTTCTTCTTCCCACCATTTCCAAATATGTTCATCTTCTTCTTCTTGTTTCTTTTTTCGTTTCTTTTCAACTTTACCATCTGACGATGATGATTCTTTTTTAATTTTAGATTTTTTATTATTATCTTTTGATGATTTTGAATCTTTTTCTGATTTTGTTTTCACCGTTTTTGTTTTCATTCCACCATCATTCATTGCCAATGTCGATGTTGATGATGATGATGGTTTGTCTTTTTTATTCTTTAATTTTTTCTTATCACCACCACTGCTATCCAGATGTTTTGTTTTGGATTTTTTCAATTTTTTCGATGATGATTTATATTCTGAATCACTATAATCGGATTCATTATCATTATCATCATCATTATCAATATCATCATCGTCACTATATTCACGTTTGATTTTTTTCTTTAATTTTGTCGTTGTTGTTGTTGTTGTTGAGGAATCATTATTTGAATGTTTTGTATCGGATTTTTTAGATTTTTTCGTCTTTTTAGGCATATAATCATCTTCATCAGAATCATTATGTTTACGTTTTTTCTTCTTTTTAGATTTATTATTATAATCATCATCATCATTTGAATCACTTTCTTCTTTATATTTTGAATGATGATGATTATTTAACATTGAATTATTATTATTATTACTACTACGGGTATTATTATTATTGTTGTTGTTATTGTTCGATACCATTCCAAATGAATCATCTGGTTCAGATTTCATCTCTGAACGTTGTGAATCATCATCATCATCATTATTATAATCTTGACTATTGTCATTATCATCATCTTCATCATCATCATAAGAATCATATTTTCCATTACCATTACGTGAATGATATTGTTGTGAATCATCATCATCATCACTTTGTTGTTGTTGTTGTTCATGTTGATCATCCGATTCATCAGCCGATGATGAATTGGCCATCTCGTTTTTTTTTGTTCTTAATATAAAATCAAATTATTGTCGATGATAAATGAATTGATTAATTTGTTTGTTTTGTGGTTCCTGTTTCAAATTTGAAAACGAAAAAAAAAATTTATTTTCATAATCATCAAATGTAAAAAACTTACTTTGGGTTAATTAGAAAAAAAAATCAGTCTAGATAGATAAAATTGTCATCGTTGTTGTTGTTGTTGTTGTCGATTTTGATGTGCCCAATGTTAATAACGACAATAACGGCAAAAAAGTTGACAATACACACACAAACTTTACATAAAAGGTAAGAAAAAAAATTATCTATTTACAAGCACATACACAATTTACGGTCGTTGATTGTTTAATTGATGATGATGATGATGATGATGGTGATGGTTTTAAAAACACCGGTCACAGGATTTTTTTTTAGTCGAAACGAAACAGAATCGTCCAATAAGTCACTCGATAAACACACAAACACACACACACAAAAACAGAATTGATCAAATTCGTCGTAATATACCCGAGGTAGAATGAAGATGAGAAAAAGTTTCGGTAAAAACAATCAAAATTCCAAATGAATAACGATTCGATTTCGCGAAAAGACGGTCGAGGTTTGTTTTCGAGATTACTGTTTTTCCGGTGTATTGAACAAAAAAAAACCATCAAGATTGATTTTTCTAAATGAATGAAAATGTGCTACAAATAATCGAGAGAGAAACAAACAAAAAAAAGAAGCCAAAAAAAAAATCCTAAATGAAACCCCAATTAATGATGAACACAACGACAACGACGACGACGACGACGAGAAAAAAAAGACCAACAACAACGGCAACGGCAAAACGAGACGATGGCGAGTTGGACTTAGTTTTTTTTTCAGCCTTTTTTTTCAGAGTTTAGTTTTTTTTTCTATCTATTTGTGCAACTTTGTGTGTGTTTATGCTGTGCTATGTAACCATTTTTCAATGCGTTTTTGCCATTAGCTACTTTTTTGTTTTGCAAAAGAAAAAAAAAAGAAAGACTCGACAATCATCATCATCATCATCATCGAACAAATAAAATACTGAGACGACAATGGAGAATAATGTGAGAAGATATAGTGAGAGATTGTGAGATTTTGGGAGGGTGAGTTACCGCACACACACACACACACAAGTTAATGCTACTACTTTTTATTGGTCATACAACAAACAAACAAAAATTTTTTTTTTTTTTGGCCATTTTGTCCCGCGAGGTTGAATGGCTGAATAATGATGGTCTGTGCATGAGTGGAGAGAGAGAGAGAGAAAGAGGGTGAATTTTGTGTGTGTGATAAATACCACTAGAAATTTAGACAGTAACGCCGTCTGGTGTTGAAATAATTTTTTCAAATTTTTTTTCTCTGAATTATTAACAGATGGCGATAATAGCAGTATTGGGATATTCAAATTGTTTTTTTAAATTTTTAAATTCACAAAAATTCATTTCATTTTTCCAATAAATACATTGAATACAATTTTTGATGATCATGTTGTGAAAATTTTTGATTAAAATTAACAATAAATTGTCGATTACATTCATCATCTTGAAGTGATTCGAATTTTTTATTCTGCGAATAAATGACAACATCTGGTACGGATTTATGTATACCAGTTAGTTGTCGAAATTTATTATTATGAAAAATATGTTTCAATGAAAGTTCAAAATGGAAAATAATCCATTCATAGCCATTTTCTTTACATAGATTAATCCATTGTTGACGTGATTTTCGTTCAATATTTGTATTATCGATCACAATATTACGTTGTTCTTGTATTGATTTTTTCATCAATTGTTGACATTTTTGTATGGTTTTTAGTTGATCATAATTTACATGTACATAATTTAATGGTTGTAGATAATTTTCATAAAATGTTGTTTTTCCTGATCCCGATATACCACAGAATATTATACAATGAACACGTGTTGGTAATATTGATTCGATATTGGGAATTTTCTCTCCAGTTAATCGATTTGTAAGCAAAAAATTTGATTCTTTCGTTTTGTCATCAACTTTGAAACATTTTTCTGGTAATGAGGAACTATATTCGAATTTTTGTTGATAATCAAATCCATTATATTTGGCGACATGAATGAGGAATTGTTCGGGTGTCAGAAAATTCACACCAATATTCATTGCAAACAAAAGATCCGATGCACTAAAATCAGCTTTTTTCAATGCACTTTTTGAACGGCCAGCTGCATCACCTACATAGAAACTTTGTTTCAAATTAATTTCTACATCTGGTTGAATATTTCGTACAAGATGATTCCAAAGACCAATACATGGTTTACGATAAATATCATCTTTTGTGGCCACCAAAATCAAACAAGGTATTCGTTCAATACATAAATCTTTCATTGAATTTTCGAAACGTTTTCGAACCATATCCACCGTAACTTTACCTTTCGATATTCCCAATTGATTAGAGAATATAACAAACCGGTAACCTTGTTGTTCAACCAATTTTTGAATGAATCCTGTAAGTCTTGGATCAAATAATTTCCAATCATTTTCATCACTGGGAAATGATTTTCCAGTTTTCGTACAGACCAATGTAAAATCGAAATCAAATCCAGCAATTTTATCGGATTTACAATCGTAACCACCAAATAGTGAACCAATCATAACATTACCAGATTCTAATTCAGTCCATGAGATTTCATCATTCATTACTTGGGCCATTGTTGAAGCATTTTTTGAATCATGAATCATACAAATTCTATAGGAAAATCCAGGACCATTAATAAATTCACCAGATTTCATTTGAACAGTACGATCATCTTTTAAATATTCAACCAATAATTTATTTTCATTCGATAATAATTGAATTTTACAATAATTTCTTGAACAAAATAGATTTTTAATTTTACATTGTTGATTACGACCAATAATCAATGTTTGGCCGGCTTTGATTATCTGATCAGGAATCGAATGATCGGTACTAATCAATTTACAGGTTATCATCATAATAATAAAATAAAATAAAATCAAATCAAATTTAAAATTTATAGATAGAACGAAAAAAAGTTTTCAATGTCACAAAAATATTACAATAAATTCAAAAAATTCACCGAAACAAAACTCACATTCAAATCATCATCATCATCATGAATTTGTGTGTGAAAAAAAACGACAGACGAACATCATTCAAAGATGACGAAATTCGAAGATTTAAATTTTTCATTCAAAGATGACGAAATTCGAAGATTTAAATTTTTTTTTCTTGTTTAAATAAATAAATAATAATATAAATATTTCAGGAATATTGTTCCATAAAATTTAAATGAAATTGTTTAAATTTTTTCATCATTGCTTCAAGTTTTTCATTTTGTGGTAGAATTGTTGTCCGAAAATGATAAGTACCGGGTATTTGGCCAAAACCGGATCCAGGCACAACACAGATACCAGTTGTTTCGAGAAGATTCATTGCATAGAAAAAATCTGCTGCTTGTCCAAGTTCTGTGGCTTTTTCTTTAGCTTTTTTCGGTATATCTATCTGTGGAAATGCATACATTGCACCGGCTACTTTGTTCGATTTTATACCCGGTATTGTATTGAATGTATCGGCCACCAATTTTGCACGATATTTTAATGCTGCCAATACATCGGATTTTTCCTGATGATATCGTTCATATGATTCACCATCAACATCCGGTGGTTTGACAATACAATCTAATGCAATCTGTCCAAGTATTGATGAACAAAGACGAGCCGAAAGCATTTTAAAAAACATTGCTTTAACCGATGGATCAAAGTTTACTAGTTCACAATAACCACCACGTAATCCACATTCACCCATAAAACCTTTCGATGCCGACATGACCGATGCTAATTCAATGTCTTCATTCAATTCATGAAGAATTTTTTTGAATGAAAAAAATTCACCATCATAAATATTATGTTGATAAACTTCATCGGCAATAATGAGAATTTTATTCTCTTTAGCAAAACGAATAATATCTTCGATATTTTTTTTGGTCAATACCGAACCAGTTGGATTACCCGGATTGATAACAACAATTGCTTTTGGTTTACATTTCACTTTGGCTTCATTCAATGAACGTTTTAATTCATCAATATTTAATGACCATTGATTATCTAATTATGGTGGAAATAATTCAAATAATCAATTGTGGTAAATAATCATGATAACTAACCTTCATCAAGATAATAATTAATTGGATACATTCCATATTCAGTAATAGTGGCAGAATAAAGTGGATATTGTGGTATCGGTATCATAACACCGGACGGTAATGAATCAGTTGAACAGGTATTGATTAAAGCTAATATAGAACGTATACCTTCACTGGCACCAGTTGTAAGAACAATATCACGCCATTCAGATTCAATACCATCACGATGGCTAACATATTCTGCACAATGTTTACGTATAATTTCAACACCAGCTGAATCAGAATAAGCACCAACAGATTGTCCACCACAATATTTTAGCATTAATCTTGTCCGTTCTTTAACATCATTTGGATAATGTTGACTAGTCAAAAGGCTATCATCAGATGAACATGCCAATACTTGTCTTAAAAATGTTAACGGTCTTTGACCCATTGCATGACAATCACCAATATTTGCACGTATTACTTCATTAAATAATCTTTGGTTATTGGACGATGATGATGATGATGATGATGATTGTTGTTGTTGTTTCAATTCATTTTCAATAACACCGGCACGTATCACTAATGGACCACGTACAGCATATTCTAAACGTTTAACATTATCATTTATATTATCCAATGTTATTGTATGTCGACAACAATTATTCATTCGAATAAATCGTTGCTGTTGTTGTTGTTGTTTTGTGAATAATTAATATTCAATGATGATAAATAAAATAATCGTCCATAACGTTGTGAATTCATGATTCAATTTTTATTATATTGGAAGTAAGACAAAGAAAACAGCGTAGATTCTTTCGAATCAGAAACAAAAACCGTTATGAGTGGATAAATTTTCGTTTTTACATTACTTTACTTTACTTTACATTCGAACAATGAATGTATTCATCATATAATTTGAATATATGATGAGAAAATAAACTTTGCTACCCTAAGAACAAATTGTTTGCTATCAATCGTTCATTTTTCCACTGTTTAATTTGTTGTTTTTTTGTTGTTGTTGTTGTTGTTACTGCTGATAACTTTGATGTTTATCATCAATTCATTTATCAAAACAAAATAGGTGAAAAAAATCCAAAAGTTAACAATAGATCCGTTAGATGGAGCCAAGTGATGAACTGATTCAAATCTGGTTTATTTTTTTTTAATTTGAAAAATTTTAATAAAAAATTTTTTTTCTTCAAATAAATTATTTTTTCTTGATATCAATAATGTATATATATTGTAATTAACACTAAATAATAAATAAAATCTTCTTTATATCAATTTACAATTGGTACACAAAAACACTGATCAATCGTCTTCACTCAAAAACCGTTGTGTTTTTTATTTTCGCTCACGACCCCTTCAGAAATGTCGTGACTTAAATCAATAAAGTTGATCACCAAAATAATTTCCAGTCTGTCGTTGTTGTTGTTTGAGTCTGCTTTGTCTGCTGTTGTTGTTGTTGTGAGACAACCTGTTGATTTTGAATTTGTATTGTATTCTGAGAAATTTGTTGCTGCTGCTGCTGTTGTTGTAATCGAAATTGTTGTTGTTGAAGCATAATTTGTTGTTGTTGTGGTTGAAGATTCTGTTGCGTTTGTTGTATATTTAATCGTTGTTGTTGTGTAGCTGGATTCATTGTACGCATTTGTTGTTGTTGTTGATGATGTTGTTGTTGTTGAAGAAGATAACGTAATTGTGTTGTTGTTGCAGGTGTTGCAACAGCTGAAACTGGTACATTATTTGTATTATTATTCATTTGTTGTTGTTGTTGTTGTAAATTAATATTTCCAGCCTGATGTTGTTGTAATTGTTGTAAGTGAATATGTTGTTGCTGTTTTTGTTGTATTTGTTGTTGAAGATGATGGCGTACACCATTCTGTGATTGTTGTTGTTGTTGTTGGATAGCCTGTTGAATATTTTGATTATTAGTATTCGGTTGTTGTTGTTGTATTGTAACCATTGTAGCTGTTCCAGTATTCATAGCATTTGATTGTTGCTGTTGTTGATTTATCTGAAATTGTTGTTGCTGTTGTTGTTGTTGTGGTCCAGATTGAACCTGTACAAATGAATTGATTGAAACCGGTATACAACCGGTACTGGTTGTTACCATTGTTACATTTGAATTCGGTATCTGAAAATTTTTATTAACATTAGCCATTGTCGTTGATTGTGTTGTATTTATCATCTGTACATTCGATGGAATTATATTTGATGCCATTGATGTCATTTGTTGTTGTTGCTGCGACTGCTGCTGTTGTTGTTGCAGTTGATTATTATTCAATGTAGGTATTTGTACCTATTTTTACGAAAAAAAAAATCAAAAAAATTAAATCTGTGAAAAAATAATTCCTTTTTTTCATTACTTGAAACATTTGATTGTTTGAATTATTTCCAGTTTGAATCATTGTCGTTTGTGGTTGTTGTTGTTGTTGTTGGCCACCATGTTGTTGATGGTGACCTTGTTGTTGATGAATAATCTGTACAATTTGATTACCGTTTGGTCCGGTACTCATCTGATGAACAATCTGTTGATTTGATGGTTGTTGAACTTGATTTGGCATTAATGTTGATGGTCCAGCGCCACTTCCACCACCACTATTTGAATTTTGCTGCTGCTGCTGCTGCTGTTGTTGTTGTTGCATTTGTAAAATCTGAGATGAAATGAGTTTGATAAAAAACATTATAACTATGTGTTATACAGAAAATAAAAATGAATTTCGTATTTCTTACCATTTTTTGTTTAACATTTTGTTCTTTTTTATGTGTTTCAACCAATTCTTTCATCGATGACATAAATTCTTCTTGATTATGGGGAATAAATCCAAGGAATAATCTATAGTATTTTGAAAACGAAAAAAAAATTGAATTTCAGAAAAAAAATCCGCCTTTTTCTTACTTTTTATCGGGCAAATAAAAAACAATTATGATACGTATGTTTGCTGGTGTTGTCAATTGTATACAACCAACCTGATGATGGGAAATTCAAACCAAAAAAAAAAACAAAAAAATTAATAAAATTTCAATTGAAATTTTCATACATACCATCGAACCCATAGCTTTACAAAGTAATTGTAAACCTTGTGATTCATTTGGAAAATGAAAATGAACCTGATAGGAATTATTTTTGAATATTGGTGACAGACGATTCATCAATGTTTTAGGTACTGTGCACAGAACCAATTTATCGGGCCATTTATCTGCTTTGAATTCTGGTTCATTATTATTTGGTTGATAAGTTATCTGACATTCCAATGAATAGCTAATTTTCGACAGTGGATTAGCCATCGATTGTGCTTTGTCCGTATATTCAATAACACCATTCCATATACGTGTACGTTGATGATTTTGACTCATCAATGTTGACATTGTTGTTGGTGGCATTGTTGTACCGGAAATATTCATCATTTGTCCTTGTGATACAGCTGTATTCATTGTAACTTGTTGTCCTGGTTGTTGTTGTTGTTGTGGCTGCTGTTGCTGTTGTTGTTGTTGTGTATGTGGATGATGAGACATTTGATTCATTTGTGATTGTTGTTGTTGTTGAATGAATTGTTGTTGTTGTTGTGAAGGTTGTGATTGTGACATTGGTGATTGTACCGGATTCATTGGTGACATAACTGCCGTTCCTCTCATCATTGGTGATTGTTGTGGCTGTGATGGTGATGGTACAGCCGTTTGTGAAAATGGTGATGGTTGTGGACGCATTGTATTAACACCATTTGAAACGGGTCTAATCATTGTTTGTGGTTGTTGTTGAGGAACATTCATTGGACGTACATTTTGATGTTGTTGTGGTGGTACTAGGCCCGGTAATTGTGTTTGCTGTGACTGCTGAGCTGTTTGTTGCTGTTGTTGTTGATTCATTGACATTTGATTAGCAACAGATGATGGTTGTGGTGTTGGTACACGTTGTCGAACTGATTGTGGTAATTGTGTACGAACCGATATTTGTGATACAGGTGATGGTACCTGTTTGGTTGCACCATTATTCCAATGACCACCAAGCGATGGTGATCCAACTTGTCGTATTCCTAGTTGTTGTTGCTGCTGAGACTGTGGTTGTTGTTGTTGTTGTTGTCCAAATTGTTGAACCAGATTATTCGATTGTTGTTGTTGTACAGTTTGCTGTTCTATCTGAGGACGATTAATAGCCATCATTTGATTCGGATTAGTCAACATTGTTTGTTGTGGACCTAAAAGTGTTGATTGAGAAGTAGGCGGCTGTGGTTGTGATACTGGAATAGTTTGATGCGATGATGATGATGATGACGGAGATAATGGTCGTTTAATTCCCTGCACAATCTGTGACTGTTGTTGTTGTTGTTGTTGACATTTATCTTGTTGCTGTTGCTGCTGTTCGATTGCTGGTACAGGCTGACTTGATGATGGTGGTTGTGACATTGGACTAATATCTTTTTCCTGTAATTGAATACCATTCAACAGGACTAAATGTCGTCGATCTTTAGCATAATTTTTTGTCAATGCTGTAGACAATTTACCACCACCTTTTTCGAATAATTTATATAGGAATTTCATTTTACGTGGTGAGAAAACACTGAAATGAATGCCCTTTTCAATCATTACATTCATTAATTGATCAATAGTATAACCACAATAAACAGGATTTTCATATGCAGGTTCCATATATGGTGTTGAATTACAAATAAGAATTAGATATTTTTTACTATTTACCGGTGCCGGTGATTGTCGACCATTATTATCACCACAGCCATTCGAATCATATTGTAGCCGTTCTTTTTGACATTTATCACGAAGATTTTGACAATCATCAAACAAACTAATAGCCGTACAAATACCTTCAACAATATGGCTAGAAGAATCACCAGCACCGCCAATAAATCTATATATATACAAGGAAATCAAATTTGAAAAATAAAAAAAAAAAAAAAAAAAAAAAAAACATACTGTATTCGTTCTAAATATTGTAGAAATGTATTCGAATTCGATGTTGGTGCATAACAAAATGATGCAGAATCTGGACGACAATCCATTGACATGAATGTGACTAAACCATATAAAGTTGATGATGAATACTATATATATATATATATGTTGATGAATTCAAGAGGTAAAATCAATTTTGTAAATCACACAATCGGACACCTACATTTACGTGGCCACCAAAATCAATGAAACGATCATCACTGTTACCATTGATACCATTAATTCCATTGAAATATCTATAATTATTAACGAAAATGATGAATAATAAAATTAATTGATTATATAAAATGGTTCGAATATTTTTCAATAAAACCATACTCAATACTGGGAATAATGTAATTGGTTTTTAAACTTTCAACATATGGACTAATATGTGCTGTTGCTTCAATAACGAAAACAACATCGACCAAATCATTATTTGTTGAATTTCCAATCGTTTTTGTGACGGATGTGGATATATTTCCAGCAACAGCTACCGTTGAAGCTGTTGTGTTGGTCGTCGTGGTTGTTGCTGGTGCTGCGGTTGGTGTTGATGTTGTTGTTCCTGTACCTGTACCAGGTGCAAATTGTCCCGGTGATGATATCGATGATGATGATGATGATGAAATTGTTGTTGATGATATGACCATTTTTCTTTTCTTTGATTGATATTGAAATGAGCGAAAAAAAATCAATCACAATCCAAATGATCAAAAACAAACAAACAAACAAAGGAAATTTTTTTTCGCTCAAAATTTTTTTCCACTTTTTTTTTAATTTCGTAAACAAAATAAAAAATACAAAAAACTCGATCAACGATGGTGGTGGTGATGATACACAGAAAAGAAAGCAAAAAAAACTCAGCCGGGAATAAAAACTACAACCAGCACCACCAGAAGTCGCTAGTAGAAATTCGAATCTTTAATTTTTTTACGAATTAATCGAAATATAAATATTTTTTCGGTTTAAATTTCAATTATTTTATAATTTTTTTTTTAAATATTTTGATGAAAATTAAATTTTAAAATTATTTTTCGTGTTTTTTGTTGTTGTTGTTGTCTTGCCTATTGTGTGTGTGTGTGTGTGTATGCAAATTAAATCATCCACATTTGATTTTTGTTTTTTTTTACTTTGATTTAATGATTTAATGAAAAAAAAAGAGAAAGTGAAAATTGACGGATGATGAAATGAAATGTGCGAGAGAAACTGTGGTGGGTGTGTGGGTGTGATTGAATGAATAAATTGGGTATATCAAACAGACAAACAAACAAGGTAAGAAAAAAAAACTGAATTTTTTTTTCAATTTTCAAAATGAGATGAATTTTTTTGTTTTTTTTTTTCAATGATGAGAGATAAATATGAAAGAAAAAAAAATCTTCAAATTCTTTGTGTCTGTGTGTGAGTAGATGAATAATATTTATATATAGAGCAAGAAAATGTGTGAAAAAAAACAAACTGAACATTAGCATCATCATTATCATCAATAATTAAAAAAAAGTGTGTGGTGTGTGTGTGTTGTTACATGTTGATTTTTTTTCCACAAAAAAAAAATTCCTTGACCAATTCTTTTGTGTGTGTGTGTGTGAGTATACAAGAGAAAAAAAAGATATATTGGAGAGAGAGAGAGAGGGATGAGAAAGTTTTGTCTGGGTTATGATTTGTTTTTTTTTTGTTTTAATTTTTATTTTCAATTATTTAAGTAACATTTGGTTGAGCGATATCACCAGAATTAGTGACTTGTAATGGACCATTACCACCGACTACACCAACAGCACCGTTTCCACCACCACCACTAATAGCATTCGATGTTGATGCCGAAGTTGGTGCTGCATTTGATGATGAAAGTCTTAAATCAAGATGATAATTATTTGATGATGGTTCTTTAGAAACTGGATCTAAAAGTTTTGATAAAAAAGTAGAAAATAAAAATTATTGATTCAAATTCAATCATTCAATTGAAAACATACAAAAATATGGATGTTCCATTGCTTCACGAGCTGTTAAACGTTCAGCATGATCATAACGTAATAATTTATCCAGAAAATCGATGGCATCACTTTCGACAAGATGTGAATTTTCTCTATTTATAAATTTTTCCCATCTTTTTCTTGAATGTCTACAAGACAAATTATGAACCAAAAAAATTAAAAAAACAAACAAACAAAACATTGCAACAACATACCGTCCAAGTATATTATCAAATCTTGAATCCAATTCAATTTGATATTTATTTAAATATTCATATAATTCTTCTGTACCCAATACTTTAGCTATACGAACTAATTGATCATAATTATCGTGGCCATGAAAAAATGGTTCTTTACGAAATATCATTGATGCAAGCATACAGCCAAGGCTCCACATATCCAATGAATAATCATACATTTGATAATCGACCAATAATTCTGGCCCTTTAAAATAACGTGATGCAACACGTACATTATATTCTTGACCAGGATGATAAAATTCTGCCAAACCCCAATCAATAAGACGAAGCTATGATAAAATGAAAAAAAATCAATTTTTTTTTTGCGAACAAACAAAAAATTTTTATCAAACCAAAACAAACCTTACGACTTGAATGATCAATCATAACATTGTGTGGCTTTACATCACGATGCATAATTCCCATACTATGACTATAATCCAATGCTTTCAACAATTCATACAAATAATAACGAATATCATAAGGCGTCAATGTTTGATATAATTGTTTAAAATCAGTATTGTCAACATATTCAAATATTAACGATGGTGTTCGTGACTATGTGTAAAGAGATACAACAACAACAACAACAACAATTCATGAATCAATCAGTTTTATGCATAATCATTATTCAATCCACTTACCAAAGTATCTTTTACAACAGCTTTCAATGTTATTATATTTGGACCATCGCGTAAATTTTCCAATATTTTAATTTCACGTTTAATTTTTTTCTTTTTGACCGGCTATAGATGAAAACAATCAGAAAGAAAAGTTCAATTGAAAACAATCAATCAATCAATCAATATCAATATATACTTGCCTTTAATATTTTAACAACACAACGACCATTATTTGTTACATTGATTGCTTCAAATACTTCACTATATTTTCCACGGCCTAATTTTCTAACTAATTGATAATCATCTTGTTCTGACCATTCAACTTGATGTGTTTCATAATCCCAATATTCACGTGGCCGATGTATATTAACATCGGAATAAACTCTGGCTCTTGATGGTAAAGGCATTTTTTTCAGAATTTTTTTATGATTACGACGATTATCATCAACAATAAATGATGAATAATAGGAATTATTATTATTGGTCTGTTTACCACTTTCTTCGTTCAAATATTGTTGTTGATTATTATTTGAACAAAAAAATTTAATATTTTGATAATGAAATTTTATTCTTTTTTGTTCAATGATATTTTTCTGTTGTTGTTGTTGATGATGATGATGATGATGGCGTTGATAATAACGATGTTGTTGTTGATGATGATGATGAAAATTCAATGGTAATGATGATGAATTTAGACTATTTCGACAATGATGATGATGATGATGATGATGGCAAAGTGTTGCGACACTACACTTCGATAAATCGAAGAAAAAACGTATAGAATATTTGGCCGTAATTTTTTTCAGCTTGATAAATTTTTTTTTTCGGTCAATGATGGTAATGTTTGGGAAAAAAATTTAAATAATTATTGAAATTTGTTTTACAAGTTGTCTGTCTGTCTATTTTTTTTGTTGTTGTTAATTGGTGATTCTGATGAATTTAAATTGATTAGAAAAAAATTTTGACATTCTCGATGTGAATTTTTTCATTACAACAAAAAAAAAAAAAATGAAAATTCTCTATACACTATTATCTATTTAGAAAAGAAAAAAAAAAAATTCTCACTTTTGATGACATCAAGTGATATATATATGATCAACAACAATATCTCGTGTAACGGGAACTATATGGAATTTTTATCAAAAAAAAGAATTAATGAATTGATTCGAATTATTGGGGAAAAAAATACTACCTCTTCTGATGATTGTTGTTGTTGTTTCGTAACAAACACAAATTTAAATTCAAAGAAATTTAAAGACGAAAAAAATGATAACCCTTTTATTCTGATGATGATCGATCGTTCGAATGGAAAGGTTGAATGTTTTTCACACACATTTGTACAACAACGACAAAAATAGTCTATTTCATCAGAAACGAAATCAAAAATACTTTGTATTGATGGTAAAAAAAAGAAAAAAAATTATATCATCATCATCATCAGATTTTTTCATGCATCTCTTTCACTGAATGATGATGGAGCAGAACATTGATGCGGCTCACGCATTCACAAACACACACACACACACACATCAAAACACCGAAACCAAGATTATGTTTGTTCGTTTTTTGTTTCATTGTGCAAAAAAAAAAAAAAAAAAAAATATTTTCAAATGTGAATATAATGATGGATCCTTGTAATAGGAAAAAAAATTATAAATATGAAAAAAAAAATCAAAAAGAAAAAGAAAAAATCAAATGAAATCAATAATGAAATGCTGATGATGATGATGAAAAACTTCATCAACGATGACGACAATCGAGTCAAAAGCAATTGAAAAAAAAGCCGAGTGTGTGTGTGTGTGTGAGGGAGGGAGGAGGAAGAGTGTGTGTGTGTGTGTGTGCTGTGTGCTATTAGTTAGTTTGCTCACCAAAAAATGGACGTCGGTTAACGTTATCGGTGGTATTGGTCACAATATTGGCATTTTGTTTTATTTTCAATCGAACACAGAATATATACTTATTTTGTCATATATGTGGCCATAACGATGATGTATAACGCATTGTTCATTGTGACTATTTCGTGCTGATTTTTTTTTTTTCGTTTGTTTGTTTGTTAATTCGTGTGTGCGCTTCACCGGCAGAAAAATAGCAGAAGCATGCACTGTTTTTTTTTGTTGGCCAGAAAAAAAAGCAGATTTCTGATTCGTTTCATTTGTACAGATTTTTTGAACGGATCCAATTTTTTGTCTATTTTTTTTCTCTTTGTCTTGTTCGAGAATTCGAAAAAAATTGATTTTCATCGCGGAAATCGAATACATATCAATGATAAACAGCAAACCGAGATTCGAACTCGGATTGCTGGATCACTTTTTTCCTTTTCCTTTTTTCCTTTGTATCTATATGAATGGAAAGTAAATGAATTCAACTCAATTCTTTACATTTTTCAAAGTCCAGAGTACAGATTTTTTGAACGGATCCAATTTTTTGTCGTTTTTTCTTTTTGTCTTGTTCGAGAATTCGAAAAAAAAATTGATTTTCATCGCTGAAATCGAAAACAGCCAAAAAAAATGAATATTTTTACTACTCACCATTTGATTTGATAATGTGAATGTGGAAAAAAAGAAGGCTCACCGATATTTTCAAAGTCCAGAGTGATAGCCACTACACCATGGAGCCATTAATTAGGCCCCACCGAGATTCGAACTCGGGTTGCTGGATAACATTACAAATAGATTAGATTACATTAACTTTTTTTCATTCTTTCTTTTTCTGTATCCTTTTTTATAATTCTTTTTTTTTCTTTTCACTTTTTACCATAGAGCCCTTAACTGTTAGGGAAAGTTGTGATCCTTTGAATTTAAATAGAATAAATTTTCATCATTTTTATCATGTAATTTTAATTATCAATTAACACCCTCGAAAATGAGAAGTCAAGATGAAGGATAGAAAATAGTTACGAAAAAATGAGAGAGAAAAGTCAAAGTAACAAATATTGGAAGCATAGAAATGAACATTCAGTATATCCAAAAATCACGTGAATGACTTTGGCCGCGTGGTGGGCGATTTGGCCGATGGTATCGCAATTTTTTTTCAATTGTTTTTAGTTTCAACAAATCACGTGACTATATCATGACAATCGATAGTATCCCGATTTTTTTTTGATTGTTTCATTAAACGACTGATAGTAATTTCTTTTTTTTCGCTGCGACTCCATCGTTTAACCGATGAAAGCGGTTCAATTGTTTAATGATTTGATAATAGTTTCACACAACTATTATCCATCCATGTTATAGCCAAAATTTCATTTTTAATATCAAATTGGTAATCATATGTTCCTCTTGATTTCTTTTTCATTTCTTTATCTTTTGTCAATGGGCACTTATTCATTCTATCGAATCGACATGTTCCTGTCGCTTTCACATTTATATCGTTTAGATATTTCATCAAAGAAAAACCAGTGAAAAAGCTATCAAAAAAAATTTCATGTTGTTCTGGTTGATCAAGAATCGAAACCATTTTCGCCACTACAGATGCGTCGAGACCTGTCACACCTGTTTCATTAGTATTCGTAGTTGATTTGTCTTAATAAACGTCCATTCTGTGTACAGTATCCGGTTTCGGAACAACAAATTGCCCATTGTTTAAAGGCAAATCAGATTGGCTTGACACAAATAAATTGCTTCAAATAGTGATGGCCAAAATAACGAACCATTTGTTCATCTATAGCTAAAAATTGTGTATTTTTCCCAAAAACAATATTTGAATTTTTAAAAATAAGTTTTATTCTTAATATATTTGGATATGAATGAGTAAAATGAAAAGAAAAAACAGACAAATTTTTTTTTAAAACAACATTTTAAGACATAGATGATTTATATTACATGATCAAATAAAAATTGAAATCAGAAAAACAAATGAATATAAAAATAAACATCATCGTGATTCTAATATTTTATTTTACTTATTTAATTGAATCCATGTGTTCAATAATTAATTTCACAGCAATTCGATCAGTCGTATCATTCATACACATTGCTTTGTAATTGACCAGTTGAGCAAGCGATGTTTAGTTTACAAATATCTTCTTCCAGAAAAGGACATCTATAATCCTTCAATAATTCATGAATATATTCGTATCGTGGATTTCTATTTAAAATAACCGTTCTTTTGATAGTTTTTGATTCTCCTATGGGTCATTGAATTTGATGTTGATTGCGACTTGAAGAACCACGATTTGCATTTGAAAAAGCATAGCCAGAAGTATCGATGACTCTTCTTTTCTTGGTCTAATTTGCGAAAGCAACGTCTATTATCAGACATTTTTTTTAACCTTTGTAAATTTCTTTTGGTTTTATTATCAAAAAAAAAAAAAAAAACGAGAAACAAGATATACGATTGCAAAATCGAAAACAAAATCAAAAAACATGCATTTGATGAGAAAAGGGAAAAAAAAGAAAACGTTAATGAAATATCGATGTTGAAAAAAATATTTCACTCTAGAGTCCAAAACGGAACTGCAACGTTTTTTTCATCATCATCACTGTAGTAATAATAGAACAATCACTCACTCACATTCACACAAAAAACGCTCACACACAGACACCGTACTTATATGACGTACTCAAAAAAAAAACGAATCAACAGCAAACATATTGTAATAGTGAGTATATGATCATAAAAAAATATGATAATGAATCATTTACAAAATTGTTTTTCCAATCAACATTAACAACAAATTCCACCATCAAAATAGTAATCCATCTGACATCATCAACGATCGAAATAAATGAGAAACAAAATAAAATCCAATACCATATTCTTGTAACTATTGTGTGTTCTGGTGAAACGAAAAAACTTTCAATCATAAATAAATCCATTGAAGATGAAGTGATTATTATCCAAATATAATCATCATCATCATCATTGGTTCCATTGGAACACTATATATGTTACGATCCAAGGCAAATGATGATTTCCACATGCCAATAACGTATTGACATCCATAATTTTGATACCATAACTATCGTTGATAAGATCCAAGATTGTATTTGAATTATATTGATATTAAATTCCTTCCTAAAAGATAATAAAAACCGATTTATTTGTCAATAAAAAACAATCATTTATATATATGTAGACAAAAAAATAAATAAATAAAAAAAATCAACTTTCGTATCAAATTTAACCATTTTCATTGGGAATCTACTATATTATGAGGCTAAGGATGTCTGTAAACTGCGGCGAAGCTGAGCCGGCCATTCCTGCTTATTTTCAGTACAAACATAACTATTTAGTATGAGCTACTCAGTGTGTATTCTTAATCGAAGATTATTCGATGATTCAAATTGTTGTTGTTGGTGGTAATGGTGACTTGATTCTTCATCGTGAAGTTCCATGATGGTGTTACAGACTATTTACCAGATGATCAAGGATTGATACCTTTGGCTGGGTACCAAGCAGGGGGCGGCGCAGCCGCCACACCTGCGGGTATCCAGTTATATTGACCATCAAGGAGTCAGCCCCGCAGGGCCAGACCAGGACAGGCGCGAAGCGCCTGTTCTCGGGCTGGTATCAATATAATCATCATTGTTGGTAAGTGATATCATCATTTATTATTAATGTCTGGAACCATCCTATTGATTGATTATTTTGTTCGTTGAATTTTTGATGGTGGTTCAAAAAATGTCTGCTCTTGTTCTTGATGTTGTTGTAGTGATGGTGGTTGATCGTCATTGACGTTTGATGCTGATGTTGAAATAACAGTAAATCCACTATCGATTTCATTAAAAAAAGAAATTCTTTGCCCAATCTCTTTTTCTTTCAATTTACGGGCTTCTTCAATGATCATTTTTGATAATTCGGCAATTGTTATGGTACAATGTATTGTTGAAAGATAAATTCGTGCTTTATTTGGATATTAAATCTTCCGATGTCATCAACGCAATTTCGATATCTTTCGGTTTCACTAAGCTGTTTTCACCAGGAATATATACAATTTTACATTCATTTCGATTTAAATTATCTAGAACATATTCTCTTCTTATATCTATATGTTTAAAATGTCTTTGTGGACCGTCTTTAAAAATCTTCATTGTGGATTGATTATCAGTTTTAATAATAAAACATGGTCTTTTAGACTCTATATCATTGATTATTCTGCTTATCCATAAATATTCAGCCATACCTAAAGATATGGCACATAATATTCAGCTTCAGCTGTTGAAATTGCTATTGATTTTTGTTTTTTACTCATCCAACCAATTGTTGATCCATAGTATTTAATTAAAACACCACTAATTGATTTTCTTCCAGGTGTTGTTCCAAAATGCTTGGTATCCAGCCAAAGGTATGAATCCTTGAGGTCAATATTGCTGGTTACCCGAAGGTGAGGACCCACAGGTTCCTCAATTTCCTGAACAAAAATCTTCAGATTATTAGGATTATGTGAATTATTTGTCACTACTTAATACCGAGAAGAAAATTGGGCGAGAATAATGCCATTGTGAAATCATTGCATGCCATCCAAAGATGCGAGATCTTTTCGGCCAATTGCTGCAGCAAGAAATTTCGCAATCGCGAATTATTATATCAACATATCGTTGCTGTTCATCCGAATTTCTATGTCGACGACAGTATTCCTAAGAATGGATCATCCGAAAAAAATCACGATCAACACCATCATGTTTAGCGTCGAAAGTAAATCAAAAAGCCAAATCAACTGAATGTATGGAGAAAAAAATCATCACCAATGTGTTCAACGCTTGGCATTGATAATCATGAAACAAACTTACCAAACGATGAGTAGATCATAGATCACCGGAATAAAAACACAAAAAAAAATCATTCCAATGAATGCAGTCTTCAGGCAAGATTTCATCATCAAATACACACTCACACAGGCACACAAAATGAAAATCACGTTTGTCACATGTATTGTTCTATTGAATGATTGCACCATCTATTGGATTCAAAAACTGCGGCACCGTGTGCTGATCAGCTAGATTTGACTCTCCCGTTTTTTTCAGTATATGGTTGAACTTTACTGCTAATGCATGTGTATGATGATTTCTGTGACTAAGCGTCATTTTTTTTTCTGTCTGTTTCATCATCATCATCATCATTGAATTTAAAACTTATGCATAAATAAATTTTATCAATTTCGAAAACACGTGCTTTTTACAATATAACATTTCCGTTTTAGCTGTGAGATGACTGATGCATGCATGTTGATGATGATGATAATTATTGTCCAGAAGATTTTGAATATGATGAAGACAATTATGATTCACCAGATATTTGTTATTTTACAACTAAAATCATAAAGCTTGCAATTTTAAATCATGTATAAAAAGAAAATTCTCAACTCTACTATATAGCAAATGGTCATTACCTAAAAAAAATTGGATGGTCTTCCCCGACAACATTTGCAGCTTCATTGGTATTTTTTTTTTTTTTTAATTACCAATAACATTTGTTTTCAAATCAACAATTCATGAAATCGGAATACATGATTCAATATCATGCAAATCATAACTCCGATCAAAAAATAATAAAAATAATAATTGTAATATATATAAATGTTTCATTATCAAATTTTAATCATCAATCAATGGACAAATGAATGAATTCGAAATTTCATAATCATTTCATTTAGAATTTAATAAAATGATGTTCAAAAAAGAATTTTTATTTTAACAAAATTATTATTGCAATTTGATTAATTCAAATGTTCAGTTCATTAGTATATTGATTATTCAGTGTTATGTGAACCAGTGTGTGTGTGATACTGGATTCAAAGTCCAGATTCACGATCACGTGCTAATATTGTTTCAGTTGAAATTTCACCACCACCACCACCACCACCATCTGCATTAGCAATAATTTGACTAGTTCTTTCATTGCTACTAGCCGAATGTTGATCAATAATAATAGGACCATCACCATTATCATTATGCATTTTATGTTGTTGATGTTGATTGTTATTATGATACATAATCATTAATGAACGTGTACGATATAGATCGGAAATGAAAAATGCACCAAATGTGGCCATCAATGATCCTTGTAATAGACCAATTAAAACATCACTCCAATGATGTTTATAATCAGAAATACGGCTAAATCCCGTATATAACATAAGACAAATAAGTAGATATTGATATAATGGTTTCAAAAGACCTAAATTTTGCCATCGAATTCGAAATTGTATGTAATACTATATAGAACCAATGAAAAAAAACAACAACAACAAAAATTAAATTGATTTCCAATTCACAACATCAATTTGATATACATACAACTAGATATATCAATGTAACGGCAGCAAATGATGAATGTCCAGACATGAATGATAAACGTGAATCCTTAAGTCTATAAAAATCATTTTGATTTTTTGTACAAACAAAATCCATTACATAAACTTCGGGCGTAGAACAAGTAGAAAAACGATCATAAACCATTCCTTTATCATCTTTTGGTCGGCAAACATCAAGAAAATGTGGCCTAAGACGGCCAATACTATATTTAGCAATATCGGTAATTAATTGTGATCCTAAAAATGTGAATATAAACGGAATTATGTGCAGATATAATTGCCAAAAATAATTTTTAAGAAAAAATCTTGATGATAAATCAAAACCGGACATTAATCGACGATAAATTAGAAATTCATTAATACAGATCTATATTGAAAAAAAAGAATGAATGATTGATTGATTGATTCTTTAAAGAAAAACACAAATTACCGTTACAGTTGGTATCATGATTGAATAAAAGAATAATAAATTACTGGAAATTGTGCTTTCCAAATATGGATAACGTATACTATCATCATCACAATAGAATCCACGTTTAAATGGTTTGCCCAGTTTATACAGAAGAATTATCGGTGTTATTACTGTGTGGTGGAAAATGTAAGAAACGAAAAAAAAAAATTGAATTTCAATGTGGAAAAAAAAATAACAATACATACTCAATATTAATACAAATGAATCAATCAATATTTTCAACAATAGACGAGATTGATTTGGAATGGCTGCAATTCTTGGTAGATACATTTGTTGCATTATTCTTCTATTAATATGATGATGATTCTTTTTTTCTTTATTATTATTTATCAATTCAATATCGATACCGTTATTATTGATAGCTGCAGCAATTGAATCGTCAATAGTAGTATTATTAGTGTTCGTCGTGGTTGTATCGATTGTTTGATTTTCAATGTTTATTTGTTGATGATGACTTTGATTTAATGTTTCTGGTTGCTGTACATTCATAGCTTAATCATCATCATCATCATTCTATTGTAATTTGATTGTATGACATGAAAGATAATAAAATAAAAAAAATGATGATTAACATGAAAAAACAAGAGAAAAACAGAAAAAAAATTTTGATAATCCACACCATAAATGGCATTTCATTGAAATTTTTTTTTTGTTTCGTGTGTGTGTGTGGATAAATCACTCACTAACATTCAAATCGAATGTTAACATGATCACAACACATTGACATACATCATTGTCGACTTGTTACATTTTTTTAAAACAATTTACTGATAATTGATGATTGGATATATTTCAATCAATCAATTGATTTAGAAGAAAAAAAATTTTTTTTCCTGATTAAAAAAATCAAAATCAATCAACGATAATAATGTAAACAAATGTAAAAAAAAATTCACAAATGACGTACGGATATATTTTTTTTTTTGTTGAAAACTCAATAAATTTGACCACAACACAACACAATGATTTATAATTTGTAAATAAAAGTTCAATGATCAGTGATGATAAAAAAAAATAGAATCATAATCATTTCATTTCAGGTTTCAAAATGAAATGGATCTTGATTTCTACATTACACGATTCATCATCATCATCATTGACGATGTTGTTGTTGTTGAAATAGGATTCGAATTCGAATTCGAATTCAATTGGATTCAAACTAAAACCCAAACAAGTTTTTATCTTTGTCCGCGCCTAAATCATTTTGTTGAACCAGTTATTTATTTATATTATTTTATGATCAAATTGTCTCTCTCTTTCTCTACAACTCCATCTATACGTTTTTTATTTCTCTCACTGTCAATGTAATGTATACACACACACACACGCACATTATGATTTTTGATTGTGTTAAACACAAACACAAAGCAGAGGTGGTGAAATCAAAAGAGAGAGAGAGAGACAAGACAAAAAGATTACAATAACACATTTCGATTGACGTAACAGAAAAATCAAGAAACAAATAGGATTTATTATCATTCAACCATTATGTATGAATGAATGATTGAATTGAAAAAAACAACATTAACCGGTTGGTTGATTGGATTGAATGCATAAAAAAAAAAAATAATTTTGAGGTCAAAGTTGATTTTTTGAAAAACAATGTCGACCATCTCTCATTATATTAATTGTGTATAACACACATCAACATCATCACATGATCGAAGCCAAAAACCGGAATAATTATCGATGATCCGTATAGAAACGTTTGTTTGTTTTTTTCTCGATTACAACTTACAGATTACAACCAACAACAACAATCACAAAAACAAATTTTTTTCTACTAATGAATCAAAGGAAGAAAAAAAAGACAAAAAAAATTTGTCAATAAACTCATCATTATGTATCGATGATGATGATGATGATGACAAGGTGATAACAAAGTTTTTTTTTCTATCCTTACAAAACAAAAATTACCAAATAGGTAAAAATAGCCACTGAGAGAGAAAACAAAAAACGTCAAGTGTAACATAGAAGTTGAAATCAAATGGAAAAAAATGTGTAGATTTTCCCACCATCATCATCATCATTAATTGATTGTTTTTTGATTGCTTTTTGATTGGCAATTATCCCATGATAATGTTAATGATGATGATGACGATGTCAAGGATTATTTGTTTGTTCACTAAATGATCGTTTGGTTGGCAAAAAAAAAAAAGAAAAAGAAAATTTGATTGATTGATTAATCGAATTCAAATGATCCTAAAAGAAACGACAATATGAAACGACAACAATTATTATTATCATCATCATCATTGTTGTTATTATTCACTATGATGACCATTCAATGGTCAAATAGTGGCCAAACAATAACAGTGTCAGCATCAGCATCAGCATCAGTTTCATGGAAACCAAAATCTTATTGCCATAGTCCAGCCAATATATTGTTCGATAATATTGATGAATTTACAAATGCAATGTGTACATATTGTCTATATACAATGTATACAAAAACGGCCAATTTTGTTTGGCGTGATGGCTATAAATTTGATCGTTTAAAATTTATTGATCATTCACATACGACAAATGTTTTGGTCATCATGGAAAATTCATCATATGCTTATTATTATGAAATAGATTTAAAACATTTACAACAACAAAGATTGAATGGATTATTCCGTGAAGATCCAATTTTACAGGATTTTTCCAATGAATATTATATGGTAATGTACAGTATTATTATGGATAATTTGATCAAATTTGAACACTTTTTTTCCAATTTAGGATAAATTTCTAAAATGTTGTCAAGATTCACATGATTGTTGTGAACAAATGATCAATCGATCTGTTGACAATGACGACGACGACAACGACAATAATGATGATCATCATTGTCCAATGATTTGGGATGGTTGGACATGTTGGATGTCAGCCGAACCAGATTCAATGAGTAAAACTAAATGTCCTGATATGTCATTGATGGCATTCCATTATGATGACGATGATGATAATGAAATACCATTAGCTATTCGTTCGAATGCTGTGAAAAAATGTCAATCAAATGGTACTTGGATACAGCATACTGATTATAGAGATTGTAGCATATTGGCAAAAGATGTTCGTCAATCAGTGGTAAAAACAAGAATCATATTACAATCAATATCGATCATTTTATCCATTGGTGCCGTAATTATTTTCATTTATCTACGTTTATATGTAAAATTTTACATACAATTATTATTGAATTTTTTCACATCAATTATTCTGTCCACTATGATGGCATTATTGTACGATATTTATGTCACCAAAGGTCATTTACAATTTTCTGACAATGTTATTTTACAAAAGCAAGTGAAATTGTTTTGGAATTTTTTTTGTTTTGTTTTGTTCTTTTTCTTTTTGAAAACTTTTTATTGATTTTTTTTTCTTTCATTCATTTCATGACAGCCAAAAATATTGTCGTACATTCACATTCCTGTATAAAGAAACACGTATGATGAACTATTCATGGATGTTGATTGAAGGCATTTTTCTTCATAATAGTGCCGTGTTTGCATTTCATTGTAAAAAAATGTCCGAATGGCGACGAACAATTTATATATTTGGCTGGTTTGTGCCCAATATTATTATGGCCATTTATGGTGTTATACGGTTAAAACATTCCGATAGTATGGATCGTTGTTGGACCGATACTATTGGAACATTGGAATGGACTTTTATGTTTTTTCCATATTTTTGTTTTTTTGTAAGTGTTTTTTTCCATATTTTTCTTATCATTCCAAAATCGAATCAAATGATTTTTAATGTTTTTTTTTCTCTCTTTCTTCTCACGCAGTTCAACTTGTTGCTATATTGTAATTTGATTCGTTTCATTTTAATTAAAACAGTATTCATTAATAATGGCCATACTAAAGAATTCACCTGGATAAAATTGGCCACAATTTTAATGCCAATTTTTGGCATTCAATATACAATATATATGGTTACAATTGATCCAACAGCTACTACTAGTTTATTTTTATTGGCCATATTTCGTATTCAGAATATTGTTGAATCATTACAAGGTACAATTGTGACCATTATTCTTTGTTTTTTAAATAAAGATGTAAGTATCCATTAATCAATCAATCACACACACATGACTATCGATATTTGAATTGAAATTTTGTTTGTTTTTTTTTCTTTCACACACACACACACACACAGGTTTACAGAACAATACGAAAATCCATTGTAAAAAGTTATGGTCGTCGTAAAAGTAATCTATTACATTCGGCATTATCCACACAGATTACAATGACTGATTCATCGAAACAATATCATCGATCAGAATCGACTATTAAACGATGATAATGATTTATTGATTTCATTTCATTTGTTTGTTTGTTTGTCATTTTTTTAAAATTAAAAAAAAAAACATTTACATTTCTAATCAATTGGAATCAAATTTTTTCATTGCCCGATTCAAATGTTCGTTTAGTTGACCAATTTTTTCCCTTGCATTCATGTTTGATTGGCCCATCATATTCTGTGTGAGAACCTGTTTGGAAAAAAAAAATTACGAAATGAAAATCAAAATCTAAACACACACAAACCAACATACACTTTGAATGACAAATACGTGTTTCAAAATGTTCAATAATAGAGCTTGAGTAATGATGTTGAAATTTTCGGCGATATCGTCACCAAAGGTGGAAAAAAATCAATCAATCAATCAATCATTTGATTCAATCAAAAAAAAATTGAATTGTATTGTCATACATACTCATTAACATTGGTGTAGTGAGTAAAGTAAGAAAAACCGATGGTAAACTTGCCATTATTGAATCAGGCCATGATGATTTTCTACCGGTTTTAAATGTATGTACAAATACTGTGTTGTTGAATGAGAGAAAAAAAAAAAAAAAAAACAAAACAGAACAACAAAATTAGTGGAAACAAAAAATGAAGATTTTTCAATCTTTTGCCATTTTCATTTATACTTGGATAAGGATTAGTCGGTGTAGTTGATGATTGTGGATGTGAATGATGATCATGATCATGATGAGTACGAAATAATCGGCTTGTTGTTGTAGTAGGATCCAAGACATTTTTATTTCCTAGATCATCTTCAAATGAATGGAATGTAAATTTTTTTTCCTGGTTTAGGTTAATAAAACTGACCATTATCATACTGATGATGATGATTATCATCCATAATCGATTCATCATCAATATTTGTTGTTATATCATTTAATGAAAGAAAATCTTTTAAATCTCGTTTATTATTATTATTATTATTGCTACTACTGATTGCTGCCGGTGATGATATAATTTGATGGCCATGATGATGTTGATAATAGCCATCATTATTATCATTATTCATTGAAAATGGATGACTACCATTATGATCATCATTATAAGATGATGATGATGATTGATAACGATGATGCGGCGGTGGCGAAGGCGGTTGATGATGATGATGATTATGATGATGATGATGATGATGATGAGGATGAGGATGATGGCTATTAATTTGATATAATTGTCTTATATTATCATTATTCATCTGTGGAAAACATTGATGATGATGATGACCAATTTTAATTACTAAAATCAATATCAATAGATAAAGTTTTTTGTCAAACATTTTTACGTATTTTCACCCAATGGATACAAGAAACAAGATTCATGAGTTTGTTTAGTTTGGTTTTTACAATAATCAATAATTTTCATGTTTCAAAACGATTTTTATATGAAAATCATCTACAAACGAAACATCATGGTTCATGATCACCATCATAATCATGTAACCTAAATGATTTTATCAGTTTTTTTTGTTGTTGTTGTTGTTTTTAATGATAGAAATAAGATTTTTACAAAATGATAATTTTAATGATTTCAAAATAAAAAGCGAAAATTTATCAAAAAATTTTTTTATTCTTCTTCTTCTTCTTTACCCCAAATAATTCTGTTTGGGGGAAACGGGTGGTGCTGATGCTGCCATACATGATTTTGACCGTCATAACTCATAGACCATAATAAATTGATCGATCGCATGTGATATACGTTGTGATAAAATTTCAATTGTTTCATCATCCATTGGAAGTAGAATATTATCGCCCATTTCATTCATATTTGAACGTTTACGACGACGACGACGACGACGACGTCCAAGACCACCAAATGTAGTAGCGGCTGTAAATCTTGTTGAATCATTATTATTCATATTATTCATTGTCTAATTTAAATGAAAAAAAACAAGGTTAAAGATCAAGGTCATTTGATATATCATTTGATTTTCGTAACATACATTTTGCATCATTGCTAATAATGCCAATACTTGGGTGAAAAATGCTAAATGAATGAATCGAGAATTTGAATCAAATTTTCGAATATAAACAAAGACAACGAAATACTCACAAAATAATAACGGTAATAATAATAATGGCAATAATGCCAATAATAATAATGGTAGAAAATCATCTTTTTTCTTGTCCACATATGGTTGTGGATAATATGGTTGTGGTTGTGCCGAATGTATATGAACTGATTGTTGATTTTTGATGGTCAAAAATAAAATAAAAAAATTCAATTTAAAAATTTTAAAACTTGACATTTTAAATTATTATTACTTACTCGATTTGACAGCTGAACCATATGGTTCTTTATAATCATGACCACCATCTATTGAAATGAATGAAAATTTTGGATAAAAAAAATGAATTCCATCATCATCAATCATCAATAATCATTTATACTTACAATCCATTCGATCATTTATAGTTTGATGATTCACCATTGGCTGTGTTGATGATGACCAATATCGTTGTTGTTGTTGTGGATCATATTGTTGATGATTTTGTAGAAAATAATACAATTTCTTTTTAGTATAATAATCATCACCATCATCGTTGCCATTACTGGTGTTTAGATAATAATCATCATCATCATCATTATGATGATAGTTTCGATAATATCGATTATTATAACGATTATGATGATGATGATGATGATGATTCGAACGTTTTGAATCTAAAGTTGTAGCTGTTGTTGACCATGATTGTGATTGTGATTGTGATGCACAAACAATTTGAATTAGAATAATATTTGATAATAATGAAAGATTTGCAATTAAAAATGATGAACTAGTAAACATTTTGTTGATAAAAAAAAACAAAGAAGAAAAAAAAATCACAAATTTAACTAATAATATAAAAATGGCAAATGAAAATTGTTGTTGTCGATGATTAATGAATATTTTTTTTTGTTGTGTGAGTTATCTTGTCGCCATCATCTTCATCAAATGTCAATGAATGATAAATTGTAATACATTTCAAAGTTTTTTTTTCCCAAAATCATTCAAAAAATAATGATGAAGGAATTCGGGCGAGAAAAATTTTTTTTTCTGATCATCATAATTAAGGTCAAGGTTTAGTACATCCGGAAGAAGAAAAATATGATCATCATGATCATTGGTCTATCAACAACCACCACAATATGGACACAATTATTGACGGTTTTATTCAAATTCGTTCAAACATGTCAATATACAACAATGGCAAACAAATTAATAACGCATAAAAAAAAAATTCACTGGACCCGAAATAAAAAAAAAACGGCCAAAAAACCCATATTCAATTGTTATTTATTCATCAAAAAAAAAATTCTTCAATTCTTTTACCATCATCATATTATTCAAATTTGCATATATATTCAGCAATCAATTAATTTTGTAATTAAGCCAGGAAAAAAAAAAATGAAATGTGATTATTAATCAATTGTCTCTCTGGTTGTGTGTGGGTGTGTGCAAGTGAACAAATTATTATAATGAGAGATTAGGTTCAATTCAATTCAATTCAAAAAAAAAAAAAAATTAAATTAAATAGCAAATTGTTTCAATGTGAAGATATTTCAAAATTTTTATTTCAATTTCATTTCAAATGTATGTAGGTTGTTTTTATTCATTATAATTGTTGTTGTTGGTGGTTATCATTATAAATTGAGAAAAAAAAGAGATAAACTGTGTGTAGTATTCTGTTTGCTGTGTAAATGTTTGTTTGTTTTTTTTTAAAAGATGTGAAATATGAATGTAATGTGATTACATCAACAATTTTTCTGTTGTTTTTGTTGTTTCATATAATGATGAATGATGATGATATATAAGTGTGTGTTGTGTTGTGTGTTTATGTAATGTGTATATTCTTCTTCAGTTTTTTTTTTATAATTATTATTATTAAATTATCATCATCTTCATTTTATTCTTCTTCAAGATGTGTTTTTTTTTACACACACACTATTGACGATTTGGACATTGAGCAGCAATGTGACCAACTTCGTTACAATTGAAACAACTCTTGGAACGTTCTTTACGTGGTTCCGAACAATCACGACTAAGATGACCTTCCATACCACAATTGTAACAGGTTTTAGCACCTGGTGGTTGTGTACAATCGCGACTAATATGTCCTTCACGTTGACAATTATAGCAACGTTGATTGTTTCGTGAACGGAAACTCATCATTCCATTTCCGCCGCCACCACCACCACCACCACTCATCTGTGGTTTACGGCAATCATATGACAAATGTCCAAATTGTCCACAATTGTAACAACGACTACCGTTGTTACGTGAAAAGCCACCACCGCCGCCACCACCACGACGATCATTGTATCGACTGTACTGTTTGTTATCGCCATCCATCATATCATCTTGAATGGTACCAGCAGAATCAGTAACAACGGGACCTTCGTTTTCGCTCATTTTTTTTTCTTAATTTTTCGGTTTTCCGACGATATTCAAAAAAAGCTGCTGTTCAAAAAAAAAAAATCAATAAGTATTTGACTAATATATTCAAATATTTATAAATTGTAGATTCAAGAAAAAATTCGAATTTCGAAATTCAACATCATGATTTATATGGTGATTATTATAGTGTAAAAGGGAGTGGGGATTGGTGGGCCAAAAAAATTCACCATCCTAAGCTAAATTTAATCAATCAAATCAATGATTAATTGATTACGAAAAACTTACCAAAAATCAAAAAGAAAATTCAAAGATCAAAACACCACCACACAAACAAAATTGATGAATCTTGATTGCTTTAAAGCTATTTATGATCAATAATATCCGGAAATAGATTTTTTTCGTAAACAGATTCGAAAAATACACGACCACTATATATATGTGGAAAATGAAATCGAAAAATCAAGAATTAGAAAAAAATTATGACGGAATAAATTTGATATATACACAACAGCAGCAGCAGCAGCAGCAAGAGCAATGCAAATATACAGCGTGGCAACAATAACTCACACACGCACATGGAAAACTCAACAAAAAAAAAATAAAATTCGAATCATCAAAAAAAACTAAGATTCGATAATCAATTTTTTTTTTCTTCATAACCGGAAAACAAATTGAAAAAAAATTTCTACTAACCTTTTTTTTTATTTTCAAACACACAAAACGCACACACACACAAAACAACACGCACACCCACCAAATTACAAATATAACGGATTATTGTAGAATTTGTCCAATTTGATAATTTGATTGATTTGGAGAAAAAAAATTTTTGACGATATATGAATGGATAATTATCGATGATGAAGACAAGACAATTATTATAAAAAAATGTTTAAGTGAGAGGGAAAAAAAATTGAAACTTTATTTTTCAACTTTGCAAATGAAGAGAATGGGAAATAATAAAAAAAATACCACGTGTTATGAATCAAGCACACACACACACACACACAAACACACATCACACACTCACATAAAATTTTGTTATATGCGGCAGCAATAATGATGGTGGCAGCACGGCTATAAAAAAAAAAAAAATCAAATCAAACATAGAAGTATGGCGACAAAAAAAGTAAGATATACAGTAGGAGGGGATGAGGAGGTAGAATGAGGAGGATGATGCTGATGATGAAAAAAAAGGGGAAGTAGAAGTGGAAGAAAAAGAAAAAGAAAAAAGGATCGGTCGATTGTCGGCAGCGTCGTCACAAAAAAATTTTTTTTTTTTCTGCCCTGTTTTGATATGTGTGTGTGTGTGTGTGTTTTTTATCGGGTGTTCTCGGCCGATTTGGCCGGTCCGTCCGTCTGTCCATCCATCTGTCCATCTATCATCATCATCATCACCATTAATCTCGCTATCACAGTTGTAGTGGTTCATCCATATATATGAGTATGAGTGTTGCATGAAAAATAAAAAAAAAAAATTTTCAACTCATGAGCCAAAAGCCGGGAAATTATGTTCGATTTTTCTTTTACTCCCGACTATGATGATGATGATGATCGTGATGAGGATGAGGATGAGGATGATTTTTTTTTTTTTTTGATTGAAATCGTTTTTTTTAGCTCGGACAGACAGACAAACAAGACTTAAGATGGATTCAATTCGATTTATATACAATGATGATGATGATGAAATGGATGGACGTACAGAACTTGTAAAGCCAGTTTGATACATGAAAAGTTTTTTTTTTGTTTTTGTTTTGTTTTTCAATTTTTTTTTAAATTTTGCCACGATAATCACGATTTCCTTGGTTTTCTCATAATCATCATCAATTGAATTGATGATGATTATGAAAAATTTTAATTTTAATTTTAAATTTTTTTGGAAAAAACATTTGACAGGGTGTCATATAACTGAACCATAAGACAATTCTTTCAAAGCTATGGATGATTTGATGGAAGCCCATTTTTTCTTGGAAAAAAAACCACTGATAATCTGCTGTCTAGCCAACAGCAGCAGCTGGTAACATCGTAAAAGAAGTTTATTGATCTTTTTGAACATCGTACACATACAGCGTATAAATAAATATAACCGATTAATATCATCTCCACCAAACATCATTGTTGTCATCTTGATCGATGTTGCAGAGAGAAAAAATCAGTTTTTTTTTCTCTCCATTCAACACGACAAAGTGATACGATTGATTGAAAGAAAAAGAGATTTAATGTGCGCGAATTTTTGAAAATGATGAAAATGATTCAAAAATTGTTTCAAATATTCATATTGATCATTGCCTATAATCGAATGATCACTATTCATACACTTTCGTGTATGAATGAAAAAGGCCATCCAGTGGATTCATTTATTGGTTACAAAGTGCCAAAATTGGAAAAATCAAATGATTCATTGGTGCGTAATGGATTACAATATTTATATGTGATACCATCATCATCATCATCATCAACATCAAGATCATGGACATTTGGACAGCGATCATTGAATGACAGTCGATCAATATTGGGTGCAACATTGAAATCAATTTTAAAAAATGAAAATAATAAACATTATAATTTGATATTTTATAATGATCAAAAACCATCAAGTAAGTTTGTTGTTTCAAATAAAAATGATTCAAAATAACTTTGTTTTTTCATTTGTCTGTTCATTTTCATAGCACGAACACGATCATCAAGTACAGGTGCACATGCAAAAGGTATTCTGGCAATGTATGGAAAAACTGGATTCTGGTTATTACATTCAATACCACAATTTCCAATAGTATCGGATGAATCATATGAATATCCCAAACGTTCATTAAATAATGGCCAATCATTCATATGTATTACAATATCAATTGATGACAGGCAAACAATGGAAAATGTTGCAAAACATTTATCAATGATGAGACCAAATATTTATTCAATTAATTTGACGAAAAATTTTCTTCGAAAATATCCAATTTATGAAGAATTTGTGGATAAAAAACGACATAAATCGAATAGACGTCCAAATCAATTAATTCAAACGATTTCGTCAGCAAATCATTTGTCATTTACCATATTTTCCAAGAATCATAAATTCAATCATGATATCTATGCCGATCTGATTGCCCAACATTATCAAGATGATTTTTTCGCTCAATCATGGCGTAATGGTGCCGGAGAAGTTTTGCCATCCGATTGTACATATGGTTATAAAATTTTTAATGTTAATTCAATAAAAATGTATGTGTCTGGATTGACATTTTTTTTTGTTCGTTGTTGTTGTAATTAATCAATTTTTTCTTTCTTTTTTTTCTAAATGTTAAATGTAGTCGTGATTCAATACAATGGCCATATCGTGAAGATCATGCTAAATGGACCATTTCGGTGGATCATAAAAGACGTCCAATTGTATGTTTAGTTGATTTAAATCGAATGAGATCACAATTTAGCCGTGGTGGTGGTGCCATTTGTCTGGAATCATCAGCCAATCTGTGGAATGTATTCAAATCATCCATTTATGATATTGAAAGCTGTCCAGCAAACAAAGTACGTTTTCCATCATTAGATTGGCTTTCATCATTACCACAACGAGCGTGGAGAAAAATCGATGATGTTAAACAAAAATGTGGACTAAAAAAATCAAAGAAAAAAGAAAAATAAAATTTTCAAAGAAAAAAAATTTGAATTTCGAATTCTATTGCCACACCAATGGCTCATCTAGGTAGCGCGTTCAATTTCATAAAAATAGGCGCTGTTTTTGTTCTGGTTTTAGAATGAAAAAATTCGTTATAGAAAAAATAGCAAACTGTCATTTTTTTTTCGTTCGTTCATTTGTTTTTCATTAAATTTCATCATCATCATCAAATCATCATCATGTTTATTAAAAAACTTATCCTTGACGGCTTCAAATCATATGGAAAACGTGTTGAAATCACCGATTTTGATCCATCATTCAATGCCATCACTGGTTTTAATGGTAGTGGAAAATCGAATATTCTCGATGCAATTTGTTTCGTACTTGGTCTATCCAAATTAGAACTTGCACGTTGTCATACGTTGAATGATTTAATTTATAAAAATGGACATGCCGGTGTTACAACGGCATCGGTTACAATGGAAATTGATAATACAGATGGTAAATTTTCACATAGTGATTATAGTAATTCACCAGTGATTGTTGTTCGTCGTGAGGTAATGTATAAATTGAATGAAAAATTCGTTTCATTTCACTGATGATCAATTTATTTTTTTCTAGATCAATATGAAAAATCAATCCAAATATTATATTGATGGATTCTGTGTGACCAAAGAAAAATTGATGGATTTTTTTCAATTAGTATCATTGAATATTCAAAATCCACATTTTCTAATTATGCAAGGTAAAATTGTTAAAGTCGTATCGATGAAACCAACCGAGGTATGTGTCAGAATTTCTTGTTTGTTTTTCTGTATGACTAAAATTCATTCCCTAGATATTATCAATGATTGAAGAAGCTGTCGGTGTCAGTGTTTATGAGAACAAAAAGAAACAGAATTTGATCAGAATTGAAAAATGTGATAAATCATTGAATGAAATTGGCTATTTAATTGATGAATCCATTCGGCCAAAATTGAATCGAATTTGTGAAGAACAAAAAGCACTACGAGAATATCATACAATCAAAGCCAGATATGATCAAATGTTTAAAATTTCAATTGCACATCGATATTTGAAAGATAAACATATTGTCGATATGGCCGATACAAATGTTGAATCACATAGAGCATCTATACAGGCAAAAGAAGATGAAAAATTTCGTCTTATTTCGGATTCAGAAACATTGGCCAAACAAATTGAAACATTACAAAAACGATTAGATGCCAGTATGGGTGGTGATCTTCGGCAATTTGAAACCAATGTAAATCAAAAGCAAAATATTCTCCAACAGATGAATATGAAACAAAAATTGAAACAAGATCAACTTGACGAAGAACAAAATGAATTGACAACAGTACAGAAAAAATTAAACAAAGAAACGAAAATATTGACTAATAAACAGAATGAATTTGATGAATTGAAAAAAACATTGGAACAATTGAAAAATGAACATGAAACAAATGAAAAATTATTCAATAAAGCTCAAGAAGATTTAGAGGCCATAAATTTTGGCAAATCCAAAGGCATTCAAGGTGAAAAAGCGGCAACATTAACACATCAATTAATGACCACTAAAGATACATTGGCCGATGTTGAATCACGGATCAATAAATGCAAATTGATTATTGAACATACAACAAAAGAATTGACAACGAAAAATAAACAAATAAAATCCGATAAAGATGTTTATGATGGTATCATACATGATATTGAAAAACGACGTAAAGAAATGGAACAATTGCAACAAGAAATGAATGTAATTGATTTTAGTGAAGAAAATTTTGAAGAAATGAAACAAATTAATTCACGTTTGAAAAATGATATATTATTATTGCAGGATAAAATTAATCATTTACGTCCATCAGTACCTTTTTCAAAATTTAAATGTCCAGATTCATTGGATATTGATGAAGAATCAATATATGGTGTTGTTTGTGATTTATTCACTATTAATCATCCAGAACAACATTCTGTTGCCATTGAAAAAGTATGTGGTGGCCGTCTTTTCAATGTTATTGTATCCAGTGATGAAGTGGGTGCTAAATTGATCAAGAAAAATCTTAAAGAACGACGTACATTTTTACCATTGAATAAAATCACTGGAAGAGATACCGATATTCGTGCATTACGATTGGCTGAACAATTAGTTGGCCGTGGTAATGTTCATTATGCTATCAATTTGGTTTCATTTGATAATGAATTGAAAAATGCAATGAAATATGTATTCGGTGATACGATGCTATGTCCAAATATGAATATGGCTAAAAAAATTGCCTTTGCCAACGGTATCATGAAACGTGTTGTAACATATGATGGTGAAATATTCGATCCAACCGGTACATTGACTGGTGGTGCATTGAAGAATAGCCAATCATCATTGGAGATTATTGGTGAAATTAAATCCATTGAAGAAGAATTACATTTGCATCGTATTCGTAAACAACAGGCTGAAGATGAATTGAAACATCTGGATCGTAATGCAAAACAATTTGAAGATAAAAAATCAAAATTATTATTAAAACAACAAGAAATTGATGGATTAAATCTACGTTTACAAGAATCATGTCATTATGTTACAATGAAAGATATTGAAGATATGAAACAACGAATAAATGATGAACAAAATTCGTTGAAACAATTGGCCAATGAAAAATCAGCCATCAATGATCGTATTAAAGAAATTGAATATAAAATTCAAAATTCTGAATCAACAAAAAAACAGGAACTAAAAGAAGCAAAAAATTATCTATCATCAATACAAAAACAATGTGAAACAACTGGTAAACAATTGCAAAATGATGAAAAACAATTTGTTTGCCTGGAACAAGAACTACTACATCATCGTGAATGTGTTGATGTGTTGGATAAACAGATTGAAAAAATTCATTCAGATATTGAACAAATCAAAAAAGAATTGCTCACCATACAGAATGAAATTGATAATTGTCAAATGGAAATGAAATGTGCGCAAGAAAAATATGATGAATATAAACAACAATTGAATGAAAAATCAAAAGAAATACAAAAACTACAAAAACAATCCGATATGATACGTAATCTTGTTGATGAAATTGGCCGTGAAATTAAATTGAAAACATATGAAATGGAAAAAATTGAAACATCCATACATGAAGCACAGGAACGTTTACGATCAATGTTGCATAAATATCAATGGATTAAAGATGAAGCAAAAGATTTTCATTCCGATCAAAATGAATATCGTATATTGAATCAGATGGATTTTGATGAAAATGTTTTTTTCGTTAAATTAAAATCATTAAAATTGCAACAAGAATCATTGGGAAAATCTGTGAACATGAAAGCCAATATAATGCATGGACAAATGCAAAAAGAATTTGAAGAACTATTACATAAACGTGATGTAACATTGAAAGATAGAAAAAAATTAATACAATATATGGAAAAGGTGGAGAAAGAAAAAGATAAAGAATTACGAAAAGCGTGGAAAAAAATTAATGAAAATTTTGGCGCTATTTTTGGCACATTATTACCAAATGCTAATGCAAGATTGGCACCAGTATCGTCACGTATAAAAGATGGTCTAGAAATTAAAGTTGCATTCGGTGATGTATGGAAAGAATCATTATCTGAATTGAGTGGTGGCCAACGATCATTGGTGGCATTATCATTAGTATTATCATTGTTAAAATATTATCCAGCACCATTATATATTTTGGATGAAATTGATGCAGCATTGGATCAAAGTCATACACAAAATATTGGATTAATGATTCGTAGACATTTTAAAAATGCACAGGTATGTGTCATATGTACATTCGATTGAATTTCAATATCATCATCAATGTTTTAATGTCCAATTTTTCTTTCCAATTCAATTAGTTTATCATTGTATCATTAAAGGATGATATGTTTAACAATGCAAACGTTTTGTTTCAAACAAAATTTATCGATGGATTTTCAACTGTTGACCGGATTAAATTATGAAAATTTTCGTTTTATTTTCTGATATGAATCATCATCATCATCATCGTAATCATCGACGAAAATTGTTTTTTTTTTATCTCTCCCATCATATCACATCTCTTTTTTTTCAAAATCAAAATCACATTTTTTTCATGATACACAAACACGCACCTATACATATACACCACCCCCATCTCTCTTTAAATTATATTCATAGACATCATCCATGTTTTTTTTACAACAACAAAACAAAAATTGAAATGAGGAAATTTCAATAAATTTGATTTGATTTAAAATTGCTATTTTACCAGAAAAAAAATATCGATTGATTGAATATAATGGACGATGACCTTTTTATTTGATGATTTGAAATTGTTGATTTTTCTTTCTTTCGAATACATTTTTGAAGGAAAAAGCCCAAAAATGATATAAAATGATCAATTTTTTTCCAATTCAATTACAATTGGTGGATGCAATTTTTTTTTCGTTTGAAATCAATGTCAAATGATGATTACTATTATTGCGATGGTGGTGGTGGTGGTTGTGGATGAATAAATGAACGACGACGACGACGACAACAACAACAAACAAACAGGTAGCAATGATGATGATGATGATGATTATGGCCATTCCCATTTTTTAAAATAAAATTTAGTCAGCCCATTATCATCATGATCGTCGTCATCATCATCAAAACAACATTATGGAGAGAAAAAAATGAAATAAAAATAAAAATAAACTAAAATTTTGTCCTTGTTCAAAAAAACCAATCGATCGTCATCGTCATTAGTCATTATTATCGATACATTTTTCGTTTTCTCATATTTTGACCATTATCAATTTATAAAATATCGTCATAGTATCATGATGAATCATTCGATTTGTTGATTTTATTCTATATTGATTCAAAAGAAAGAAAAAAAAAATTTTCTCACGTAAGTGATGCTTTGATTAATTTTTGATTTTTATCATAATTTATGTTTTGTAACAAGACGTTGATGTTTGATTAAAAAAACGTACGATTTTTGTGTCGATTTCCATATTGCAATCGTATATAATCATCAAGTGTTTCCAAATACATTTGATACACGTAGATTAATCTAATTATTATATTATAACAATTAATAACCAGGATTTTTTTTCATTGTTGTTGTTGTTGTTTTGGTCACATCATATGATTAGATTAGATTTTTGAAAAAATATACTTACCATTTATTCTTTTAGGCCGGTAAATCAAGTTTGTACTTTTTTTTACAAATATATCCGCAATTTAGGTACAATAGGATGATACTTTATTATTATGATTATCGTCAGCTATTGAAAGGATAACACACTTACCAGTTTCTCTTTCACATTTATATTGTTGTTATTTCTCTTTCTCTTCATCATCATCTTCTTTTTTGTTTTGTTTTGTTTGTTTCTTTTGTCATCATTACATCGTTTCAAATGGTCAGTGAATAAATTTTATAAAATGAAATGAATTTTTTGATGGCAAATATAAATGATGTTGACGTTCAACTTGGCAGCCAAGAATAGAAAAAAAAATTACCCGAATGACCGAAAACTGTCAATTTTTTTCTCTTGCCAAACCAAAAAAAAAAAAATATTATTCGAATCTTTGAAAATTTAAATTCTTGCACACACACACACCAAATTCTACATTAACGGTTCTTGTGTATGTAAATAGCATATGTGTTGGTGTTTTTATTGATGTTTTTTTAAAAAAAACCGATTCTTCAAGATTCTGTGCAATCACAAATAAATTCTGCTCATTTTTTTTTAATCTGTGATATATTTACACACAATATTGTTAATACGCTATACTCTATATATATATGTTATATTTGCTGTAATGTTTAATCATATTATTCTATTGTTTACATTTTCAACATGTTTTATAATTCCATTCATTTTATGGATAATTCGACGACAACAACGAATTGATCATCATCATTCATATGATAAAATTAACACAACATCAGTACTTAATGAAACAATGTGTCCATCATCATCGAAAATTGAACGGCGATTATCATCGGCATTGGTTAAAACAATTACCATACGTACTTGTGTTGGTATTTATGATGACCACATGAAACAATGGCGTCCAGATTTTTATCGTTATGCAACCGATGATGGTTTAGATTTGACTATTAATTATGTTGACACATTAATCAACGACAATGATGGTAATGGTGATGATTATTTTGAAAAAACAATTGTCGCTATTCACGGTGTTCCCGGTTATTATACACATTTTGATAAATTAGTCGAATATTATCGTAATACAAATGTTCGGGTCATTGTACCGAATTTGCCGGACTTTGGCCATACAAGAAAAACCCGTTCATTTTGGCATACAAGTGTTGAAAAATCAACATTTCTTAAAGATTTTCTCCGCAAATTGAATGTAAAAACCGTTGATTGTTTAATTTGTCATTCGTTTGGTGTCCAAACAGCGGCTGCTATTTGTGAACAGGTAGATTTGATTTCAAAATTTCTTTTTTCTTCAAAAATTCTATAACCGACATTTTTTTTCTCTCATTCGTTTTAGCCCGGTAATTTGGCCATAAAATCCGTAGCATTCCTATCACCGCAACCACTTTGGGATCCGGTTCGTAATGATGAAATGCTTAAAGCATTTAAACATAAATCCGAATGGTGGTACAATTTTTTATCACTGATGCGTGTACATAAAAAAGCCTATACTAAATTACGTTGTGCCAATATCAATGAATTTCTTCTACTATGTTCAATTGGTATTGAAGATGATACACCGGAAAAATTTACTCATCGTTTACAGAAAATAATCAAAATGAACATTCCAATTGTGTTAATTTATGGTGAAAAAGAACGTCTCATATCGAAAACAGCCATACAACGTTTAAATGAACAGTTGTATATTGAATCTAATGATATTATTATGATTGATCCAGATGATTCTACATATCAAGAACAATTAGAATTGACCAAAAAATATAGTTCATTTGTAATTAAAAATGGTGGCCATTTTACACATTGTAATCATCATCATGTGGCTAATGCAATTATTGATAATTTATTAAAACTTGACAATCATCAACAACAACAACAACCGAATGATGATTAGAAGATTTTTTGACATTAATTAATTAATTAATTGACTTTGTGACATAAATTAGGTTTCCAATTATATCGATCTGCTGTTTGGTGGCTACCAAAAATTATCGATTTGTTTCAAATTATTATTATTATTATTATTTCAATTGAAAATTGTTATTAATTGAATTTTGAATTTGACTTATTAAATTTTGAATTTTAACAAACTAAAAAATATCGATTGATGAAAAATCGATTGTATCGTGATTTCTATTATTTTTTTTTCTAAACATTTCCTTAGCATGCTTTCATGCACACAACACACACACACTCATTCTCATTTGCCATGCTGTTTTCATCCTGGACAAGTCTTGTAATTTCGAAAATCGTAATTTTTTTTATTTTCAAAATTTTTGTGACCAAGTAATAATGAAAGTGAGTATCTTCTTTTTGTTGCCACAAATTGAAACAAAAATATAACCCTTTACAACGCCGCGTGTCGATTTTTTTTTATATTCAAAAAATTGATGCGTGTTTTTAATATTAAAATTCAAAGGGAAAAGTACTGAATATCTTTATAAAACATTGATATTTATATATCGATAATTGAATATCAATACCTGTATTCTGATACATTTTTTTTTACTTTTTATTAATTTATTTTAAACAGTCGCTGAATAATAAAGACTTGGAATTGAAAACCCCTTTTTCATATTATATAGGGGTGAAGAAAAGATCCTTGAAACAAAGCTATGGAACAACACCAAGAGCCTTGCTATTCGACAAAAAAAGCTGAAAAAATTTAAATTTTGAAGCCAGAAAGCATTTCCAATTCGGAACGTTCCAGATCATAAAGATCCTGAATCAAACCTTGGAATTGACATAATTCGAAACTGTAGGAGCAGAAATTTAATCTCCAATTGAAATTACCAATAACATGGATGGATGTGATTTTGTTATGAATCAACGCAATCTAACATCCCGACGAGCTTGAAAAGGAAGCCATTAAAAAAGACTACGGCTTCTGAAGCATATAATGACAAAAGACTGGAACAGAGTTTAGGGCAACTCAAGTCACTGGAAATGAACAAGAAGAACTTGCTAAAGTATATGATCCAGGCGTACAAAATACTGCCCTCTCAAATATAACCCTACGTAATCTTCTGTAAAAATTTATTTTATATTTTATTATTAATTTTATTATAACACATTGTATGATATCGAATTGTTAACCGAAACATGGTTCGATCACCAGATTGGAAAACTACATCTGGTTAACGAACAAAGGCTGTGATTTATGTGAAGAAAAACAGTAGCATCAATCCGATTTTGATTGATCAATACAGTCGTTTCAATCAATGTGTAGTCAATGTTACACTAATTGGCCAATCAATAAGGCTAATTAGTGTATACGGTAGCAAGGAAATTATTTCCACATCTAGATGATCCATTGTTAAATTATCTTTATGATGATAATCAAAAAAAATTGAACAGTATTTACGTATTAGCGCCACCGCAAACTGGTTTGCAACAGAATCGAATTAAACACAATAATACACTTGCAAATCAATAAATTTACATGTTTAACAGTCTTTATTTTCTATAATTCTATTTTTTTTTATATTTAGAAGCCTTTTTATTATTTATTTGTTCACGAAGCTTTCTTTTTGTTTTCTTGTTGTTTGCTGATTATATGCCCCACTTTTAGTGTATAGAAAATGCTTATTTGGGATTTGCCAACAACAGAACAAGACACAATTATATTTTTTCAGGAGCGAAATATCTTACCTAATGGACGAAAATGTACCAAAAACGATATATGAAGCTTTATTTTGGTAAACGTTACTTTTGGAAATGTAATCAAAGACGATGCGATCATCAAGTGGGACTTGGAAAAGACAACTGGTTTGAGTTTAGCAAAATAACATTTTGTTCAGCTTTGAGATTCATATACTGCTGGTACGAGAAGTTAACGTCCATTAAATTTTGTAAAAAGCAACTTGACTTATCCGACAAAACTGTTATAGATTGGAACAATTACATGCGTGAATTATGTGTCCTTGATATGGTAAATAAACCAAACAAGAAGATAGGTGGACCAGGATGCATCGTGGAAATTGATGAAAGTTTATTTACAAAACGTAAAAATAATTGTGGTCGTTTATTACCAGAACAGTAGGGTGTTTGGTGGTGTATGTAGAGAAACAAAGGATTCATTTATATTGTCACTATTCCTAATAGAACTGGGTGGTCTACCCTTCTAGATAAAATAATTGAAAACATTTCAGATGGAAGCACAATTTATTCAGACTGTTGCAAAGGCTACCAAAGGTTTTTTTCCAACATACACACACGTGGTTTTTCATTCTCTTTTCTGTTCGCTTACGATTATAACGATTAAAAATAAAAACTTAATTTTGAAACAATTTTCCGTTTTCCGTCTTATTTCGCTATTCGTGTTTCTACACATTATAATCTGATTCTACATTATTTTTTTTTTTTAAATCAAAATTACAAGTTTCCAAAAAAGTTTCGCTATAAGTTTGTTATTATTATTATTTATTAACAAAACGAAAAACAATTATTCCGTTATTATATATAAGGGTAATAAGAAAAAATTACAAAATAAAATATAAGTTCAAAGGCTAGATTGGACGGTCGATTTTTCTATGTTACCCCTCATGATGGCCTTTTTTCATCTCCCCATTATGTACATGCTACATCTTTTGTGAATGCACGCTGCATTTATGGTGATCCGTTACTTTGATGTGTGTGTATGCAAAAAATGTACCTGTATGAATAGATATACTTTTGAATATCAAAAAAAGTTCTATTCTCGAAATCAAAGCACATGGTCCATACAAGCTTTATATATTGTGATGATTTTCGATTTTCCATTTCATTCTTTTCCACGTGGTCGTCCAGTCAACCATGTAATTGTATTTCAAATTTTATTAATTAAATCTTTTTTTTTATAATTTGTTCATCAATGCTGAACACAAATTATAAAAAACAAAAATCCCTAATTTTAATCCAGATGAAATTGTGGAAAATATTCGACGTTTAATTCGTGGAAAAGAACTTTTGCCGATGAAACCATGGTTCAAAGGATTTACCGGAACAATCGAACAAATTGATGACAAGCAACTTGATTTGTTATATTTGGCGAAGCAGCAATATTGGATGATGAATCGTTCGCAATCACAGAACTACCTGTTGGTGTTTCGACTCAAAGATATAAAAAAACGGTATTAGAGCCGATGTTGAATATAGAGTTCAAACGGTATTGTCTCAAACAACTATTATATATTATTATTAATAATGGAATTAAACATCAATTCGATGTAAACTTTTATTTTTGTATACAACACACACATAATATTAACAATTTTTTTTTTTGTATTTTCTGATTTTATCCATGGATACATACATGTTCAAAAACATAAACATCCTCCTTGTATGACAAAAGCTAGAAATAAATAAAGTGCTATTTTATTATTATGAAAAAAAACATTGTTTTTTTTTGGTGGTAGTTAGGGGGAGGGGGGGTTGTAATAGAAAATGATCAAAACTTTTTGATGTGTTTTGTGTTGTGTATAACAAACATGCAACATGTGCACACATGTTGCTTGTGTGCGACTACGAATAATGGCCATTTTGTGCTTTGAGGCTTTTGTGTTTCGCTTTCGTTCTGGTTGGTGGCCATTCACATTTATGTGTGTGTGTGTGTGTGTGTGTTGTATATATGAAACATCTGGCCTCTTGTTTATAGCAATTTTTTTTTTTGGGTTGAAGGTCAATAATCAAAATAACATAATGGTCCTTGTTCGATCAAAACAACGGTCATAACAGTGTGGTGGTGATCATATTTTTTTATTGAATGTTTAAATTAATCTAATCGATCGATCCACAAATTGTTCGAAAATATGGATAAATTATTTATTCGATTTCTAATCATATGGCTATCATTGTATGATAATATTGGTCATCATCATTGTCATCTTTATGATTGGATGCATCGAATTGTATTGGATTCAAATAATAAATATCATCTAAAATGGTTATTCAATATGAAACAAGAGCTTATTGTATTCAATGTTTGTGTTGAAACACATGGTTGGTTTGGCCTAGGTATCAGCCATAGTGGACATATGATTGGTAGTGATATTGTTATTGGTTGGATTGATCAACGAGGCCATGTACATTTACAAGATCGATTTGCCGAAGATGCAGATGAAATGCCTGTTATTGATGATAAACAAGATTGGCAATTAGAATCTGGTTATGAAAATGATACACATACTTGTATTACATTTAGTCGTCCATTTTTAACATGTGATTATGATGGCGATCTACCGATAACCAATGATGTAACGAAATTAATTTGGGCATACAATGATGATGATCCTGTTGGTTATTCGGCAATATTATCAAAACATTCACATCATCAACGTGGACATCGTAGTGTTCATTTATTGAATTATAAATTTGATAATAATGATAATAATAATTTGAATAATATAAAACATTCATCGATGATAAAATCATGGGATATAACATCAAAAAATGTTACCATTCCACATGATTCAGATACAACTTATTGGTGTAAAATTGTTAGTCCATCATTTCGATCAAAAGCACATGTTATAAGGGTAAGAAATCTGCAATATTCCTGTATTGGAAATTTGAATTCATTAAATCGTTTCATTTTTTGTTTTTGTTTTGAATAGATTGAGCCAATAATTTCACCATCTAAAAATGCACCATTTGTTCATCATATGGTACTGTATCGATGTCTACATCCTAATCCTTTGATGATGTATGATTATCTTGATCAGCCGGGTATTAATTGTTTGGATTTTGCCAATATGCCATTCGATTTTTTTCATTGTCAATCAATATATATGGTTTGGACCACTGGTGGTGAAGCATTCAATCTACCAGATAATGTTGGCATTCCTATATTTGAAGATCATGAAACAACATATTTTATGTTTGAAATTCATTATGATAATCCTGAATTGAAACAGAATATTCAAGATTCATCAGGTCTTCGATTATTTTATACGGAAAAATTACGTGAATTTGATGCCGATACAGCAACAATGGGTTCAGTGGTTGATTATCGTTTAATCATACCAGATGGATTTGAAAATTTCACTATATCTGGCCATTGTTCACCGGAATGTTTTCGACAAAAAATACCAACAACAGGATTGAATGTTCTTGCTGCATTACCACATGGACATAAACATTGTATGTTTTGTGAAATCTTTTTTTTGCTGATTTTCTAACCAACCACATGAATTCATTTTTCCAATTTAGTACAACGAATTATCGTAAGACATTTTCGCCACCACGAAGAATTGCCACCATTAGCTGAAGAGAATAATTATGATTTTAATTTTCAAGATTTTCGTCGTTTTAATAAACAAAGAATCATATTACCCGGTGATCAAATTACTGTGGAATGTACATATAATACAGAATCATTGAAAAGGCCAATATTGGTATGTTTGTCTGGAAAATTCCATTTCACATTTGATTATTTTTTTTTTTTTTTTTTTTTGTTCTATAGGGTGGATTATCAACCCAAGAAGAAATGTGTATGGTATTTCTTGTTTATTATCCACGTATGAAAGGCGTACGAACATGTCTTAGCGGACTGACACCAGAAACTGTTATGAAATTAACCAATATTGATCAAGTTCAAAAATTAGATGAAAATGACATGAATCCAGTGATCATACATCCATTAGAATATGCTAATCAAACATTGTCCACATATGTGTTAACAAAACAACATTGGCAAATACCAAAAAATACTGTGGCTGATATTGAAAATTTAACCAATCTGATACGTTATGCACCACAAAAAGCACAATGTTTTTGGCGTAAAATTGAAGGCATCGACGGTATAGAAGGAATGGATGAAATCAATGAATTGATTACATATCCAAAATCATATCGTAGATATGAAAAACCAATCGCTAAATGTCGTCCGGTTATTAATAGTCATTATACAATTCCACCAAGATTTATGTCATCATCATCATCATCATTATTGACCGTTTTATTTCCATATCCATTCTATATTATCATCATCATCATCACTATATTCTGTATCTGAACTGTTTCATTATTTTTTTTAAATTAAATTTTTTCAACATTCAATTGAAATTCATCGTTTTTTTTATCACTTGAAAACAAAAAAAAATCATCATTAGTTAATTTTTAGAAAAAAATTAAGTTTATTCGTACTCACGTAGTAAAAATTTTTATTTCCGCATTCGTTTTTGCGAAATTCATTCATTTTGGACACAAAAACAAGAAGAAAACAATTTTCCTTTTTTTCGTTGTTGTTGTTGTTGTTGTTGAGGTGTGGCTTGATCATCTTGATGATGATGATGATGATGATGATGGTTTATATTTAGAATATTCATTCATTCATTCACTCTTGTCATTTTGTATTATTCTAGGATTCTCTCACTGCTCAAATTCAAATGATGAAGATGATGGTGATGCTTCATTGTTTATCATTAGAAAGTGAATGGTAAAAGAATGAGAAAAAATCGAACGCCATTTTTTCATTTTATTTTGTATGTACCATTCATATATTAGGGTTTACGGCGTTGTTGAATAAAATTATCATCATCATTTTGGATTGATAATCATCGTCATCATCATCATTATAATCATGTCGAATAATAATAATTTGAATGTGAAACAAAAAAAGAAAAATCAGGTAAGAAAATGGTGATGGTTTACTCATTCAAAATTTTTGACTTACTGAATTATTTTTTTGGGGGGGGCAAATTATAGCCAAAATATCAGAAACCATCACAGCCAATATATAGACCACCATCAGCACGTATTGAATCATCAATGTCTGGTCCAAATCTTTCATCATCATCATTCATGTCCACTGGTGGAACACAAGTTGGATTGTACAACAGTGTGGGCGGTAATCATCCAAGCGACATTTTTCTCATTAAACAACCAAGTACAAGTTTTGGTAATGTCATTTCAAGTAAGTTTTTTTTTATTTGAAGAATTGATGTGAGAAAAAAACCATTTCTTTCCAACAAACATATTATAGATGTATTTCCAATACGTGGTGTTTTAAAACGATCCAAATCATTTGGGAACAATAACAACAACAACATCAGCAACAACATCAGCAACAATAATCGATCAAAAAATACAAATTCCGATACGATAAATAAATCGAAATATCACTATCTCAATGATTCAATGGCCGGAGCATTTTTCATAACATTGGAAAGTATTTCAAAAGAAAACATTACAATTATTAAACAAGCATTGAATCAACAAACCTGCAGAACGATTACAATGACACAATTATTACAGATCATTCGTATACTTTGTAATAAAGTATTGGATAAATCAAATAATGCATCTATTGTGGCCAAAGTTTGTTTGGAAATTCATCATAATCAACAATTGAATATGATACATTTAAGTGATCATAAATATCTGTTTCTAGAATCATTAGCAAATTGTCTTCGTGAATGGTTTAATGAACGTGATAAATTACGTTTCACCACTGGTGGTGCTCGTCGATGGACAAATTATATTACATTTTTGATGGAAATTTATATTAATCTAAAAGAATCTATTGTAAAGGATTTGGAAATGAATAGATTTTATCTTAGCGATTCAAATGATGATGATGATGATGATTATGATGACGATGATGATGATGATGTCGATGTTGATCAAAGCAGTGACGATGAAGATGTTGAAAATGTTGCCAATATCGATAACGATGATGATCTCGATGATTTTAGCAATGGCCAAAATCAAAACAATGACCAACAATCATCAGCTACAAATGATTCAAGTCAAGCTGATTCAAGTTCATGTAAAAGTGGTTCAAGTGAACGTTTTTGTACTACTACTACAAGTAATGTTAAAAAAACATCAAGTACAAATAGTATTGAAATGAAAATAATCAATTCATTATTGGCCAAACAACAGAAACAATTTGCAAATTTATTATTTGATTCATTTCAGGTAATATTGATTAATCCAAATTCAACACCAGCCGAAATTGAATGTATGCAAATTGTTTTTCGTCGATGTGGTAAGTTTACATTCAGACAAAAAAAACCATAAGACTAAATATGACTTTATTGATTCATTTTAGGAAAATATCTGGATGAAGATAATCCATCCAGAATAAAAGCATTGATATTTTTAATCCGTGATATATTATTAAATTGTTCGGCCATCAATCAATTTGTGAATGCACATAATAATAATAGCCTAAATTCATCGATAAGTAAAAATTTATTGGAAATTATTGAACTTTATTCAAGTGGATGGCAATTTGATCAATCACAGCAGATTTATTATTTTCCATATACAAAAATTGATTAAAGTAATGGAAATGATTTTCAAACAAAACAAAAAACAATGAACAAAATTGATAAAAAAACAACAACAATAAAAGAAACTGAATTCATTCTATAATCCAGTGCTCATTAACTTGAATCGAATCGAATCGAATCCAAAAATGACAATCGATAACAATAACAAAAAAAAAAAAAAAGAATTTAAATTGAAAATTTACAAAAACAAAGAATTCTTGTAAAACTTTTAGAGAACAATTTATACAGTTTTTTTTCTTCTTCTACTTCTTCGAAAAAAAAACATTGAATAAATCCATTTGTTTATCTTTTGTGTTTGTCTGTTTGTTTGACTAAATTATCATCATCATCATTTTAGGAGGAAAAAATTTCCATATTTACATGCAAAACATTCGTGATAATAATTGGTGAAAACAAAACAAAAACAAAATTCATTGGGATTTATCGATAAAATGTACGAGAGAGAGAGAGAGAGAAAAAAACAGAAAAAGGTTCATTAAGTTTTTTTTTCGGGGATATCTGGAACAAAATTCTCTATTCTTGTTCTCGCTATACAAATCTTATTCAATGTTTTTTTTTTCGATTCTCATTTAAAATATGGTATCTCTCTCTCTCTCTCTCTGTGTGTGTGTGTGTGTGCGGTGGGTATCGAAACGAATTTCACTAAATAAATTTGAAACTTTTTTCTTTTTTTTTTTTGTTGAGAAATGAAAAACTTTTCAAAACATTTCCCACCAATACGATAGATAGATTATTATTACGGAACAAATATACAGATCCATTGATTGGTATTGGAATAAGAAAAAAACGACGACAGCAGCAGCAACCAAACACAAGAATATTATTGAACGACAAAAAAAAGAACATCTTTGAAAAGTGTGTGGTGCACACACACACACACATTGATATTCGAATATCGATAGTTTGGCATTTGAAACAAACACAGGAAAAAAAATCGACTTTATCATCATCATCATCATCATTGATGATAGTCATGGGAAAATGAAAACTTTCAAAATAAAAATTCTAAATTCTGGATGAATGAAAATCTAAAATGAAAAAAAAAAAGAAAAATTTAATATCACAAACGGCCAACCCGCCACACATATACACACATAACCGATTTTGATTTGTCGTCATCATCGTAGTCGTTTGAGGTTTGATCGATCTTTGAATTGAATTTTCTTCAATTTGGTCCACCAGAATGAATGAAAAGATCGATGAATATGTAAGTGATGTTTGAGAGAGAAAGAGAGAGAGAAAAGGGTTGAACAGCAAGGCGGCCACACACTTTATTTTTCTTTATATATGGGACATTATTATTATATTGTGTGTGTGTGTGTGTGCGGAATGAATATAGTCCGATAACCAAGAGAGAGAGAGAAAGAAATTCAAGAATCCAATCTCAATATTTGACAGCAGCAGGTTATTTGGTGAATTGATTTTTTATTTTTTCTCAAAAGAGAAAGAAATCGATTTTTTTTCGGCCAACATTTTTATATAAATTTCATTTTGTTATTGTTTATGTCGCAGTACATATACAATTGAAAGTTTGTTTCATTTTCATCAATTCCAAATTGTTTTCCATCATCATCATGAACATGATCATGATCATGATCATTTGGTTATGGCATCATGCGAAACTACAGAATTTGCCGGCATTTTTTTCTTCTATTTTTAGCCGGCCATTTAATTCTTTTTCGGGATAGTGGATGGCCTAAAAATTTTCAAACAAAAAAAATTGACTTTTGTATTAAATTACATTATTATTTTTTGTGTTATTAATAAAACTTATTACAACAACAAACAAATGACGAAAAAAAGCTCAAATTCATTCATTCCAAACGATTACATTTTCTCTAAATACAAATGTGGAATGAATGAAAATTGTGGCCAGAACAAACGAAACGAAAAAAAAAAAATTGTCATGTCCATTCCATTTCAACAACAGTGATTGATAAGTGTGTATTTAGTGTTAATATATGAAAATGAGACAATTGAAAATTGGTTGATAATGATAATAATAACGTTAAAAGTTTATATTGTTTTTGTTTTATCGAGCAATCGAAATAATAATAATAACAAAAAAAAAATTGAAAACCTTTTTCCGTCACACTGTGTCTGTGTGTATGGGAATCAGAAACAAAAAAAAAGCCGAATTAATCAGGTTTTTTTTTTGTTTTGTTTAGTCAAAGTCAAACCCGTTAACTCAAAAAAACGAATTCATTCATTTTAATCATTTCACATTGTCCGTGATATCATTTATATACTATTAATTAAATCGTAAAACAATAGTAGACACATCAAGTGTTAAAACATCAAAATTTGAAACACTTGGGTTAGTTTTCTGTTGTTGTTGTTGTTGTATTTATTATTCTTGATTCTTGATGTTTTTTTTTTGTTTCTTCTTTTCCATTCAGGTTCCACAGTACCATTATTATTATTATTAATGACATTGAATGAAATTAAAGAATCTTACGTTGCAAAACAAATCACAGAATCAGAATAATATAATGTACACACACACACACACAAACAGGACATTTGATATTACATGTATGTGTGTGCGAATGGATCATGAAAATTAATAAGACCTTATATACCAGAATAAATCGAAAATATTGGTGATGTTGAAGAATAAAAACCAGGAACAAAAAAAAAAGCTTTTCTTACTTGATTGTTGTTTTTGCTTGCAAAAACCAAAAATAAAACAAAACGAAAACGAAACGAACACACACACACACATGTGATGATCGATGATGTTGACGATTCGGATCAAAATAAAAAAAAACCAAAAAATACGAGAATCTACCACTGAAGATATTTTTTTTGGTGTACAAAGTAAAATGTCCAAGCAAACGAATCTTTTAAAAGAAACCAACCAACCAAACTATACGAATATAATAATGGTGCAACAATTTCTTCTTCTTCTTCTTCTTGATCCATTCATTCGAAATATTATTATTAGTTTTTTCTGGAACAAAAGAAAAAAAAATCTGACACGTTGTTGTTGTTGCTGTTGCTGTTGATTATAAAAACACCAACAAACGAAGTTGACGAAGACTAATGAGCTGACGACAGCCTTAATCATGATGTGATGTGTGTGTGTGTGTGTGTGTGTGGAAGCAATTTTTAATCACCCCAAAAATAGAAAAAAAAAAAAGCAATTGGAGATCCGTTAGCCATTGAATCACTCACGGTTTGGTATCCAAAATATTCAAGTAAAAACAAAAACAACCAGCCATTTACAATGACCCGAAAAAAAAAGAAAATTTGCTGAATTTTCAAAAAAAATTCGTTTTATTTTTGAAATAAAAATTTTCAAACAAAAAAATAGACATGTGACCATCATACTAATTATTATTATTACAGTGGTGAACCATTCGTGTGATAATAGAATATAGAATCGAATTGAATTGAATCAAATCATTTGATACAAAATATTTTCAAATGATAGATAATGATGATTATAATTCAATGATCGTATCTATAATAATATATGGCCATTAATAATAATCCAATGATTATCATTGACGGTGATGTTGATCGTCGATTTGAGTTGTTGCTGTCATTGATATTAATAGTAGTGGTAACCGTTGTTGATTCTTGTTGCTGCTGATGATGATGATGATGTTGTTGTTGGCCATTTTTGATCGTTATTTTTTTCTCCACTTCCATTTTTACATTTCCTCCTGGTGTTTCGATTTTGTTGGCAGCCATTTGTATCGACGACGATGATGATGATGAATGTTGTACGAAATTATTTGTCTGGGATTCGTTGTCATTGATCATCATCGATTGATTGGATGATTTGGACAAATCATCGACGGAATCATCTATATATCGGGTGAAAAAAAAGATAAAGAAAAATTCTGTCAATTTTTTTCACAATCATTTTTCAAAAAGCTATCATTTTCTCGTTTCAAAAAAAAAAAAAAAAAAAAAAAATTTCCAGATAATTTACTTTGTTATGATTTATTCGATTTTTCCCAGTAAACTTTCTCTCATGTTTGAATTCAATTCAACTTGCCCTCAATTTGATCAAAGTAAAAAAAACGAAAACAAAAACAAAAACAAAAAAGGATCGGATGACAATTATGGAGATAATATCGGAATAACATCATCAACAAAAAAAAACAAATCCCTTTTTTGTGATACCTGCATTTTTTTTCTCTCATTTGAAACATCAGATCATTATCATTGTGGATTTTCCAATATCTGATGCGATCGAAAATTAATAATCATGAATTATGAACTGAAATCAGGCAAAAAAAACAAAAACAATGCAAAGAGACGATCCAATTTCTTATTTAGTTTCTCTACGTTCGTTTGTTCATTTTTTTTTCTTTCACTCAGCCATGATGCCAGAAAGAAACTGAAAAGCAAAAAAAAAAAATAGCCAAGAAGAAGAAAGGAAAAAAATATTAACAAAAACAATGGCACACAAACTACAAACTATCGAAGAGCTCATAAATTATACTATTAATTATCTTTGGATAACACCATCACAAAACTACCACAAAACAAAACACTCTATTTGGATTGGATCCAAACTATAACTAAATTGAATATCATAGATAGAATATATATACCGGAATAGGCTCTTGCTTTCACCACACATACACACATTAATTCGGGTATATTTCGACTCGACAATGACTACTACCCGTTGTTGTTTTTGTTGTCGTTGTCGTTGTTGTTGATGATGATTATTATTATTATCGTTTTTTTCGGGTGTTTGAATGAATGAATGAACAATAATAATGATAAAGTGACTATAATCATTTATATAGAAAAAAAGTGAAAATGCCTGAATACTTCATTCATTCATTCGTAATCATTCCGTTGGAATATCACTTGATTATGATCATGGTTTTTGAAAAATGAGTTTGCTTTTTTGTTGTTGTTCAACTACTGGATCACCGAAAAATCAATAGATGCTTTTTCTCAGGATTTTCTATTGATTTCAATTCAATGATTGATTGATTGATTCGATTCAATTCAATTTCGAGAAAAATAAAGAGAGAGAAAAACAAAACTAATTGATACATACTGAATGCAATAAGCTTGAATGAATGTTCATAGATTATTTCATGTTCATCATCGTCATCATCATCATCACCATTGTCATTTGAAGAATTTCCATTATTCTTTGAATCAATATTTTCCGGTAATAATAATAAATTTTTACGTCGATAAAATATCATTCGATAGATTCCTTGATGATCGATAGTAAAATTTGTTATATTTATCCATGCATCATAACGATTTGAAATAGTCATTCTCGTTGATGATGAAAATGGTATTCGTTGTTGATTGTTAAAATTTGTTCGAACAGAATCGGAAATAAAATTCACATCATCATTGTCAATGATTTTGGAATGATAATCAATATCGTTACTGGTTACATGTGTTGTTTTTGTTACATTTTCAAAAATCATTGCTTCTTTTTGATTGTCTATTTTTTTATTGATGAAAAATAAAAAAGAAAAATTTGACAATGAAAAAAAAAACAAAACAAATTCAATATATCCAAATTACCTGTACGATTTAATTGTTCAATTCTTCGTGGCCATTGTAATATAATTCGTATTGAATGGCAATGATTTGGAATGATGAAATTATTCTGAAACAATTCAGATTTTTTCATCTTCATTTTCATTTCATTGAACATTATCAATGATAATGATGATCGTTGTTGTCGTTGTTGTTCACATTGTTCCAGATGATCAACAATCATTGAACATTTGTAATGGATTCGATCACCAATCGATAATGGAATCGTTATTATTTGTTCATTTTTTTCGGAATTTTTCATTCTCTGGTTGTTGTTGTTGTTGTTGTTGTCGTAATCGTCACCAATTTCAGCTGTAAATGTCGAAATAGTTGAATGTGAAATTTTACTATTTTCACTAGTGTTGTTTTCATGATTCGAATCTTTTCTATGATTGGATGCAGAAATTGTATGATAATTACAATCGAATGTAAAATGATTATGATGATGATGATGCTGATTAATGTTTATCGATTTTGTGGTCGATAATAATTTCATTGTTTCATCTTTTGGTTTTTTATCATTAATTCGTTGTGTTCGTTTTCCGTTGTATTCACCGCTAGATTTAATCTGCATTATCAACATTAAAATTAATGTGAGTATTATGATTATTGTACGATAATAATGATTATGATTATTATTATTCATTTTCTTTTGTTCTGAAATTCTAGAAATTTTCAACCTGCAAAACAATTATCAATAATGATGATTATGATGATGTGAATGATAACCAGTATCTGTATCTGTAATGGATTACATCAAACACCATCACATTATTATCATTATCAAAATAGGCAAATGTGAGAGAAAAAAAGGAAATGATTTTTTTTTTGTTGTTGTAAAAATTCGAAAATGATGACATCCAAAAATTTAAACTAAATAACCATCAAAACCGGTATTTTGTTTGTTTTTTGGTGTTTGTAATCAGCCCGAAAACAAAACAAATCCAAACCCATAAAACAACAACAACAACAATTGAATCAATCAAAATTGTTGTTGTTGTGGGTGGATGTGTTTTTTAAAAAAATTCATATTTATCGATTGATTGATTTACCTGTCAAATAATCAATGGAAGGATAAACTTTTTGGTTCTCCTTTAGGGCCATAATTCAAATTTTTTTTTTTTGAAAAAAAATTGTGTTCAATGTTTCATTAAATGAACAAACGAGCGAAAACAAAATTCTAATCAAAAAGTTTTTAAGGCTCGATTTTTTTTTATTTGCGCTTCTATACAAATCTTACATTCCATTTCATTACAGCCTCTGTTCCATCATTAATTCCACTAATTCTTTATTAGGAATTGTGTGTGCGCGTTTGTGTATGTGTGTGTGAGAGAGAGAGGTGAGAAAACGAAAATCTTTTTTTCCAATTTCCGTTTGGAAGAGTTTTTTTTTCGTATCAAGTTAATTGAGACTGAATGTTTTTTGTGGATCAATAATTGTGATTAGCAATGTGTGTGTGTGTGTTTGTTTGTTTGTTTATAAAGCCCACAAAACACACACACACACACACACACAGAGACACATGTATATACACAAGAATCGTTCATTCATCAAGTCAAATTCTTTATATCCAACAACTACCGCCACCACCATGATTATTTTTTTGGGAAAAACCAGAAAAAAAACACTTTGGCCTCGTTAGAAAGTAAATAAAAAAAAAAATAACAGAGAATGTTGTATATCCCTCTCTCTCTTCTCTCTCTCTCTCTCTCTCTCTCTCTCTCTCTCTCTCTCTCTATAAATCATTTGATATTGAATACATGATTTGGGCAGAGAATTTAACCCGATAGATTTTTCGGCAGAAAAAAAATGTGTTTTCTGTGTGTGAATAAAGGTGATCGAACCAAAATGAACAATAAAATATGAAATTTCATCATTTGAAAAACCAGATGGCATCACTTGTCTTAGTTAGTGGAATAAAATTCCACAATTTATTCGATTTGAATGGAACCTATTTTTTTTTTGGAATCGGAAACATGAAAAAAAATGGAAAACGAAAACAATAGAAGAAAGAAGAAAAAAAAATCATTGCTACATTTAGATGATCAATAGTTATATATTATCGATAAAATATACGGAAATTATCATCATCATCATCATCATCTCATCATCAAATATTGTTTCTATCCATCCATCCATCCATCCATTTATTGGTGGTAGTTATGGTTTTACACAAAGACACAAATAAATAATAATGAATCCCAAATGGATTTCATCACAAAAAAAAAATTTTTTTTTTCTGTCCATGGGGCAATCACTTTTTTTTGTGTAAATGTATCGATTATAGATTTTTTTATGGATTTTATTCCGGAAAAAAAATCCACAAATAATATAAATATACACACACACACACACACACAAAATTTCTTTCTTATTTTTTTCTGCTCTCTCTCTCAGTGTGTTTGCGATGATTTTTATAGCAAATATTTGTACATTTTAATATCATACAAGCACACATTGTGATGGTGAATTTTTTTTTCTTTTTTTTATTATTTAAGTTTAATCGAAAATCATTTGATCGTTTCGAATTGTTGTTGATTCTTTTTCTACTCAATCTATTCGCACAGAATAACTGTTTGCTGAGTATAAAAAAAAAAATTCGCTGCTGTTGAATGTATATGGTGAATAATTTTATTTTATCAATCCATCCATCTATATATGTATGACGGACGACAAAGGGAAATTAAATGGAAATATTTGAAATGGATTCAAACTAGAATTTTTTTTTTTTTTTACTATTTTTTTTTTTGTTATATTTGATTTTAACTTTTAGGTTATAAAATACAGAGGATCCATGACCAAGTTTTTTTTTTTTGCTGTTAACTGGAAAAAATAGTGGTGATGTTTGTTAAAAGTTTTTGTCGAGTATTTTTGCTATGAAAATTTTCGATTTTGAAATCCAGTGTGTGTGTGTGTGTGTGGGTGTGTGTGAAACGAAATGATGTGACATAAAAAAAGAGAGAGAGAGAGAGATTTTTATTTTTAAATCAAAAAAAAAAATGAAATGATCTAGTTTTTGTTTGCTGAGCGAATCGAATTTTTTTTTTTTTTGTTTTCACTAGAATTTTTTTTCTGTTTGAATGGAAAAAAAACCAGAATACCTATGACGGTAGTATAACAGGATTTTTTTTTTGTTTCCAGTTGATGATCCATGAGGATTTCTGGAATTTATTTTTTTTTTTTTTTTTTGATTGTCGATCATAATTTGTTTTTGATCCAGAAACGAAGAAAAAAAATGGACGATGAAAATTGCAATTTTTTTTAAAAACGATAAAAATATTCATCTGAATTTTTTTTCCATCCACTATTTGTTGAAATTATCGGGAAAAACAAAACAACAATTTTTGTGGAAATGAAGTCACCACTAACTACTACAACTATTTTTACATTGAATGAGAAACGATCATTCTAATGATGATGATGATAATGATCAACATTTGAGGTTTGTAGAAAAATTATGGTCATAATGAATGAATGAATGATGCAACTTGGACATACGAATGATGGTCATAATAATATAATAATGAACGAAAGAAAAACTTATGGATTCCGAGAAATTTTTTTTTCTTTGGACCTAAACAAAATTATTCTGATCACTTTCTTTCTTTTTTTGTGATTGGTTGATTATACCCAGAATCATTGATAATGATGATGATGAAAAAACAATAATAAATCGACGATAGTGCCAATTAATCATTATGGATTCTTAACGAGAAAAATGGAAACTAAACTTGAAGAGTTGTTGTTGTTGTTCGCCATTAGTAAGTATAAATTGAAAAACGCAAAGAATCCATTCAATTTTCATTGATCCAAAAACGTTTTTTTTAAATTGACTCCCACGACGCTCATACACAAAAAAAAAAGGTAATGATGATTATCATAAACATCACACATACAATCAATGTCTAAAGGGGTGTGAAGAGAAAGACTGAAAATTTTCATTGAATTTTTCAAAAAAAAAAAACAAAAACAAAAACAAAGCAGCAGCAGCAGCAATTTATATCACGCACGCAAAAAATCATTGATTGATTTTGTTGCTGTTGCTGTTTTTTTTTTTTTTTTGGCTGAGTGAGAATTATACGATAATTTTGTCATCAAAAAATTATTTCATTTCATTTTTTTTCTTTCTAATTCCAGGGTTTACCACAAAACTTTGTTTGTCGAAAATTCTAATGCCATTGAAACAACTACTTAAAATGAAGTGAAATGAACATTTGAAAAAAAATGATCGAATAATTGATTCAATTTATTTTGTGTGTGCGTGTGTGTGTTAAATTTTTTTTTTTTTTGGTCAAAATTAAATTGTAAAATGAAAAATTTTTCTCAGTTCAAATGAAATGAAATTTAATTTCAAAATTTTCGATTCAATTTCTATTATTTATTACCGACAACAGCAACAACAACAACAAATCGATTGTTATACTAAAGGCTGTAAAAAAAAGAAAATTAATTTTGTTGTACAAAACTATTTACACACACACACACACACCTGCAAAACCTGGAAAAATAACCCGAAGAAAAATGCTAGTTAGTTAACAACAATAACAACAAAAATACACCCAAAGAGAAAAAGAGAAACACAAATTGAAACATTTAAAACAAACAATTGAAAAAAATGAAATGAAATGAAAATGAAAATCATAAATAAACCAACAATGTAACGAACCTTAGACTTCGGTTGTTGTTGTTGTTGTTGTTGATCATCATTTGTTGTAATCAATGATCCAAATAAATTTTGTCGTCATTTGCTGCTACTGCTGCTGTTGCTGTTGATTCACTGCAATGAATTTTCTTTCCCATCTTCTTCATTATTATTAACGGTTTGCCCATTTTGTTTGGTTTATTCAATTCATTCATTCATTCAATGTCTATCTGTCTGGGTATATGCGTTTTGTTTGTCTGTTTGTTTGTCAAAAGTATTTATTCTGGAATCCAAGATTTATTTATATTTTTTTCTCTCTCTTTCAATTCAATCAACTATGGATTCAGTCATCTTGAATGTTTTTTTTTTTTTTTTTTTGGTTGAAATATAATTTTTCATCATTGCCTGTCAAAAGATATAAATTATTCTAAATGGAATGGAAAAAAAACAGGAGACAAAAAAAAACAAAAATCAAAGTGAATATAAAAAAAAAAAAAAGAGACAAACTACTTACTTTGGATTCATGCAATAAAGTAAAAGAAAATTCTTCAAAGACCAAAAGTCATTCATACACACACACACACACATTTGTTTTCGTTTCGTTGTTGTTTATGAGATGAAAAGTTATCATTTTTTTTTTTGATGACGAATATTTCCATTAACGAATATTTGTGTGTGTGTGGCATATCAATGATTGTTGTTGTTGTTGTTGGTGGTGGTGGTGGTGGCCAAAAATATTCGATGATAGAAACAAACAAACAAAAAATGATCACTTTTAACAATGAAAAAAAAACTATGAATCGTTTTTTTCCTTGTTTTTTTTTATTCTTTCATCATCATCATCATCAATATTCTCATTTGGGAATTTATATTCATTTTTTTCCCATCCATCCATCCATCTACATACGAATAGAATCATTCCAATAATGATGATGAGAATAATTATGAGAAAATGGTAAGTAAATTCCTTCAATTTTTATTCATTTCATTTCATTTCATATTCATGCCATTGGATTACAAAACGCCCACCATCAATGTTTTGTTTTTTATCATCATTTCATTCAATTTTCCAACAACAACAACCGAAAAAAAATCCAATTCATTTTCATCATTTACACACACACACACATGCACAATCAATGATGAATTTTTTTTTTTTTTTTTGTTCATTTACCATTTTCGGTTACAGACACACACACACACACAGTTTTGTTATTTTGCAAATGAATATAAAAAAAAATCAATCGTCATGAGGAAAAAAAAATCCTTACGATTATTATTCCATTTCATCATCATTGGCGACATTGTGTACAGTGGAATAAGCATCAAATAACAGTCAATTCTTGCCAAACTTCTATATAAATACACAAAAGACAATTTTCAGAATCAAAAAAAAGAAAGAAAGAAAAAAAAGAAAAGAAAGAAAAAATAAGTTTTAATGAATAAATAAATAATAAATAAAACACATCACCAATTGTCATCATGATTGTCGTTCATCTTTGTTATTGGTCGATGAGTTAGTGAAACGAAATGTAAAGAAATTTGAATTTCGAATCATTGCCAATGATGGTGATGATGATGATGATAACGTAATTCAACACACACACACACACAGACCAAATTCCAATGAATGACAATGGCGATGACTTATTTGTTTGTTAATTTAAATATATTCAATACTTACCAGGACTTTGTTGTTGTTGTTGTTGAATTGTCGATAATTTATTATTGTTCATCATCATTGCTGTTGTTGTTGGTGGTGGTGGCGGTAGTGGTGATGGCAATGAATCAATGATTGATGGCTCTAATTGATGATGCAAATGATGATGATGAGATGAATGTTGAATATTGGCCACTGCTGTCGCAGATGTTGTTTGTTCATTAATCGATTGATGATGAATTTGTATACGTAATGGATACATATCATAAACACCGATATCACATTCACCACCACCTTCATCATGATAATAGATAATATTTTCACGAAAATCTTCATTTAAATTATCGGATTTTGTTTGACCACTGATATTTGTTCGTAAATCTGATTCAATTATTTGATGATTTGTTTGTCCATCATCATGACCATTTTCATTATCATCACCATTATGTTGTTGTTGTTGTTGTCGTCGATGTCGTCGTCGATTACGCCAACAAATATAACCAATATATATGAGAACTGAAAGAAAAGGAAAAATTGGAATATCATTAGCATATATGACAGAAGATGAACTCGAATGGAATATCCAGAATCGCAAGAATTCTGATTCCGAATCGCGTTTTTATATTAAAATTGTAATTTTTCTAACCACAACAAAAAAAACATACAAATGTCACAGGTTTTTCTTTCTTTCATTCTTTTTTTTTTTTTGTTTTGTTTTCGTTGAAAATCAAAATCAAACAATAAATTGTATATATACATGATAATCGTGCACATCATCCACATAAATATTCAACAATGAAACACCAGCAATCCAAATCAACGACCCGAAGAATTCTAGCATACAAAAGACAAAAAATAAAAATAAAAATCCAGAATAATAAAAAAAAACACCAGACCCGGAAAAAATACATTATCATCATCATCATCATCGCCTACATTCATAATCACATAATGATGATAATAATGTAATAACCAGATCCAGAATAATCAAAAAAAAAGAAAGAAAGAATCAAAAAGAATTTGATTTGAGACAAGAACAAACATTTTTTTTCATAATAATAATAATAAAAAATATTCTTCATCATCATTTTGTTTTTTGTAGGTTGTCAACTTTTTGTTGCTTTGTAATATATTATAATATATTTCGGGTTGCTCTATAGAGAAAGAAAAAGAAAGACTTTTGACAATGTCCAAATGGATTAAGTTCAATTCATTTCATAATTAACACACACACACACACATATACACAACCGACAACATTTATTTATTATTTTCACCATTTAGATAATCATCATCGTCAAATGAATTAACCTGATAATGTTGACAACAACAACAACAACAGAAAAAGAACATTTCAAACAAACAAACGAGACAAAATCATCATCAATGATCACGAACGGAGAAAAAAATAGTCAAGTCAACTCATCCACCATTGGTTTAAGGATCAAGTGTTGTCGTTGTTGTTGTTGTTTTTGTTTTTAATTACCATACATGGACAATTGAAATTGACAATATGGAAAAAAACACTTAATCCAGTATATATAATCGGAAATGAATTTATTCACAACAAATAACGAATGACCAAAAATGATGTAAAAATGTTCAAGCTGGAGAGATATTCGAGAGCGAAAAAAAATCCGGAAAACAATGATTTCCGGTATCTGATGACCATGAATGGTTGAAATTTTATTTTATTTCATTTTTTTTTTAGTTATTGTTTAACGGTGAATAAATGAAAATTGCAAATGAATCTTTGGATATAAATCGTAAACAAAAAAACAAAAAACTATCATCATCATAATGAAAGTGTGTTATATACACGAATCAGAAAAAAATGGATATCCATAAAAAAACTGGATAGAATAAAGAATAGCCAAGAACCAAGTGTTCAGGATTTAGTAGAATCTTCTCGTCTTCTTTTTGGTTTGTGTTTGCGGTTCGTTTCACATTCAAACCATAGGGTTTTTTTTTGGTTTTTGTTTTTTTCTTTGCTTTTTATTTTGGTTATCTTTTCGTAGTCGTCGTAGTAGTATTCTTGTTCTTGTTCGACAATTATTTATAACAATAATTTTTTATTATTATTATCATCGCATCATTATCCATTTTGAAAAAAGTAAATGGATAAAATGGTTATTCACATACAATCCAGTAAGTATATATATATATTATATACAACAACAATCACAGTGAGTTCATTCATTTTATCATAGTAGAAAAAAAGAACAAAACCAAAATGAAAAAACAAAATCTTCATCATCATCATCATCATCCTGGCCTGTCTCTTCTCTTACTCCCACTATATATGTCATTGTCAACAATGAATTTCTAACCAGTGAGAAAAAAAAACCACATCGAGAATATAAATTCTATATTTCACCATTGTATTCGTTCATTCGTTTGTGTGTGTAGAAAATTTATTTTCCATTTCGAAATAAAAGAAGAAAAAACTAGACCAAAAGATGAAATTAAGATGATATGACTGACTGGAAAGAAAAATTGTTTTACAGTTTCAAATCAAATCAAAAAAAAAAAATATCTAGATTTAGATTGATATATCATAAAAGGTCGTCGGTGGTCGTATTTTTGGCCATCTCATTCACCAATTTCATCATGAATGAATGGACAAAATGAAAAAAAAGAAACAAAGAAAACAACAAAGAATTTAATTTAATCAAATCTAAAATGGAAATGATAAATTTTGAAAAAAAAATTCACAATCACCAATAATAATAATAATAATATTGATGATCGATTATTCCATACGATAGAATAAAAGAAACACATAAAAATCAGAAGTGAAATGAATCAGAAATGAGCCAGAAAAACAAAAATCAACTGCACACAAACACACTTGAATGACCATTTTTGAATTTTTCAAAATTCATTCACATTTTGGCAACAACAACAAACGTTCAATCATCATTATCATTATGATCATGATGATCATGATGATCATGAATGTCGGAAATTGTAAAAATCAATCTACATCATCATTATTATTATTTTGAGACACAAAAACAAAAACAACAAAAACGAGTAAAGATTCACATTCACAAATCGAAATGGAAAAAAATGCAAATTTTCAATAACACTTGACTTGATTTTGACTTTATTTTTATATTCAAGTCAACAACATTATCATCATCAAATTCTTTTCGGTCAAATAAATGCTTGATGAGTTTTGTTTTCTCTCTATCTCTCCGTTTTCTCTGTTCAATGTTTTTGCAAATTATGTTTACGAAAAAGAAACAATGATAAATGACAACAACAACAACAACATTTACGACAAAAACGTATTGAAAAAGTCATCGTTTGTCTTCACATTCATTGTTTTCTTCTTGTTTCTTGTTTAGTTCGAGTGTTTTCTATCGATGAAAAAGAATATTCAAACACGATATTTATATATACGATTCACACTAAAATGAATAGAATAATAATGAATGTGATAGTGTAAAGAATTGATTCTTGATTCATTCATTGTGTATCACATAAAACAAACTATGACTAACTAACAGCAAATGAAGGAAAAATTTTCGATTTAGATTCGATATCGATTATTTTATGACAATGACAACATATTATCAACAAAGACAACAAATTCTTAAATAATTCACTTACATGGTATATTCAATGGAATCAATATGATTAATACAATAAAGAATAGGCCATAATATTCTAATTGAAATTTTTGTGCATTCAATATTGATGGTTGTTTGTTATTGGTTTTTTTTCTTTGATTCATCAATCGATTATTTTTGTTTGCCACTGAATCGTCAACATCCGATGTTGATGATGATGATAATTCATCAATCAAATAATGTTCTTCTAGTAGCTGTCGATCATTATCTTCCAATGATTGTGGTGGCTGTTCAGCTGATAATGATGATGATGGTGATTGATCGGAACAATGTGGATCTATAGATGTGTTTTGATTTTTGTTAAACAAAAAAAAATCAGAATTAGAGAGAAAGAGAGAGGCAGAAAAAAATTTTTTACCATTGAAATAATCGGTAGAGAATAAACGATTGTATAGAATGCCATTATTAGGTGATGCTGATGATGAATCATTTTGTCCATACAATTTTGACATCATCTGACGATTTTGTTGTCGATCAATTATTGATGATGATGATGAAATTATATTACTACATCCATCACCAATAGCAACAGTACCACAAGGTAAATTCATTCGTTGTCGTTGACAATATTCTTTTGCAGCAGCAATATTATTTTTGATACAATTTTTTCCATCATTACTTTCAATATATCCTTTGGGACATCTGTGTGTTCATTTGGTGGAATTTTAGTTGCATTTAAAAGCAAATGGAAAGCCAATATCGATAATCATCATATGTTGATGGGAGAAATTACAAATCAAAAATACAAAAAACCACCACCATCACCGTTTCATACACACACACACAAATATATAACAAAAAAAAGTGGATAAGAAATCAAAGAAAAAAGAATCATCATTAATAATAATATTATATAGTCATCAAGAATCGATTGATTCAAGTAAATAAAAAAACAAGAATTTCAGAATTTCATTATTCTTTGATATCTAATTACAAACAATAAGCCACTTATTCATTATTATTATTATGTATATCAAGGATTCAAAATATTCAGCCTGTTTTCAATTGAAGAGTTAATCTCTTCTCAAAATCTTCATTATTATTACTGTGTACTAGTTTTTATTTTCGAGAATTCAATCAATTCAAAACAACAATAACAACATCGACAACGGCCAAAAAAAATAAATAAATTCAAGTTAAAATAGTCGAATTTAAATTTTTTTTCCATGGAAAAACTCATGACATACACACACAAGCAGTGGACATCGATCTGAATTCAGATGAAAATAATGCTGCTGCTGCCGCTGATTTCGATGATGATGATGATGTTGATGATGATAGAGGTCAAGTGGTGATTCAATTATATACATCGTTTATAATTATATACAACCACTCGTGATTTAAAGAGATATAGATATTGAACATTGCAAATACGTCATTGAAATCTCATTATCATCGATTCTTGAGAAATTGTATTCAAAATTTAAAATTCATCATTATCGTCGTCATCAAAAAAAAAATGAATGAATGAATCTTTTCATCTATATCGAAAAAAAAACATTTTCATTTCAGTTATTCATTCATTTCTTCACAGTTGCTGTTGTTCACCTCTTTTCGTTTCAAGTTTCATTAAGTTTTTTATTTAAGAAAAAAAAAAGAAAAAAAAAAAAAATCTAATATCGACGCAAACAGAAAGAAGAAAAAAAAAACAAACTTTTAATATGAACAAAAAAAATCCTACAAAGAACCAAACATAAGCTAGAGTTTTAGATCGAAAGTTTCATTTTCCAAGAGCTGAAAATTTTTTTTTTTTACACATTCCAAAAAGGAAAAAAACAACAACAACAACATAAAAAAACTCATCCAAACGGTTATTTTCTCGGGTAACACACACACACACACACACATTATTAAAATTTAAATTTTTCTCATCATGCAAGTATAGTTGTTGTTGTTGTTGTTTTTTATTTACTATTTATCGAAATCATAAAAAAATGTAAATAATAATAAATATCATCATCATCATCATCGTTGTTATTATTATGGCGAAAAAAAAAAATTCCAATGAATTTTCAAACCAAAACCAAAAAAAAAAAAAAAAACAAACAAAAAGATTTTCATTTCAAACGAAAATGAAAAATTTATATTCATATTGTAATTATCAACAAGAATTTCATTTTCATTTCACATTTCAAACAACAAAAACAAAAAATCATCATCATCATCATCATTATAAATAAATAAAATGTTTTTTTGGTTCTGGATCGTCGTTTTCGTTTTCGTTTTTTTTGGCCCATCATTTGGGCATAAAAGTTTATGGAATTCTTGTATTTTTTCGTTTAAATGTAAAAATGAGAATGAAATTTTCTCCAATTTACTTACTACTCATGAATCGATATTGAAAAAAGTGAGAAAAAAAATGAACAAACAAGCAAAAAAAAAATAAACGATTCAAAATAAAATGAAAAAGATTTGAGAAAGAAAAAAATACGAATTGAATGAAACTATAATGATCAACAAACAGTGTGATCAGTGAATGTGTGTAGTACGAATCAAATGATAAAAAAATGATTCCATAAAATCAAATGATGATGAAAATTATTCCTGGAACTTTTTGTTGTTTTGTTTTTTTTTCACTACAATTTTGTGAAAACTTTTCACTTTCAACAATAACAACAACAACAACATGGATAACGATGTTCCAATGAATATTTAAAGAAAATTTTTCCTTCTCTCATCATCATATGTGTCATAATAACCAGAATATGTTGAATTTTCACACCTAATAATATCGATGATGAATGAATGAATGAATGAAAAAAAACAGAGAAATTCATTCAGTTCATTACGGTATGATTTTTCAACACAAATACACCTTAGTGAATCGATATTTTGGATTTTTTTTTTTTTTTGCTAAATCAGCAAAAAAAATTGACAGTGAATGAAAAGAAAAAAAATTGGAAATGAATAAAACCAGAAAGAAAAAAAAGATAAAAAAAATTGACATTAACTGACCTGCATTTTGCAACCATCCATTCATCGATACAGATGAATGGTTTTCGACAATGTAATTCAATACAAGAATTGATCGGCGGTGATTGACATCCGTTACGAATATTTTGTTGACTGGTTATCGAAATTTCAATGATCATTTCTTTATTTCGTTTATCATCGTTGTCGTTGTTTGATTTGACATTGGCTCCATGTTTCATTATTGTTGTCGTTGTCTTATGTTGATTTTTTCGTATAACCATCAAGTTAATGTTCGAATGGCTTAATGATGAACCATCTTTCGTCCATTGTCCATTGATTATTTCTTCATCTTTTCTTCTACCATCAACATTATCATTTTGACGGTCAATCGTATTGAATGGATGAATAAAATCACCCAATGAAATGTCAATGTCGTTTATCTTCAGATCACTAAGGCAGCCTTTTTTTCCGAATGAAAACAGAACAAAAAAAACATGGAAAAAAAAGAAAAAGAGAGATTAGATTAGATTAGGGCTGACAGAATTCGATTTACAAAATAAAACAAGAACAAATCATTTGAAAGCAAATACCATCAGCAAAATCATCCATAATGTTTGTTGCACCAATGGTTGATAGAGAACTGACATCACCACCGATTATGATTTGTTCGCTATTCATATCGAAACGGAAATATCCATCATTCGATGACGATGAACCATATTTTAATCGTCGATGATTATTATATTCATTAAAATTATTCAATGGTGGAAAATAACGTACAATTTTTCCAATACCACCATTATCAAGAATTAATTGTGCCGATTGTCCCAAACGTATGGCTCGTACATGATGCCAACGTCCATCGTTTACTAGAAATGAATCAATTGATAATCGATGTTCAGATGATTTAATACCAGATGGATGAAGATTAAAACGAAATACAATACGCGCTTCACGAATTTCAATCAAACAATATGTGCGCACATTGTTTGCCTGGCCAATCAATTTTATAATTTGATTCTGCCATTGTCGGGTACGAAAATAAAAATCAATTTTTGTTACAAATCCATTATCATAATCGGTATGATAGAATTCTGTCCTATCAAATGTAGATTGTTGTTGCATCAAATCACTATTCATAGGTTTTAATGAAAGTTGTAAGAAACTTTTCTGCAAAAACAATATAGGTCGATCAATTTGTTCACATTGTTCACCATAAAAACCTCGTGGGCAATAACATTTTACATGATTATAGCTACCATCACAATAGCCATTATTAAGACATTTTTTATCAAGAAATGCACACAATGATTGAGCTACGATATAACAAAAGAAAATAAGAATTTTTTGAAAAAAAAATTTCAACAAAATAAAAAATTAAACTTACATGAATGACATCCAATTTGTGTATTGTATGAATGATGTACATTGATGAGATCATAAATATGATTGTTAAATATAACATTTTTCATACATCCATTGAAACCAACAATACGTTTTCGTATAGTCGATGATGATGGTGATGGTGGTGCTGGTGGCTTATGATGATAATAATGATGATGATATGAAGAAGAATGAAGGATCGATGATGATGATTCCATTGATGGTAATGGTTGATTAAAAATTGCCGACATTATAAACGGTGGCAATATCGATTTTTCAGGATCATCATCATCATCATCATTAAAATCTGTCGATGTAAATTTCGATTTTTGTTCCTGATTTTTCAACATCATTTTAGATACATTCATTGATTTTGTTGTCAATAATTCAATACCACCCAATTGTAATGGTGAATTTACATTCAAAACATGTTGAAATTTTGTTATAATCGAATAATTTTGACATTTTTCCATCAATATTATTCGATCAATGTCCATGTAGTATCTTGATGATGATGATGATGAACTTTTATAGTGCTGCTGTTGCTGCTGATGATGATAATGATATAAATCATCATCATTATTCAACGATGATGATCGTTCAACATGAAAATGATGAATACAAGCATCAAACATTAAATGTACGGAATTTGAATCAAATTGTATGTCCAATTGATGCCAATTTCCATCATTTAAATGTCCATTTTCAATATTAATAGTTATTTCTTGAATACCGGAACCAAAATCAAATAGTAATCGAGGTGATCCTAGATTTTTGAAAAATAAATTATTATTGTATATTGTATATTGTATTGTAAATTGTGTAAAGAAATTGAAAGAATGAATAAAAGCAAGTTTAGTAAGAGAAAAAAAAAGAGAAAAGAAAATCCAATCAAGTATAAATCAAATCGAATCATCTCACAAAAGAAAAAAAAAATTTCTCTTTTTCATCATCAATCGTCATATAATGTACTACTACTAGTTCTACAAAACGAACACACAGTCCATATGATATCTCCAGAGAATTCTAGTTCGGAAATTTGAAAGTGATGGAAAAAAGAAAAAAAATTTCGAGTCAAAGAACTCAATCATCATCGATTTTACTATATATATATCGGTGTGTTCATTTATAGAACAACGACAAAATCAAATCAAATCAACCGTCTATCTTATCGATATGAAGAAAATGGACAATACAAATGAATGATTGTGTGGATATAAAAGAAGTATATAAAATGAATAAAAACAAACCATTGACCAATTCAAGAAACATGAAATCCGTTTCATCTGATTGTTCAATACCGGCTTCATACATTGATGATGATGATGATGATGATGATATGATTGGTCCATAGTAGAAAATGATTCCATTAGGATCAGTTGTTGATATTTGTACACTGAAAACATTTTTACTATGACTACAAATTGGTAATGGATCTAACCATATTACACCATCCGATTTGAATGACCGTATATTTGTTGCTGTTATCAATGTCGTTGTTGATTGTACAATTTGATCTCGATTCTGTTGCTGTTGTTGTTGTTGTTGTTGTGATGATGATGATTATAATAAAAATTGTTAAAAAGACAACGAAAATTAAGATTAGTGATCGATGTCATTAGGCTACGTGTAAAAAGATTGATTCGATCATGTTGATAACACATTGGCGATGATGATAATGATGATGATGGTGGTTGACATAGTGTTTGATCAATATCACAGTCAAATTTATAATCAACTAGATATGTTAATAGATGATCATAAAAACATTGGCACTTGATTTTTGTCACAATATTAATACCGATAAATGATGTAAAATTTGCATCAATCAATTCATATGGATTGGTCCAATCAATCAATGTTTCGGTCATACAACCATTCGATGATTCAATACATTGATGTTGTCGTGGATTTTCTTCTTGTTCACTCATCATACATTCATTAATACCAAATTGACTGATTGTAAGATTGGTTTCCATACGAATTCGATGGCCAGCTATTCGAGCCATTGAATTCAGATAAACAGCGGATAAATATTGATCATTTTTTCTTGCTGCATATCGTATATCCAATGATGAATGTTTTGCATTTGATTTTATCGATACAATTGCTAACCAATCACAATCAAATAAATGTTTTAAACACAATTCTAATCGTTCTTTATGGCTAGTAATTTTTCGTCGCTGATTCCAATCCCAAATCTTTATGAATTCTATAACGTCCATTGGTTTAGTGATACGTAATGAACCAGAATTAATTATTACATCAAATGATAATGATTTGGACATAATATTCATCGTTGATTGTACCATATGTTGATAACGTCGATCAAATACTTGAAATTTAAGCTTATGTAATCCTTGTGAAAGTTTTCGTCTGGCTATAACTTGTCCACGATTTGAATCGATATAGAAATCATTCTTAACATTTGAAGATGACGTTGCCGTTGCCATTGATGATGGCGGTTCTTCTAGCCAAGAAAATTTTTTATCACCAACATCCCAATCATCCGGATCTTCTACATTAATTTGGCCCAATTCGATCGGTCGATAAAGGCTTTTTTTTCATCGGGATCGGAAAAGAAGAAAAAGAAGAGAAAAAAAGAAAAAAAATTATCTTTGGTGTTCCAAAAAAAAGTAAAAAAAAAAATATTCGAACGACATAATTATACATTACACAGTGTAGTAGTAGTGAGTGAAAAAAAAAAAAAAAAAAAATTCAGACCCAGATACAATTCAATTTTTTCCATCATCATCTTCGTACACCCACTCACACAGTACATTTATATGAAATGGATGATGATGGATCAAATGGATGGTCTCAATGGATTTTTTTTTTTTTTACTTTTTTTCGGGCAGACCTTTTACTTTCACTTTTTCGCTATGTTTTTTTTCTTCTTCTTTCAAATTACCATTGAGACCATTCATTCATTTTTTTTTTTTTTTTTGATCCTACCAATGAAAAAGCGAGTCACAGAGATAGTGAGACAACAAGATAGATTATCAATTTACAAAAAGAAATTTAATGATGAGATGATGATGACGAAAAATTTGTCATTTTCAATCCTTTTTTCACAAATATAAAAAATAGTATCGATAGTATCGATGTGTGTGATGAAATTCGATTTTTTTTTGTCTCACAGAAAAAAAATAAAATAAAAATAAAAATTACCATCATTGCCATTCACACATCACCATCACCGATGCCACTAAAGTTAAATAAATTTGTGAAAATGGAAGCAAATAAAAATCACCATCATCATCATCATCATTTGAAAAATTTCAATGAGCAAATGGGCCATCATCATCATAATCATTGGCGGTACAGAACGAGCAAGAATTGATTTTCTTGATGAGCATACATCACACCAAAAACGACACCAGATTACATGAAAATAAAAAGAAGAATCGGATGGCAAGAATATTCGAAAAAGAGAAAAATCTAATCAGTTAGTCCATATATATATGTATGGAAATGGATGATTCTTTTTCTTTGATTTTTTTCTTCTCTTTTGTTTCTTAACGTATGGTTAGCGAAGCTTTTTGCATAAATTACGTAATGATAAAAGAGAATGGAAAAAAAAGAAAACGTTGTTGTTCTCCATCTTCATAAATTCCGAGTGCTAAAAATGATGATGATGATGAAAAATATAATCATAATGTGGCACACACACACACACACAAGATAATTCATGACTCATATGGGAATATATAGTCGTCGTCGTCGTAGCCGTCATCATCGTCGTTTTATTTTGAAAAAAAAAAATGAAATGAAATAAAATAAAATGGAAATGAATGTAACAAAAACGAAGACGACGACGAAACAAAAAAAAAAAAATCTGATATATGATAATAATAACAAAAATACACAAATAACGTTACACACACAAAAGTTTCGAATCAATATTATATTTTCATTCATATAAATATCATTTCCCTTCATTTTACATTCAATCGACCGGGAACATTTTTTTTTGTAAATATAACCAAAAAAAACCGGTCGGTCGGATAATATTTTTCCGGCGATTATCATGTTGTTGTTATTGTGAATGTGAATGAAAAGAATTTTCATTTTTTTTTTATTTATTTATTTCATCAAAACAGAAACATTAAGAATTGGAAAATGAAATCAAATCGGCTGAAAACAAAAACAAAACGAAAAAAAAATGAAAGAGCCAGAATATGGCAAAAAGAATTTCATTCATTAGATTGTTCTTCATCATAAAGAAGAATTTTTCACACACACACACCCACACATGGAAAACAGATAGAGAGAGAGAGCGAGATGAAAAGGCCACATGGACTTGACATCTCTATATAACACAGTGTGAAAGAATGAAGAACCGGAAAAGAAAAAAAACAAACAAAACGAAAACAAAAACACAGAATCATTTTTTTTAAATTCTGAATGGATAGAATGTAATAAAAAAAATAAAAATAAAAATTCCATCCATTCATATTATATAAATAAAAAGGGTTATAATGTATTGCGAAATTCTGGAATCTTTAAATTCTTCACTCTCTCTCGTTGTTTTTTTCGTTCTTTTCTAACTTTTTGATTCAACGAACAAAAAAAAAAAAAGTTGATTACACTCGTTTGATCTCAATAAATGTTTTTCCATGTGTGTATAAATACAAATATATCGATGACGATGATGAAACACTGGAAAAAATGGAACCTTGGAACCTAGTGGATCTGGACAGTTTTTTTTCTGGCTACCGTAAAAGTAAACCAGAAACAAACAAAAAAAACTAAGAATGATGGATCAGATTATCAGAAGCAAAAACAGCAAAAAAAAAAAAAAAATTCAAACAACCTAAACAACCAAAAAAATGATAAATCATTCACATTTTCTTGTATCAAATTCTGTGTGCCTATTTTAACCGAAAAAGAAAATCGAATGTAAATGTTTAATGACACACAAACCTTTTCGCTTGATTCGTTGCCGTTATTGGTGATTCGTCAACATTTCCATCATCGTCATCATCGTCGTCGTCGTCGTTTACGTTTTTGTCGTTTGTTTTTATTTTCCGTTGTTTTCCATGTTGTTGTTGTTGTTGTTGATCAATGTAAAAAACATAAACATTTTTCCATCCATCTTTCATATCATTATCATTAATATCATCAATGGTTATGGTCACAATTGATGTTGATGATAATGATGGATAACCAGAATCATTGACAATAATTGGTATCTGATATTGTTTCTGTTGTTCACGATCAAATGTTTGTCTACTAAATAAAATTGCATGGCCATCATCATCATCATCATTATCATTGTGTATGTATTCAAGACGAAATTTTTGTTGTATCATTTCCGTTGCATTTGGATCGATTCTAAATGTGAATGGTGGTCCGTTTCCTATTTTTTTTGTTGGAGATTAAAACATTGATTAATGTAAATTGTACGTGAAATCTTGTTTATATATAAATTATTACCTTTACTATAATCATCACGATCAAATGCATAAATAGCGCCTAAACGTTGTTGTGGATGTTGATTTTCACGAATCGATAATATGGTTGTATTGATTATAAATGGTGCATTATCATTAACATCATCAACATTTATCACCAATGTTGCTATCGATGTTAATGGTGGATCATCAAGATCAGTGGCGATTATTTTCACTATATGTACAGCAATTGTTTCACGATCAAGTTTTCTATTCAATCGAACAGTACCGGTTTCAGTATCGATTTGAAAATATTTTCTTTGATTTGTTTGTTCATCTAGGCTATAATAGATGTCAATATTTTCAATGGATTTCGATAGATCATCAGTATGATTACGATCTGGATCGATAGCATGAAATTTGGCCACAATAGATCCGACGGGAAATGATTCAGGAATGGTTATATTTAGAAAATTTTTCAAAAATTTTGGTTTATTATCATTAATGTCACGAATAGTTATGTAAATGTAACAAATATCTGTATGTTGCTTTGTCATTAAATTATCCACTGGTTGTGGCTGTTGTTTTGTCATTTTTTCATCGTTGACATTAATTATACCTTCACCACCATTGCCGTCCACCATATCACTATGATGATCAATATCAGTGACAGAAATTTTAAGCATAATAAATCTATGATTTGGTATTTCATAATCCAATGGTTTATTCAATAATAATAAGGCACTGGTTTCTGTTCCATAAATTCCTGTCGTTTTATTCATTAATAATCGGCCATGTTGTTTGTATTGATCACCGTTGTCGTTGTCATTGGTCATCATCATCGATGATGATGGTTCGATACTAAAATAATGGCCAGTAATAAATTCATTTTGCTGTCCTTGATAGTATTGATCATCCGTTATTGAAATTATTGGTTTTGATGACCATTTTTCTTCAATTATTTTATATGTAAAATAATTATTTTCAGGTAAATCACAATCATTTACAGTTAATTTGAGCAACATTTTTGATTGAAATGAATTATTAGTTGAATTTCTCGTTCTCGTTCTTGTTGTTGTTGTTGTTGTTGTTGATGATTGATCAGTTTGATTATCACCATCATCATCATCATTTTCATCCAATTCAATATGCCATTCATTCTGTATGAAACGTGGTGGACAATCATTTTGATCCATTATGTTTATATTGACTGTTGTATTCGCCTGTAAATGTTGATCCATTATATAATCACGTGATTTTTTTGTGTGTGTGTGTGTGCGTGGTTTTTGTTTGTCAACCAATCCAAATCGAAACCAGAAAATTTTTTAAAAAAAAAAAAAATAAGAAATCAGAATTGAAAAAGAAAAATTTAAAATTTAAATAAATCGGAGAGAAAGAGAGAGAATTTTTTTTCGCGACAAAAATTACAACAAGAGGTGAAAAATGTCATCATAAAAAAAACGAATGATTGAAAATCAGCTTGTCAACGCATCAAACATGGAAAACACGAACACACACACACAATGGTAAAATGATGATGAATACATCATCATCAAAATATGTTTTTTTTTCTGTTGACTATTTGCTTACAGAATATTCTTCTTCTTTCAATACAGAAAAAAACAAGAATATTCTTGTTGTTCGTTGTGAATACATTGTGTCTCTCTCTGTGTGTGTATATGTGTGTGGGTATTGTGTGTAAAGTCAAGTTTTTTTTTCTCTTGTTATCAACCAATAAATTGTCATTGTCATTGTTATGTTATGTTTTTTTTTTGCTTGCTGTAAAAATTTTTTTTTCACTTTTTTTCTGATGAAACCGGATCCGGTGCTTTTTTCCTTTGGTGTGTGCATGTGTGTGTGTGTCAACGAATCAAATTGCGTGCATTTTATGTGTCACACTCAATCAATTCATCATGTTCTCATTTTTTTTTCATCTATTTTGATCAAAAATAGAAAAATGAAAGAGTTAATCATCATTTTTTTTGGGTCATTTCGAAATTACAAGAAAATAAAATGATCCATAATAATTCGAAAGAATTTGAAATGGACAATTCGAATCGAGGTGAAAAAAAATGAAGAATTTCTCCCTCTCTCTCTCTCTCTCTCACACACACACACACACACGAATATTTGACATTTAAATGACAAATGACTGGACATTTTATTCGATTTCGACAGAGAAAAAAAATATTCACGAATGAAAATGAAATGACCTCGATTCGATGGAAGGATCGAAAAAAAAAAAAAAAATTTGATTCCAAAACACACAGAAAGAAATTCTGAACTCAAAATCATCAAATAAAAAGAGAGAGAAAAATTTGTTCAGTGTCCAACAAATTTAACTGTACAAATTTTCGTACATAGAGAAATAGCAGCAACAGAATTTTGTATATCATATATCGATTACGAATGACAATGTTTTGTTTTTGGATTAGAGAATATATCAGATTCGATCAGTGTGTGTGTGTGTGTGTGCATAGAGCGAAAACTTTTTTTTTCTCCCATGAATATGAAAATTTTCTCATTTTGTTTTGTTTTTGGCCATTGAGTACAAGTTTTGGTTGTGGGGTAAAAAAAAAGATGATAAATATCTTGGCTTTTTATTTACGTTCGTGTTTTTTTGTTTTGTTTTTGTAGTTGTTGTTGTTGTTGTTGTTGTTGTTGCCCAAAATAAGGCTTGATTATCTCTATTTTCTAGGAACAACAAACAAAAACCTAAACATCCTTGAAGGCCCGTTTAGTTTTTTACATATCCCAGAATATTCTTGTGTAATATATTCTCTATATTTATCCGACAGAGAAAAAAAACCGAATCAAACTCAAACTCGAGTATTATTATTAGGAATCCAGAAAATCCTTTACTTAGCCCTAACGAAAACGAAAAAAAAAAAAAAATACTGAAAGTTGGATTGAATACAAAAAAACTAAAACGGAACAAACTTATTATCGTTTTGCGATTTTTAAATTTTTTTCTTGTTTTGAAACTTTTTTTCTGTTTGTTTGTTTGTTTGTTGGAACCGTCTTTAATCGGGATTGTGTGGAATTTTTTTTTTTTTGTTTTTGAAAAATAACCCGAAAAAATACACGGTATCAGGAACTAAAGAATTCAACTGATGGTGAAAAAAAATGATGATAAATGTCAATGACAATGATCATTGAATTCCAACTGAATTCGTGTATATTATATATTATGCAAATATAAATTCTAAATGAAAATCAATGTTTGAATGTCAAATCAATAAACATTTATTTTGATTTCATGAAATTCAAAAAAACCAGATAAAATTCTGAATTCTGGTGTGTGTTGCGAATTTTTTCTCTCTTTCATTCAAGTATGGTAAAGGGGAATTCAATGGGAATGTTTATAGAAACAAAAAACACACACACATACCTTTAGACCACCTGAATCCATAGCTGAAACAATGATTGTATAGTTAGCACGATGTTCACGATCAAAACAACAAACATTGGCCATTATTAAACCATTATTTGGATCAATATAAAATAATGATTGACCATGATTATTATAATGATTATTGATTATTGAGTATTGTAAAATTTGATCACGATCATAATAATCATCATAATCGATTGCATTCATCTGTATGATTGACATATTTGTTGGACCATTTTCCATAATATTTGCTTCATAAAAATTTTGTTGAAAAAATGGTTCATTATCATTGATATTACGTAAATGAATGAAAATATTGGCAAAACCAAGCTGCTGTTTAGTTTGTATGTTCTGTGCATAGGCATTCAATTTATATGTTGGTTGGCCATTTGGATAATCATAATCCAATGGTTTCAATACAGAAATTTCACCATTAGTATGGTTTATGGTGAAACTATCCAAATAATCAGTTTGTTGCATTTGTTTTTTTCGTTTATTACCCTGTTGTTGTTGTTGTTGTTGATGTTGATGTTTTGTTGAAATTGAAATCGTTTCGTTGATGATGATCCAGTCATTTTTCCAGTTTTTATTGTTGAATAATGATCATTATCACCATTATCATCAACATCATTCATGTCATCATTATCACTATTATCGAAATTAACATCATCAACATCGTCGTCGTCGTCGTAATCGTCGTTGTCATCATCATCATCATCATCATCAATGTATGGTGAAAGAAAATAACGTATAAAATGTTCCTGATCAATAATAATGTTTGTATTATCATCATTGGTCAATGTTATCTATGTGTGAAACAATGAAAAAAAAGAGAAAAAAAATTATCTTAAATGAATGAAAAAAACAAAGAAAAATGATCAAACAAACAAACAAACAAACAAAACATTCACATTGACTACGAAGAAAGACATCAATATAAAAAAAACCAGAAAAAGAAATATTCGGCATGACATATATCACTGGAATGACTAACTGATTGGTTCGAATTTTCCATGTTTTTGTGTTGAAAAAAAAATTCTGACAACTAAAAAAATGAATGAATGAATGAAATGTGAGATAAACATGCCAGTTACAACAATGAAAACAATTAATTCCCAATATATATCTATGAACCAGAAACCAGAAACGAAAAAAAAACAATATCCAATTCATTTACTGGTCATTTTTATAAATTTCATTTTTTTTTGTTTGCAATGACCACCACCGCTAGCAGCAGCAAAATTGATGAAGTGAGGAATAATTAGTGAGAGAGAGAAAAAAAATTGAAATTGAATGATGAAAATTAATGAAAAAAAAAATCTTAACTAACACACTGGGTTTCAAACTTTGAAAAAAAAGAAAGAAAAAATGGAATCAAGTAGAATCCACCATCACTACAAATTGATTGAAACTAATTTAGACCAATGCGTAGGGGGGACACAATCGACGATAAACGATTCTGGGATTCAGGGTTGTTAAAGCTCCCCACCCTACCCCACCAATAAAACAAAGATCATTTGTATGTCTCTCTCTCTCTCTCATTTTAAATTGGTGGTGGACATAGAGAAAAAAAATATTACATGCCTGTAAAAGACGTTTAGGCAATGAATGGTCATCCTCTTCATTAATTTCAATTTCAAATGTTGGAATCATTGGCCATTGTTGTTGTTCATTATTATTGTAGAAAAAAATTTTGGAATCATTCTTTGGTATTGGTTTTTTCTTTGTCTTTGTTTTCATTTTATTATTCTTCTTCTTCTTCTTATTATTTGAATTTAACAATTCTGTTGATGTTGATGATGATGATGATGGTGGACGTTGTTTCGAAATTTTTTCTTGTTGCTGTTTTGTATCTATTGTATATATACGTATGAATGGTTGTTGTTGTTGTTGTCATTGTATATAAAACAAACACAAACAGACAGAGAGAGAGAAAAATAAATCAAATAAAATCAATGGTGAAAAACACACACACACACACAACATACCATTATATGATAAAGGTGTGAAACGAGAACTTGGTCGTTGATGATGATGATGATGATTCATCGTCAATTGTTTAACATTATTGGCTATTGTTGTTGTTGGCGATGACGGTGGTGGTGATATTGAAGGCGTTATTAAGGCTTTTATGTAATAAGACTGAAAATAGAAACGAGAAACAAAGAAAGGAAAGAAAGAATATTTTTTTTTATCAACAAACAATGATGATGATGATGATGATGATGATGATGGTGTTCCAAAGAATCGACATAATTTTCAAGTGAAAAAAAATATGGAAAAAGAGAATGTGAGTGAGAAAAAAAAAACAAACTTACATTTGTATTTGAGGTTAAAATGGATGGATTCGATGATTTCGCTGTTGTTGTTGTTGGCAATGATATTATTGTTGAATGATTTGGTTGTCGATGATATGAATGATGATGATGGTATCGATCATCATCATCATCATCATCATAATCGATTGGATCGTTGTTTCTATCATCGATTACAGTAGTAGTAGTAGTAGCAGTAGTTCCTGTAATACGGTTTTTATTTTTATTACGAAATCTGGAACGATTTGTTGTTGGATATGGATGATGATGATGATGATCAAGATGGATTCGATGTCCAAGACGAACTAGAAAAATTTTTATGAATGAAGAAAAAAAAATCGAAATATTTCAAACTTCAAATGTCAAAAACAAAAAGTAATTTCATTTTTTTCTTGGAAAATTTCTCAAAAAAAATCAAAATAAATATTTCAACATACTAAACAAACAAAAAAAGTTCAGAATTGAATCGATTCCACTTCGATCTCTCTCTCTTGCTCTCTCTCATTCATTCATTCATTGCTTTATGGCCACCATTATGATTATGATTATGGCCATATCATACTTTTTTTTTCCTACGAAAAATTGTAAACAAAAGATCAAAAATCAAACACCATCATCATCATCATCATCATTATTACACTTTTATGGGACTAAATTTATCATTTAAGAGGTTATTATTATATAACAGAGGGGATTTTTTTTCATTTTCATTTTCATCCAAAACAAACAAAAAACAACAGAATAAAGCCAATGTAATGTTTTTTAAAATCGAAAAAAATGCGAAAATTTCAAAATCAAAAACTTGATTCGTAAAAAGTAAAAATCTTCCATTACATTAATTAACATTATTTTTTCCTTTCACCTTCTTTGAACTACAGTGAATAAATTAAATGTGTGTGTGTGTGTGTGTGTATGTGGATCAATTTTCATCATGATCATGATGATGAAGATCTAGTGTCAAGAATCAGTGGGCAAAAAAAAATGAAGAAGAAAGAAGAAACGAAAAATCCATATGGGTAACGAAAAAAAAAGTCGACACTAATAATAACAGTGGTTCCATATTCTTGGATTTTATTTTTTTATTTTTTTGTTTCGTTTCGAGCAGAGTTTCTGTAGCAGTGTTTACAACCCAAAGCCGGCACAGTGTATCGAGTGCATTTTGTCAGAAAAGAATCGTCGAGTGTTTTCGTTTTTTGCATATTAATGAACTTTGTTCATTTTGCCCGGTTTCTTTCAGTGTGTATAATCAGATCATGAAATTTTTTTTTTTTGACTTGGTAATTCTAAAACAACAGAATCGTACAAACGAAACGGCAAAAAAAAACCAGAACCGAAAATTATCAGTTACAACAAAATAAAGTGGTGGTGGTGGTGGTGGCGATGGCAATGATAGTTAAACCAATCGTACCTGACGAACAATAAATTTAACAAAAAAAAAAGATAAAATGATTTTGTAGCGATAAAAATTCAACGATTCATCAAAGAATCGTAAAAAAGAAATCATACAATCTACAGAATCATATATGATAAAATTAATTAATCAATCGAGTTCATTTTTTTCTGGGTTGATTCAGCAATAAAAAAATTGTTATTTATCGATCAAATTCAATTGCTGGTCGAACAGAACATAAAGAGAGAAAGAGGAGAATGGAATATTCTGCCACATGAATAAATTGTTTTATAAATGTTTTTCCGTCACTGTAGTTACTGTTAAAGAATAAAGATTACGAGAATTTTGTTTGCAAAAAAAATGGAAAGAATTTCAATTTTCAAAGTATGAAAAGAATTGGTCTATTTGAATTTGAGACAAACAACGACAGAATTTGAGAAAAAAAAGAAAAAAATTTCCTGTAATCCGAATTCATTTATCGTACCAGGAAGAGAGAAAAAAAAAAATGCGAAACCATCATTTCATTGTCCGTATGGAATTGTCGAATGAATGAATTGAAGAATAAAGTCAAAAAAGAAAGAATGAATGACAAGCGAATAAACAAGCAAATAAAGAGTGCCAAACAAAAAAAAAAGAATGAGAAAAGAATCATAAATCTTTTCAGAATCAATTTTTATTTATTTATTTATTATTATTATTCCGGTTTTGTTCAAGAATCATGGCCGCTTGTGAAGTATCATGATCATCATCATCATCATCAATGGATATTTTTTTGACACTTTAAACTGTAAACAGTAAAGTTTGGATAATAATGTGAATGTCAAACAGACAGACAAACAGACAAACAGCACTTGACATTATTTTTTTTTTAAAGAATCAGAGAATAAGAGAAACACTCAAAGAATCATATCATTGTCATTCTGATTCGGTTGCGCGTTTTCCGGGCTTTGTTGCATCTGGATTAATTTTTTTCCATTTCTTACTCATTATTCTGTGTTTAGGAATTTTTTTTTGTTCCATTTCGTTTCTTGGAAGTGCAAATATTTTTTTCCCTGAAAATATTGTGCCTCATTACACTAATCACACAACACACAACAGCGACAACAAAAAAATTTTAAACCAGAAAAAAAATAAAACAAAACGAGTAAAAAAATGATGAGAATGAAAACAATTATTAAGAATAAAAAAAAGACACTGAATATGAAAATCGAGATCGGAAACAAAAAAAAACCAGAATACAAATGACAAAAACACATCCAACAGAATTCTGTTCATGGATTTCAAGAATTTTTCAATAGAAATTCTGAGTGAATACATCATGATGATGACCCTGCGAGTGTGTGTGTGTGTGTGTTTGATGTTAATGTTGTCAAAATATCGCATTTCCTTTTTCCTTTCTCTGTCTCTCACTCTCAGGCAATTATTTAAAATGTAAAAAAGCTTGCAATTCAACTGCTGCTACATCCACACACACAGACAGAATATTCGGAAACAAAAAAAAAAAGAAAGCAAAAACAGCAGATTGAACCAATTGATCGATCTATAGATGATAGAAAAATGTAATAAACAAAAAAAAGTGGAAATATTACCACCACCACCACCAATGATTTCCCTCGAAGAAATAATAATAACAACAATATCAAAAGACTCAGTGCCAAGAAGGCATTTGTGTCGTCTAAAAATAAAATGATGAAATAATGCAAATATATGATGATGATGGTGGTGGTGGTGGTCAGATGTTGTTGGTGGTAAATGAATGAATCAAATGCTAGTTTGGATGTTTAAAGAAACCAGATATGGTTATTTTTTTCGGATACGGTAGGGTAATAGCGGTGGTGATGGTGGTGGGTCAATAAAAAACGGTACTAAACTTGTACTACAATGAAATGTGTGCATACCAAGTGACCAGGAAATAAAATCTGGTTTTTTTTGGTCAGTAAAAATTGCCACTACTGTTTATCCATAGAAAAATGAAACTAGATTGAAATAACCAATATTCATCATCATCATCATCTTCCATTATTCTTTTCTTGACGTTTTTTACATTATTGTTTATGGTTAAGAAAAGCGAAAAGAAAAAAATTAGATAAGCAGTGGCCAATAACTAATACTGTGCCATAAAATAGTAAAAAAAAATTGAGTGAAAATAGGTGAAATCCAGAATCCAGAATTTGTATCGAATGATGGAATCAATTTATTATAGGAAAAAAAAAAAAAAAATTTTTTATAGATAAAAATCGAATGATGATGATGAACGGAAATATATCAAGAATATTCTATTATTCATTTATGATGAATTAATATCTCAAACAAAAATTCTACTACTAGGAATACATTTATGATTGTGTGTGTGTATGTGTGTAAAAAACCATTTATGTTTTCTACTATCCTGGTCCATAGATGGATAGATAAATAAACTTGAAAACTTTCATCAACCAATGGAGCTAAATGTGGAAAAGAAATTCATTTGATGATGATTATTTGAAACTAAGTGATTACAATTGATGCAAAAGATGATGGAATAAAATTGATCAGGGCTAATGTAAATACTTTACAAAGCCGAATCATAAACAAAAACAAAAACAAAACAAAAAAATGGCAAGAAAAAAAATACGAAGAATACGGAATCAAGTTTTCAATGCTTTTATTTGTTTACTGTGTGTGTGTGTGTGTGCAATGTAACATCCAGAAACTTTATCGATGATGCTGATGAGTTTGATGATGATGATGAGAAAATCGAATCATTTGAAAATCATCATCATCCATCAGCATATGACGCCTTTCAATACTTTTTCTGGCTGTTTTTCTGGCTGTCCGAAAATGAAAAACTTTTTTGTTTGTTTGTTTGTTCGAAATATAAATATGGATCAAGATATTTGAGAAAACTGATGATAAGGTAATGTGTGTGTGTGTGTCCACAATAATTGAATATCATCGTCATCATCATCATCGATATGAGCCAAACATAGATATCGTGATGGCCAAAAATTGATAGATTGAAATGAATAAATACAAAAATTGTGAAAAAAAACTGATATCTAAGTAGAGTATCTAGAACTATAACAAACCGACAATATATTTCACAGTCAACAGATCTCAACGACGACAAAACGTCAAATGTGAAATGAGAAAAAAAAGAAAAGAAAAAAAAATAAAAGTCCAGTGGAACAAAAAAAGGGAGTGAGTGAGAGATTTTTTTTTCTTCTTCACATTGACATGATAATGATGACGGTCTATCGGGACCAATTTAAAAGAAGAAGAAAGACTGGTCAGTGTAACCATTGACAGCGCGACCAACCAAACTAAACTACCCGGGTTATATAGATACACAAATCATGATGAAAAAAGATGTTTTTTTTCTGTGAAAAAATTCGGCTATATTCGAACCTTCTAAATGTCAATGTTTATATTTTTCAATGGAAAAAAATAATACGGCGTTATGGAAACCCGAAACAAACAATCAAAATTATGCCGAAAGAAATGAAACGAAAAAAAAAATCAGAAAGACAAGAAAAATAATACTTTCACTCTCGTTTTCTCGGGCTCACAGAAAATGAAAAGAAAATGATCTGATGATCAATATTATGGATTTGGTGGTAAAATGATCTACAATTATTTTTTTCTTTCTCTCTCTGTGTGTGTGTGTAATCGTCATTTTGATATTTTGTTTTTTTTCTGGCTACAAAATGTCCAAAGTCAGTCAATTCGAAGAAAAAAATAAACACTTTGTGGCTCGAGACTATTTTTTTTTTTGGTGGTGGTGGTGGTGGTGATGATGATGATGATGAAAAAAATAAAATAAAAAATAAAGTTTAGCCCATAGCCGGGAATTATATTTGGTTACACACGCCGACACACGCGGACACACATTCATTTTCATCCGGTCGTCTGTCGAATATCGCTGTTCAAATTGAATCAAAATGAAGAGAGAAAGAGAAAAATAAACATCAACAACAACAACAACAACAAACAGGATGAAGACGAAAAAATTGCCTGCCAAACGATTGATTGTTGTTGCAAGTTTCAATTTTCTCTCTCTCTCACACACACACACACACACACTTCTCTCTCTCTCTCGTTTTCAGTACGAAATCCAAGGGCCATTGATTGGTATTGATTACAGATTGGAATAAAGAGCGAAAAAAAATCGAAATGAAGAGCGAAAAAAAATCATAAAGTCAATATACACCAACACGGTTTCACACACACACGAATAAATAAAATTCTAGAATCACAAAAATTCAAAAAGCAAGTTCATTTCGTTCATTCTCTTTGTCATCATCATCACCATCATCATTATAATGGACGTAAAGAGAGAGAGAGAGAGAGAGAGAAAAAAAATCTAAACGGGCAATAGAACAACAGAATGATGAAAAATAAAATTCTTTCACACACACACACACACACACAAAACTAAATTACTAGCCGAAAAAAAAGAATGGGAAAATGAAAATTCGGATATCGTTTCAATCCATTCAAGAAACACACACACAGACAGACACAGAGAGAGAGAGAGAGAGAGAATAAGAATGATGTGCAGGCCCAGTATCATCATCATCACTGGATCAGTAGATCTGGTATAGATATATTACTCACTCACTTATTGTTTTTATCTAATTCATTTTGTTACTGCCGCCCATCTTGTACCATATTTTAGAAGCGTCAGTGCGACGAGAAACAAAACAAAAACAAAAATCGAAATTGTTACCCCGAAAAAAGTAACAAATAACAGAAAAACAACAAAAACATTACGCTAGACATTCCCAAAACAGAATCCACCAGAGAGAATCATGAAACAGAGAGAGACAGAGAAAATAAAATAATAACCGGCCCCGGAATTAAATAAATAAAAACAAAAAAACAAAAAAAAAAACAACAAAAACAAAAACAAATCGGACTATCAGGCTGAAATTAAATTCTAGTCTTTTGATTATCATCATGAACAACAAAGTTTTATTTTATATTCAATTCAATTAAGATCCAAAGTCTATTGATTTGATACGGATTTTTCACCATCATCATCATCATCGTCATCATGTCATGGATGAAAAAAAAAATTCTTTAGACGAATTCTGTCATCATCATAATCATCAATGGAACCAAGAAAAAAAAACTCGTTTTGTTGCCGCTTCTGCTGCCGCTGCAGTTGTCCAAAGCCTATAATTTTATCGCAAAATTTGTATTTCATTTAATGAATTGTTTCGATCCAGTGGAAAAAGAAACAAAATTCTTATGATGATGATGATGATGATGATGATAAAAATCTGAATGTGAAATGAAAAAATAAAACAAAACAGACTGTGGCCTAGTTTTTTTTGATTCAATTTAAACAATTTTTTTTTCGCAAATCTAGAGAAATCAATACATAGTAAAAAAAAGTAAAGGACAATGACAATGAAACAAAACAAAGAGAGAAAGAGATAAAGAATTTGGAATCGAAAAAAAAGTTAATAAACTTTATCACACACAAAGAGAGAAAAAAACACTAAACAAAATTGAATTTTGAGAAAGAAAAAATACTTACCATCATCATAATGGAATAAGGTTTGGTCATTCGTCGATAATGATGATGATAGATTATTCAATAACGTTCGATTATTATTGTCGATAGTATCATTGCCATTGATGATGACCAAACTATTGTTGTTCGATTGATTTGGATCATCAAGACCAACTTTGATATATTTTGTAACTGGAAAAAAAAAAAGAAATTTTAAATGAATGAATGAATGGAAAAAATCAATGCAGCAATTTGTATGGCCGGAAAAACAGCCCATTTGATTCGTTCATAAATGATGTAATCAAAAAAAATTTGCTTAAAAAACTTTTTTTTTTTGTTTCAGAAAAAAAACCCAAATCCAATTTTCAATCATTTTACCATATTCAATGTGTGTGTGTGTGTGTGTGAAAGTGTTGTTTTTTTTTGAAACTTCGTTATTCATCATAATGTTTAGAATTGAAAAGTTTTTTTTTCTCACATCTCAATTCTCAATGATCAAATTATTGATTATGATGATGATGATGATGATGATTATGATTTTCATTATTATCGTCATCATCATCAAGCGAATTCGTTTGGTTCCAGGAACTAAAACAGCAACAGCAACAGCAACAACAACTGAAAACCGGGTAAAAAATAAAGAAAAAAATTCGTCTTTTTATCGGAAAAAAGCGTACACACACACACACACACACACACACCATCATCATCATCATAATGCTCATGAGAGAATGACTTGAATACCGAGAATAAAAAAAAACTTTTTTTTTTTTTTTGTTCCCCAAGTTTGACTTTTTTGGCTGATCGAAAATCGAACAAAAAAAAAAAAAAAAACGATCATCATCATCATCTTTGGTTGCAAGATGTTGATGGTTTTGGGGTTATTCAAAATGTTTTTTCTTTTTTTTTTTGTTCTGATCAAAATTCATTGTTTTAAATGTTAAAAAATGGCCCCATTTTTTTAAAACCGGATTTTAGATATCATCATCATCAACAACAACAACAACAACAAAAATCAAACCATTCAAATCAATGATTAAAGGTCAATATCTCTTTAATCCTTCACTCGAGTGTTTAATATATATCAATATATCAATTTTAAGAAGTAAAAAAAATTATCATATCGTGTGTGCGTGCGTGTGCATGTACAGGCAATATCAATTGATTGATTTTAGCTGATATAAAAAATATAAATAAATTGATGATGATTGATTTGTGATTGAAATCGTCTTGTGTTTGTGTTTTTTATTTGTTGTCCTGTTGTGTGTGATTGAACATAAAAACAAAATTTAAATCATCATCATGAAGAAATTATTATTCTTACTGCTAATTGTCAATTTTTCATCATCGATTCAATCATGGATTAATCCATCGAATCATCCACAAAAACAATCGTATCATTGTATTAGTCATGAATCAAATTATAAAATTTATCCATGTGCAGATTTTCATCAAAATTCAAATGAAAATGAAACAGATTATATTGTCCATGCACGTTTTGCCAATAATATTAATCAAACTGGTTGGTCTGAACTTGATATACGTACAAATCCCGATGAATTGGATTATTTACAAGCATATCTTGCCGGTTATTTAGAAGGACAAATTACCAGACAATTAATTCGTAGTTATTGGTCAAATTTATTGGATGGTAATGAATGTCAATTGTATCATGATATGATTGTAAAATTATTGAATAACACTATTCAACGTGCATTTGACAACAATAATGATCCATATTGGAATCAGATTCTTTTACAATTATATCAATTAGCTGGATTGGATGCTGGATATGTTGATAAATCCATCAGCGTCAATGAAATAAATGACCCGAATATGATATTGGAACAAATAAATCCATGTGGAACAATATTATTACATCTATATACAGAATATGATGATCTAAAATATCTGTTGCAACGAAAACCCAGTGAACATCCAATGGATCATTGTTCAGCATTGATAAAAATATTACCCAATCATTCGGATATTCTTGTATCGCATGTAACATTTGCCAATTTAAAATCAATGTTACGTGTGTTGAAAAGATATGAATTAAATTATCGTACAAGTAATTCAAAAACCATTGTAATGTCCAGCTATCCAGGTACATTGTTTTCAATTGATGATTATTATTTACTATCCCAGCATATGGTCGTACAGGAAACGACTATTCATAATTATGATGAAAAACTTTATAAACAAATCAATATGAATGAGATGATATTTGAATTCTTACGTACAATGGTTGCAAATCGTTTGGCCAGAAATGGTTCCGAATGGGCAGAAATATTTGGCCGTTATAATAGTGGAACTTATAATAATCAATTTATGATTATTGATTATAAACAATTTATACCTGGTCAACAAATTCAATCAGATTTTTTATGGATATTAGAACAAATGCCCAATAGAATACATGCAGAAGATATGACAAAAATATTGATAAAACAATCATATTGGCCAAGTTATAATCTACCTTATTTTCAAGATATTTATCAGATAAGTAAAACAGATGAAATGTTTAAAAAATTTGGTGAACATTATTCTTATGAGAAATGTGCACGTGCACAAATATTTAATCGTGATCACCATAAAGTAATGAATATGACAACAATGTATCATTTAATGCGTTATAATAATTTCAAACAAGATCCATTATCACGTTGTAATTGTACACCACCATATACTGGTTATCGTGCCATTTCATCACGTTGTGATCTGAATGATCCAAATGGCCAATATCCATTGTATGCATATTCATTTCATTCATCAGCTGGTTTAGATGCCAAAATTACTGGCTATAAAATGGCCAAATCATTAATAATGATTGCCGTTAGTGGTCCAACATATGATCAAGTACCAGCGTTTAGTTGGTCAACAACTAAATTGAAAAATATTAAACACTTAGATCAACCTATTGAATGGCGTTTCAAACCGATTGTTACCGATTGGAATCGAACCACTGGTTTCAATCAATTTAAATTTGATTTATAAAAATGACCACACACACACACACATATATATCAGAAAATAAATCGACCATAACCAAAAGAATAAATAAAAAATCAATCCGAAACTGACCGTTCAATCAACTTTTCTCAGAAAAAAAATTCAAAATTCTTTGAAAATTCAACAAAATTCATTCACTTACCAAGATATGTAGAGGCACCTGTTAATATGAATAAAAATTTGATTGGTTCCAACATTCTGATGATGATGATGATGATGATGATAATCACAAATTAAAATGATGTGAAAATTTGAATCATTCAAAATTCTTTTTTTCCCCCGTTTCAGCAATGAAATTCCAGAATTCTGGAAAAAAATTAATTTTCAATAAATTGAATTGAATCAAACGATGATGATGATGTGGGTGTGATGAACGATGAAAACAAAACAAAAAAAAAATTTTCACTATGTCGAAAATAGATATTGAAACACTGAAAAAAAAGAAATCTGATCCGAAGAAAGTGTGAGTGAAGAATAGAAAAAAAAACAATAAAAGCAGAAAAAAAAATTCTGGTGAAAAGAATGCGAAAAATGTCTTTCACACACACACAGACAGACAGAAAAAACAATAATGTGAATCAACGAATTTATATATATATATATATATACAAAAAGCCAAAATAACAAAAAAAAGAAGATAAATTGATTCTATTATTTTTTTTTCTTTTTATTCCATTTGTTGTTTGTTCATTCTTTCGTTTTTTTTTCTCTCGCTGATTCTTTTGATGATGATGATGATGATGGTATTTATTACTGTCGTCGTCGTAGTTGCTGTTGTTGTTTATTTCCTTATTGATGTTGAAACAAAAGCAAAAGCCTATGCATACAGGAAGATCGATCGTTGATGATGATGTTGATGATGATGATCGGAAATGGAAATTTCATTTGTAACCATCGTCAATTTAATAATTTTCAATGATTTGTAAAGAAAAAAAAAATCTGTATAAACGTATTCACATCATCAAGAATCATGTGATCAGAATATTATAGATTCTATATATGAGGAACGAAAAAAAAAAAACAAAACAAATTATTAGTAAATCAAAGAAAAAAAAAAAAAAAGTTGAAAATGGAAAATTATTCAACTTGATTATTGGCTTATGATGTGATTAGTTTGTTGTTGTTGTTGTTGTTGTTGATTATTCTGTTGTGAATGATTCATTCATGAATGAATCATTCACATCAAAATTCTTTATTCTACATTTGAATTTATAAAAAAAAAACAACAAAACAAAACCAATAGGCAAACAACAACCACAACTACAAACTAAATTGGTTAGTCTATTTATCCGATAAAATAATTAAACAAAAACAAAAACAAAAAAAACAACGACCAAAACCACCAAGTAAATTGAATCTGATCATGGAATGAGATGTGAACAACAACAACAACAACAACAACAAAAAATGTCCACACATTATCCAAAGAATTAATGATCATTCAGCAGGGTAGTAGCAACAACAACAAGAAAGATGACCAAAAACGAAAATTAAAATGAACAAAAAAAGAATGCAACCAAATTAGATACATTAAGTTGGTTTTTTTTTGGTTCTGGTATCGATTCAGTTTAATGAACCATAATTCAGAGCAGCCAAGCAGTGGCCAAAAAAAAACAAAAATTCAAATTCCAAGTAAGAATTGAACTTTTCGTGCCAATTTTTTTTTTGACTTGCAAAGTCATCGATTTTTTTTCGAATATTAAAACAATTGAACCGGTTTGGGTAGTTTATAGTTATGTGGTTTATGTTTGTCCAATGAATGAATTCATTTTTCAATCATGTGATAGTGTTGTGGGTCATTCCGGAATATATTCAATGAACAAAACAAACAAGACAAGTCAAGTCAAGTCAAGTCAACTTTATCATTAAATTTTGGCTTTTGTTTTGGGACATTCCAGAATGATAAAAAAAAACTTTGCTGTATTCAACATTCATTCATTCATTCATTCACACTATTCGATATTCATTAGTTCAGTTTAGTGTTGTTGTTGTTGTTGTTTTTTGCACTTTCCTCTTTTTTTTTTTTTGGTACAGAAAACAAAATAAGGAATTTTCATCACTATATATGGGTCTATATATAATAAACGACCAGTTAACTTATTTATACATGTGAAATGAAATGAAATGAAAAAGTGTGAAAGAAAACTCAAATTAATGTGATGGTGAATGGTTTGTTGTCGTTGCTGCTGCTGCTGCTGCTGTTAACCCAAACAACAGGAAGAAAAACGTGCAAGAAACAAGAGAAGAAAAAAAAGAAGAAAAAAAATTATCCGCGAGTGTTGAAAACTCAACTGGCAAAGTAAAGTGTGAATGGATCACATGAAAATTTCTTTTTTTTTTCTATTTTGTTTTGTTTCTTTATTTGATTTCTTTGTCTTGTTTTGTTTATTCACACAATATACTAATTATTGTTGCTGTTGTTTGTTTGTGTGTGGGCCCAACACGACAACAACAACAACAACAACAACAACATCGAATGACGCCCAAAGTAGTCCAGAATGAATAATGATTCTTTATTCATTTCACACACACACACACACACACACACGTTCGTTACTTGGTAATAATATGTGATGGCAGTACAAGTGTTGATTTTTTTTTTTCTCAACAATAATTTACTTGGGAATATTCTTGGAAAGTTGGATATAATAACAAGAACAACAACAAGAACAAAGAAACGAAACTAAATGAAATGAAGTTGAAATTGAAATGAAAAGCATAATAATATAATGATAATCATAATAAATTTGACACATATATTAACAAAATGAAATTGGCTAAAAAAAACAAATATGGCAGCAACAACAACAACAAAAGAGAAAGAAAAATCTTCCCAACCGTAACGATATTTATGAACATCCTTCATCATTCATCAGATCAGATCAGATTCTTTCATATCCATCAATTGTTAGGCTAGAGATAGATATAGACAGATATGTCAGGTGTAAATTTCATTTGATGAATAAATAAACAAAAAGAAAAAAAAGACTCAAGCTGTTTCAGGTTTTCTGGCATTATTTTGGAACACTTGAAATCTAAATGACTTGTGAACAAAAAAAAAAATTTAAAATTTAAATCGTTTTTCAAAGGAAGAAAAAAAATTCCAAATTCCAAGAAAAGTGAAAATGCATAAAATTCTTACCACCACCACCACCACACAACGAATAAACAAATGGACGAAAAAAAAATCTCTGTGTTTTTTTTTGTTGCAATGAGAATCGAATATATTCCGGATATAAATATCCTTTAGGGCAGCCAAAAAAAAATTCAAATACATCCAGGTCGGTAATTTTCATTTTCCGTTCGACCAAAGAATTGGACTGAATATTCTGAAAAAAAATGAAAATAAAAACTTTTTTTTGTCAACTGGCATATAGACCAAATATCAATGGCCAACAACAACCAGAACCAGAATGCTGGACCATTTCCTTTTCATTTCTCATCATCATCATCATCATCATTGTGTTCATCAAAAGTGTTTTTTCATGAACAAAATAAAAAAAATTCTTTTTTTTTGCATTGTTGTTCAACATTTACATTTTGTCGAAGAGAGAGAGAGAAAGAGAGAATGAAATGAAGAAAAAAAAATTCAAAACAGAGCCATTTATTTGATGATGAAAGTATTTTTTTCATTCATTCATTCATTCAGTCGTTTAGTCAGTAGTTGAACACATGACACACACACACACACACACACAGTGAAAAAATATTTCAAATTCGTTTGTTTGTTTGTTTGTTGTATTCAAATTGGTTGAAAATTTTCATCCAAAACGAATAATCATCATCATCATCATCATCATTTCAATGTGAAATAAAAATTGCCTAAACATTTGGCGTGTGTGTGTGTGTGTGTGCAACGAAGAGAGAAACCATCAAACCAATGGAATGGATGGAAAAGAATCGATTTCAAAAGAGAACGAGAATTGGATTCTTGTTCAAATATGGTGATGATCGTGGTGGTGGTGGTGGTGGTGGTGAAGGTATACCTATGAAAAATGAAAAATTCATTTGCAATTCTGCAATTCTGCAAATGGTCAACCATCTCTATCATCAAATGATTGATCAATCATTTGAAATCGAAATTCCCAATTGAATATCATTGATATATATGGTGGTTTATTTCAAATATGGAAATCTTACAATGGAAAAAAAGAAGATGATGATGAAAAAGAAATTCCTATTTACACAAGGTAAAATAAAAAATGGAGTGTGAAAAAAAAACATATTCATATTGAAAATCAAATGTTTAAATAAATAGCAGAATGGAATCGACTGGAATGATAATGATGATGATGATTTAATTTTTTTTTCATTCAAAAAAAAAAAATGAAATGAAATCAAATATGAGTGTGTTTTTATGAATCAATCATGAACGTGCGGTGATGGTGGTGGTGGTGGTGGTGGTTCACCTTTCTCCCCATTTTCATCCAAAAGTACATTATTATCCACACAATTATAAGTGAACCGTAAACGTGTGTTTTGGGTTATAAGGAATGTAAAAAAAACCTCCAAAAATAGAAAAGCGAATAAAATATTCTGATGGAATGAATTATAGAGAAAAGTGAGGGCGAAAAAAACATTTAAAAAACATCAGAAAAAAATGTTGATGCGGATGATGAAAATTGCCAAGATGCTCTCTCTCGCTCTCTCTATCACTTGCTCGGTCTTATTCACTTTCTCGCACAATTTGATATTAATCACATCATCATCATCATCATCATCGTCATAACCATTATAACCATCAACAAAAAACGATATAACGATTTTTATCCACTAAAAATTCTCAGCTTTTTTTCTTTCTTTGGTTGTTTCAAATGGAACCTGACAATACCGAAAAGCTAATAGAAAAAAAGTGAATGATGAAATTTCATATGAAAAATGAATTTCAATAAATATGAATATTCCATTTGTAAACCATTAAAGTGAATTTCGTTTATTTCACTTACACACACACACACAACAGGCATGATTGAAATGATTTGAATATTTCACGTGCATTGTGGTGCATTATGGTGTGTTTGTGTGTGTGTAATGTATAGGGCTCGTGCAACATTACAAAGAAAACATTGAGCAAAAAAAAAACACTAGGAAATAGTGTGAGTAAAGAAAAAAAAACAAAAATTTGCCGACTAAATACATCTAATTTTAACTGAATGAACAACAAAATCGTTGGCTGATTATTATGATTACGAAGAAAAAAAAAAAAATTTTTTTTTTTTTGACAGAAATCAGCAAAAAAAAGTCAAAAACAAAACTAAAAAAAAAAAGAACTCAAATTATGAACCGAATCGAATCGATGTAAACAACAACAACAACAACAACATGCTAATCAAATGAGCCATTTAAATTGTAATAATGAATGAAAAAAGACATCTTTCCACTGCTTCAATATAGAAAGAGAAAAAGAAAAATCAAAATTGAATCTTGATGCAGAAAAAAAAACAACAACAAACTTTTTATGACTTTCATCATCATCATCATCATCATCATAATAATAATCATTGCCACGATGATTATTTCATGATTCCATCATCACCGGAATCCGGAATACTGATGATGAACGAAATAATGGAATGAATATGGATATAAAACACATCATTATCAATGGAAACCATAAAGAAAAAAAAAGGAAAGTTTTTCAAATTAATTCAATTATTATAGTTCAAAGTTGTTGAAGACGACTTATTTCTTTGGATAATGATTGTGGGTGGTGATTGAATGTAACACTATAGTAGTGACCGACACATGATGTTTTTTTTTGTCTTTTTCAAAACATCACAAATATATATATCAGTACAGCATCATTTCATTTCATTACATTAAATAAATACATATTGATAAAAAATGAAAAAAATGTTTGCATAAAATCCAGAAAATTATGCCAAAAAAAAAAAAAACAAAACAAATACCAGATATAAATTGACAAAAACCCGAAATATCCTGAAAAAACCAGAACCAGAACCAAAAACACCTACCTATAAATTACCTTATGGCGAAATAAAACACAAAAAAAAAAATAATCCAGAAAATTCAAAAAACAGGAATGGAATCTAGTGCAAAAAAAAATTTCGAATCAAATGAAACATTGCACACACACACACACACACAAACCAGTAATGTTTGCTTTGATATTCTAAAAAAAACAAAAACAAAACAGTGACTAATTCAGTGATAAATTTTGAATATAAATCGGATTTTTTATTTTTTGGCAATAAATCCTTGCGCAACTATTAATAAATAAACTCAAGAATCGGCGAGAATTTTGGATACATGAAATTTTTGCAAAAAAAAAAAAATAAAAATTCATTAATAATCAAAATAAAGGATTATAAAACATTAAATGATAATCATCATTTGGTTTTGGCAAGTTCCAACAACAACAACAACAACAACAACAAAAAAAAAATGGTGTGACAAAATATAACAAAAAAAAGAAAGAATACCCATCAGGGATTAGTAGCAACTACAATGACAGATTTAAATTGTAACAGAAAAAAAACCTATTTACACACACCATACTACACATACACAGGAATTTTTTTTAATTTCCAATCACGTCTTTCAATATCAATGGCTATTGTCAAATATTTATTCTTCTGTATTATCGAATACAAGAATCGATAGATTCATTGATTGATAGATGAAATGAAACATCTTTATACGGCGATATATGTTGCCATTATCGAACCTAAAAGAATCATCATAAATCTTAATTATTATATGACGATGATGATGATTGAATTTTCTTTGATCAAAACCAAAAAAAAAAAAAAAAAAATGAATGTCGATTGTTCCAAGAAAAAGAGAATATCTTTTATGCTGAAAAAAAACAAAGAAACAAAAGTTTCAATACAAGTAAAGATTGTGTGAATGAATGAATGAATGAATCACGAATAATGATGGTTTAGAAGAATTTTAATCGATTTTTCTTTTCAATTCACAATTAGATGAGGTGAATTTTGTTTGTGTGTAGGAAAAGAATCGTTTGTGATAGAAAAAAAAACTGAATTCAACAAAAATTTTTTTTTTTGAAAAATTGACTCTTTTTTTCTAAGGAAAAAAAATTTCAATTGAAATTCATAACATCACCATCATCATCATCATCATCAAGAACCATCTTTAATCACGATGATGTTGATGATGATGAAAATCGTGAAAGAAAACAAAACAGAACAAAACCAGGAATATAAGGCGTATGAATGTGTGATATGTGCGTAATGATTCTAAACAAATAAACAACGTACACATACAATAACCAAATGGGAGATGAATCAAATTTTCATCAAAAATGAACAAATTCTTGAGAAATTTATCTCACACACACACACAAATAGTGGAAAGATAAATTTCAATCAAGAAAGAAAAAAGAAGAAAAAGATGATGATGATGATCATAGCACAGAGTCATTCATAGTAATGATACTTGAATTTGGATTGGATGATGAAAATTTTTTTTTTTTTCATTCAGCTGCTGCTGCTACTGATGATGATGATGTGACCCGACAAAAAAAAACAAAGAGTTAAGACGGTAATGATAAGGTCTGAGAATTTCACTTTTGAAACGAAAAAAAGGGGCAAGACAAAATTGCAGCTGTGGAAACACCATGTGTGTGTGTGGACACATCTGCTATTTTGAAACGAAAAAAAAATTTTCTTTGATTTTGTACGTGTGTGTGTCATTTGAAAATAAAAAGTTTTTTTTTTGTCAAGTGTTAAGAATGTCCAGAATTTTTAAAAATTTGGGAAAAAAACAAATGAAAAAAAAGTAAAAGTAAAATACTCACATTCGTATCCAGGGTATTCGAAATGAATGAATGAAAAAAAAAAATCAAATCGATGATACACACAAACAAAAACACAAGCTGAGATGATCAAATTATTGTTCAGATTTCATCAGGAGCAGCAGCAAAAAAAAATTGATTCAATATCGATTAAATGTGCGATTCGATGCAGTTTAGTAGCGAACAGAATGTTAACCAACTAACCAGAAAAATCATCAATCATCACACACACACACACAATAATGATCTAGAATCTAGATGATGATGGTGATATCAGGCTACCAAAAGAATAATAATCTAGACGGAGAAGAATCAAGAATTATTTCACCATAGTTGTCTTGATGATCGTAGTTGTTGTTGTTTGTCGATTATTGTTTAGTCATCAAACAACAACATCTATTATGACCAAAGAATTTTCTTGATAACGTAAAACTAATATATAAAAAAAGACAAAGAAAAAAATTAAAATAAACATCCCGCAGACACATAAAAAAAACTCACATACCACCCGAACAAGATAAGTAAAACCAAAAGTTCATCATCATCATCATCATCGCACGACGAATGATTAAAACAGATTCCAGAAGCTAAATTAATTAATCGATAACAATTCTTTCATCAACGTTGTTGTTGTTGTTTTCGTTGTTGTTGTCGTTGTCGTTGTTCGAAGCCATTCAAAGACAAGACGGATGTGACAATTTATGTAATGAAAACCACATGCAGATTGATTGTAGGAGAGCAAAAAAAAAAAAAAAAATATTTTCTTCGTAATAAACAAAACACATAAACATAAACAAAAGAATTTTTGTTCGTTCGATTTTCTCTTATTCATAGATGATGTGACGACAATGATGATGATGATTTTTTTTTCATGATTCCGTGATGAAATTTTTGTGTTTTTTTTTTTCGTTTTGTTTTATCATTTCGTTGCAAAAATAAACAAACAAACAAACATCAAAAAATGATTAATGTTTTCAAAGTGAAAACCAGGAAAAACAAGAAAAATTTTTTTTGTTTCTCGTCTTTCATTGTAAGTTAATTAATCGATAATTAATATTAACTAACGAATGAACAAAAAAAAAAAAAATAAATCCAATTAGACATTATTTACGATGATCACCATCACCGATGATTATAATAATCATCATCATCATCACTAACAACATGGATATTTTGCTGAAATGAAAATGGCCACCACCATGTACATGTTGAGTATTTAATGATGTTCATTTAATGATTTTGGCATCACTTTTTTTTCACACTTTCATTCGTACGGCATAATAAAATAATGATCATGATGTGATGATCGTGATCATCGATGATGATGATCACGATCTGAAACCGAAATGAAGAACAGAGAAAAAAACGAAGCGAAACGAAACAATGATAAAGGCGCGAAAAATTTTTTATTTTTTGAATCAAACAAAAAAAAAATTACAACTACAAATAACAATGAGAAAATTGGTGAAAATTACCGTCCAACACTGTACTGTACTGTACGGCACGGCATCAAAAATGAAAATCATTCGTTTGGGTATTATGGCCGACAAATGAATGAATTGGGATAGATAGAATCCGTTCACTGCCACCGACGACGACGACGACGACGACGATGATGATGATGATTACCACGACGACGACGACGACGACTAAGTTATAATGATGATGATGCCATGGAATGTGGAATGCGCCGTTGTTCTTGACTCGATCGTCATCATATTTCATTAGATGAAGAGAAAAAAGAATGAATAAAAACCAAAGTACAATTCCGGTGCACATGTGCATTCATAAAAGAATTTTTTTTCTCGTAATTCTAATGTAATTCTCGTCTTCAAATACATATAAATATAGCGACGACTATTGACCGAAACGATGACTTTTTTTTGTCTAATTTCATTAAATCAAATTATTATGAAAACAATGACAGCCAATGATCATTGCGGGTGGTTCATGGTGGTGGCGACCTTTGTGGTTGGTCATCTATGTGTGTGTGTGTGTGTGTTCGTTCTATTGATATATTGATTGATCGATCAAATTGTATTCGATCCAGGAGATCATCAAATCAATCAAGTTTGTCAAACAGCGGTAATAATTGAATTAATTTTGAAAAAATCAAAAAGATCGAAAAGCAAAAAAAGGAAAAATAACGTTGAAAATTTTATTTTCAAAGGAATTGAAAAAATGAACTTTTCGACTATAAACTCGTTGAAACTTGTTTTTGCAACATATAAACTGGAATCGAACGCGAATGACTTTCAACAAATAAATAAACAAACAAACAAACAACACATGATCATGAATTTTTGTTTTGTTTTGAATGAAGAATAAAAATTTCAATTTTTTCAATTGATCCACCATCACCATCAAAATTCATTTCAACGAAATCACATCATTATTTAAACAAATCACACTCACTAACGATCAAATGTCTTCAGTATTCAATGTGAAAAATTTATTTCGTACATTATCATTGTCCGTTCCATTAACGTTGATATTTTTCGATAATATTGCCTATATTGCACGTGTTGATGGTGTTTCCATGCAACCAACATTAAATCCAAATCCATGTGATAATGATGATAGAATATTCTTAGATGATGATGATGATCTAAATGGTAATGGATCATCAATATTGATCAATCATCATGAAAAATCATCAACAACATTCATCAATAATGATGATGTACGGAGAAGGAGAATAAATATGAAAAATTTTCTATTCAATCGATTTTCCAATTCATCCGATTTAATTTGGCTATCACATTGGTCAACTCGTAATTATCAAATTGAACGTGGATATATTGTCAGTTTAATATCGCCAAAAAATCCTAATCAAATCATTATAAAACGTGTAATAGCCGTTGAAGGTGATACCGTGGTGACAAGAAGAAATTTTAAATTCGATACAATACGTATACCGAAAGGACATTGTTGGGTTGAAGGTGATAATCACAAAAAATCATTGGATTCCAATTTTTTCGGTCCAGTTGCTGTTGGCCTGATAACAGCGCAAGCAAAATATATTATATGGCCACCAAAACGTTGGCAAACATTGTCCACACAAATGCCAATGGATCGTACATTGCATAAACAAATCGTATCATCATCATCATCATCATCGTTGAAAAAATTTAAAGGTTCATATTATAATGGACAATCATATCTAATTGATTTGAATATCGTTGATTCATCATTATCATCGATTGTACAGCAACATAATTCATCAAACGCATCATCTAAATTAGATTTAATATCGACAATGTTGGATGAAGATTCTATCTAATATATATTTAGTACATTTAGGCTCTAAATTTTATTTTTATCTTTATTGTTGATAATTTTTGTTGTTGTTGTTGTTGTTGATTTTTGCATGTGTTGTAATATAATCCTCGTGAATATGAATTCATTCTGAAACTAGAGCTGCCATCTAGTGTTTTGAAAAATTAGTTTTGAATAAATTTTTTTTTTCGTAATCCTGAAATTTGATAATGAGGAAGTTTATAACAGGTTCTTTTTTTTGTTGGTTCACCTTGAATTAGTAACATGTAACTCAGATTGAAATCCAATCCATCCATTTTCATTGGTTTGAAATTGAAACCGGTCATCATCAATGTCATTCTAATGGACAAGAATCAAATTTAATGACCATTTTCGACAACAAAAATGAAAAAACTAAAACATAACATAACATGACATTTCGTGACATGACATGACATGACATGTGTCAAGAATTGCCAATATATGAATAATTTTAGGTTTATCTCTCTCTCTCTCTCTCTCGATTTGTTCGATGACCAAAAAGAATGAGAGAGAGATAAAGGGTTCGTTACACTTTGATATGATGAAGAAGAAGAAAAATAAGAAAAAAAACGAATGATTGGATGATTTGGTATTTCAAATACAAGAAAAAAAAATTTTTTTTTGATTGCACCCACGAAATAGATTTTTGAAATTACGATATATCACATTTTTGGGCAAAAAAAAAATGACCAACACACACACACACACACAAGCAGAAATTTTAAAGCTCCGAGAAAGAGAAAAAACTAGATAAAAATTCAATCCGAAAAAAAAGGTAAAGGTCATTGAATCTGTTGTGTGTGTGTGTGTGTGTCACTTGATTCTTTTTTTTTGTTCAAGTGACATTTTTTTTCTCTCTCTCTAGTCATAAGATTTGATTATCATGATAAGAGTAGCAAAAAAAAACCCAACCAGCCAGCCATCCAGCCAACCAACTCGAAAAATGATGGTCAGATTTTGATCAGTCAGATCAGGATTTATTTATTTATTGAAAATCAAAGAAGAAGAAGAAGAAATCAGTGTTTTATTTTTAGTTTTCATTTTCAAATATAATGATTTTTTTTTATTACACTTTTGATTTTCACTCGTGTGCATGCACAAACACACACACACACACACACAATAATCGGATTATCAATTCAGGTAAAAGGTGAGATTGGAGAGAGCTAGATGATTGAATACTAATTGATTCTTCATCAGTAATCATGGATAATTGGTTGTCCTGTAAAAAAATGAAAGAAAAAGAAAGAAAGAAAAACTATAAATATCAACACTGAATGAACCATCTAATGTAGATGTAGCTGCTGATAATCGATGAAAAAAAAAATCAGTAATTAAATTGAACGGTGACAAAAATTGTTGTTGCTGTGCATTAATTATAAACAAACAACGTTTCACCATCATCATCATCATCAAAATTGAACATGATGATAATGATCATTTTCTTAATTATTGTTTACCAAAGATTTTTTTTTTTTGTATATATTGGAATTTGACAAATTTACTAATTTTTTTTTCCATCATCATCATCATCATCGTCATTTAGTAGTATTGTATTCATTCATTCATTCATTTTTTTTCTATTGTCATGTATCGATTGATTGACCAATGGAATAATTTCCCATTGTCAATGTTGATGATTTGGGTATAATTGAAAAAAAATGAATGAATGAATGAATGGATATTCATGGTCAATGTCGCCAATTCATTTTATTGAATGATGAAAATGATGATGATGATGATGATGGATTGTTTAAGATGAATGAAAAAGCAAAAACGCTGATGATGATGATGATGATGATGATAATGGTTGATTGATTGATGGTGTTTTGTTTTGGATATTTTTTTAAAAAAATTCGGTAAAAAGTTTCACTTTTTATATGACATACTTTATAAACGTTTATAACATTCATCAGTATTATGACCATTTCGTTTACAATAACCACACTTGTTGCGTTTCGATGATAATGATGGCTTTTTGTTGACAAATTGATTATCGGCACATTTTGTTGAACCAGTTTTCATGTTCTTGTCTTCATCAATGAATATGTTCATTAAGACCATCATTGACAGTGACTC